CAACTTGCATCCTTGAATGGAATGAATAGAGTGGTAATTTATATAAAAATTAAATTAATTTTTTATATAAATTTAAAAAATAAATTCTTGCTTAAGCCTCCACAACAATTTTCTAAAGAGACGTTGGACAACCTAATGAGAATTGCAACTCCGCAAAGCGAAGGTAATTTTTATTTATGAGAGATTTAAAGGGATCACCTAATGAGATATTTTATATTTTAAAAATTTTAAAAATAAAAAATTATATTTTAAATATTTTAAATCTGTCTAGAATTCTCCTGTAGCTCCCCGTCCCTCGTACTCCCGACCCCGACCCCGAACGAAAAGTCAACCCCGACCCGTCCCGAAGGCTCTACCCCCGATAAACCCCGATCACCGACACTTCCGACCCCGAAGGCTCGGGGAGCTACCCTAGTTTAAACAAACGAGACCGAAAATCTTCAGTTTCGTTTAGGGTCGTTTTGGAATAGACAATCTATTATGGACAGTTTGTCCTATAAATTTAACTAGAGATCGGACTTGAACGATTTTTTTCTCAATTCTCGTACGATCCTCCCAGTCCGATCTCTAAATTTAAGCTAGTCACTTGAACAAAAGGTTGTCAGTGTTTTTTATTGTCATCTGACACGAATCACATTTTTTCAAGATAAATAATTAAAGTGTTCATTTTAGCTGAAAGAGCTTATCTACAACAGCTTGGAATCGCCGATGAGCAACTGGGTATTTAATTTAATTAAAAATTATCAAAACTAATTTATAATTCAAGAAAATATTCTCTAAGTCTATTTTTAGCACACGTACGTAGGACACTGGAACCTTACCGCAACAAATATATAATGCTTAGTAAAAAGCTTGAAGAAATAGAAAATCTACTCGCCTTGGTAAATATATTTTATTAAGTTGCTAAAACTACAAATTAAGCTGGGATTATGCCACATTCCTTGTTGTGACTTTTGGGGATTGGGAGGGATATCAAGTGATACCCTCCCAAGGTCTCTACTCTCGGTCTCGGACCGAGTCTCGGGGCTGATTCCCAGTCTTGGTCTCGGCTTTTTTCCACTTCCGAACAACCTAGTAACTAGGCGTCAAGAATTCTCTCAGAATTTAAACAATAAATCCAAACCTCACACTAACTAATTTACAATAAAAAAATAGAGGTACATACCGTATAGAGGTCCAAAAAATAGAGGTCCATACCATTCTTAATTTTTATTGGGGTCAAAACATATTTTATGTATATGCAACTGAATAAAATTTAAGAAATAGAGCATTTCCAAAAATTTCGAGATAAAGATTATTTGAATAATTAATTTTGAAAGGGTTCAACCAAAAAACGAGAAGAGCGTAAACAAAAAATACAGAATGAGCTCTTAGAGATTCAAGATGCTATAGCACCAATTTTCCAGCAGCAAGACGAAAAAGATGTAATTATTTATTAATTTCATTAGAATATTTACCGATAAAATGACGTTCACTTAAGGATTTTATATATTTTACTTCATTAAGATTGCCTACAAAAAAGGTGTTTCGAAACAAGAATCCACAAAAATTGTTATTAGAAAATCGACAAAATGTAAAATAAATAAAATTACCCTCGGTAAAATAAAAATTACCCCTAATTACCCTCGGTAAATGTCCGGTTGGGTACACCCCGATGTACCGCGAAAAAAAACTTTGTTCGAAATTGTCGAATCCGTGGCGCCCTAATATGGTTCGATGCGGCTCGACATGCTGAACCGAACCATTCCAGGGCGCCACGGACTCGACAATTTTGAAGAAAGTTATAGCTCGGCGGTACATTGGGCTCGCGGTACACTGGCATGCTCCCGTCCGGTTGGTGTCCTAGCTGTCTGCAAAGAGACAGCTTTTCCTTCCTTTTCTTGCATTTTTTCTCAAGGAACTTGTTAGGATCTCGTTTAGAGTATCGTGTCGAAAAAGTCTAAGTTTTGGGTTTGGTAACCCGTTCCCGTCCCTGATGCTCATGGTATATTTCTAGATTGATACCGATAATATCGAAACTATCTCAGAAAATTTTGACAGCTTTTAAATATTTTTTATCCATGCCGACATAGATAATCTAGGAAAAATCCGCTTGATTTTGTTTCTATTTATTTACTATAGAATGTATTATATGTTATTTTAGAAGGCATATCGTGAGAGAATCAATGCCTTTTATCCACATCAAGGTGCAGGTAAATCACAAATTATAATAAATATTTAAAAATCAAATCTTAAAAATTAAATTTTAAATAAAAAATAATATAAAAAACAATGTTTTACACTCTAAAACAGGTGGTTGGAATTGGAGGTGGGGGGGGGGAGTCGGAATTCCGATTTCCGGCGTTTTTTCCTTCCGATTTCCGAAAAAATTTCGATTTCCGAGTTCCGGCTTTTGAGCCAGTTCCGATTTCAGGCTCTTCCGATTTCCGACACCTCTGACTGTTCCGACCCACCTCTGCTCTAAAATGATTAATAATTCATTCTCAAGGGGGTAGTCAATCAACAGCAAATGAAGAAAATGCTCCTACATACTACGACTTCCTTGGAGGAGCTGGTTCTAAATTTTACACTTTAAAATGATTAATAATTTATTTTCAAGGGGGTAGTCAATCAACAGCAAATGAAGAAAATGCTCCTACATACTACGACTTCCTTGGAGGAGCTGGTTCTAAATTTTACACTTTAAAATGATTACTAATTTATTTTCAAGGGGGTAGTCAATCAACGGCTAATGAAGATAATACTCCTAAATACCACGATTTCTTTGGAGGGTCTGGTTCTAGCGGACATGGAGGAGGTTTATATTTTCAACCAGAATTATTTAATAAATTAAAAAATGATGTCAAATAAAAAAAGTTAACTTAGTGGGATGAGTAACTTTGAATGGGATTTAAACTTTACATAAATCCTGAAACAGAATTTAATTGAATTACAATGTAAAACAGATAGCTATTTAATTCCTAAGAGTAAGAGCAAGGTAAAAGTTTAATCCCGGGCAGGCTTCGATCCTGCGACCTCCTGATAGCCCCAACTCTCTTTACTATAACAGTGGCTTGAATATGAACAAACATATTACTCCCTTTCATTTTTGTTTTATCAACTAAGATTCACCGAATTACATACCATGAATCTGCGTGTTTCACCTTTTTTGGACTTTGTCTTTGGCATTTTCGTTTATCGTTCCAACTCTAACAATAATTTTCTGTTTCATCAGACAAAACCAAAATAATTATTTTATTTAGGGAGCAATTACTGATGACTTTATTGTTTGCTTCAATTACAAAAGAATGTTGAAAAAAACAAGAAATCCATTTCTTTGGATAAATCGCCAGTTATTAGTTAGTAGATCAAAAAAATATTTATTTTCTGGCATTCTGTAGTTTTTAAAAAAATTTTAGATAAAATTAAAAAACCCAGCCTTTTTATTGAGTAAAAATTTGAATTATCAAGAGCTATGTATGTCTAAACAAAAAACAGTTGGTATGAATGGGAGTTGAAATCTAAAATTAAAAATTTAAATTTATATTAAATTGAAAATGTCAGAAGCGAATTTTAAAAATATTTTTGAAAAAAATGTAATAATTTTAAAATAAAATATATTTAAATGCCCATATATTATTATTTATTATATTAATAAATAATAATTTATTAATATGGGAATTACTATATTATTATTGTAGTAATATTACTATATTAATACTACCTAATTACCGTATTTTCTCAAATCCGTAGAAAATATACATTACCTCGTAAAATGGTTATAACACAATTAACCCAATTAAAAAATCCACCTGATTTACTTGACAACACGTCAAGTTTTATTTTTTTGATTCCAACAACACCTAGAAATTTTAGTTTCCGTTTATTCACACATTTTTTGTCATAGCGTTATGGTATGACGAAAATTTATACAAAAACAAACGTCAATGTATGTGTAAAATTACAATTTATTCAAATCTATTAGTAACAGAGCGCACGATCCAACAGAAAGTTTAATTTTACACCTAAAACTTTGTTTTGTTTTAGAAAAATTTAAAAATTCATTTTCCTAATTAATTTAAATATAAATTATTTCTATTGAATTTTTAATTTTAAATACGTACAACAAGGGAAAATATTTTTGTTAGCCTTTTAAAATCCCTTCCCCCCCCTCAAGTCTGCGCAAGCATAGCTTCCCCTTTTTAATATTTGTTTTAAATATTTGTTTTTAGTTAACCCTTCCCCTTCCCCCCCCCCTCCCTTCCAAAATGTGGCCCTCACTCGGACAGTCCAAAAATCTTTTTTCTTTTTTCGGGGAATTTTCTCTCCCTCCTTTGCTTTCCACGGACTTTATTATATAATATTTATTTTTGTTTCCAAAATACTTGACTAAACATACAAATATATACACTTCCCGTGTTGACTATAGGTCATTTTATTTTTATTTGAGTGAAGAAAATTTTAAATTTTTCAGTTAAATAATTGCTTATTTTATTTAATTATCGGTTAATTGTTCTTTTCTGTTAGTCCGAAAGAAAAATTTTGTTCGGGAATTTTTTTCGAAAATTCTATTCACCAAATTTACTGTTAAGATTATCTTGGAATTCAATATCCCCAATCACTAAATTACTCCAAATATTTTTATTGCAGTCCCTAAAATCCCGGGATTCCGCTAATTAAAAAAATCCTGTGCAAAGAGTGTTATGTATTTTATTCTATTCTTATTGGTGAGATCAGTACAGTTGAAACTGAACAATTGAAATATTTTTTGGAAGAATCGAAAGTAGATGGGAACCTTGTGAAATTAATCTCAAAAATCCCGAAATCACGACAATTCCAAAAATTGAAAAATAACAGGATTGGAACTGGATATAATAGAAAAATCACATACAAAATAATTATGGGCCTTCTGTTAAATCTTTTTTAAGGAGAGATAAGTTCAATAAGGCCTTACTAATGATTTTATTATTTTTTTATTTATTTTTCATAATTATTATTAATTTTAAAATTTATAGATTTTAATGTTAAAAATAAATTTAAATGTAAATATTGATAAGAAAATTAATTTAAATATTTTCTTCTTTTTCGCCCTTTTATTTAAAATTTTAATAATAATAAATGCCCAATTTCCACAAAATCAAATGGGAGGAGGACTTCCCCCACCTCCACCCCCTGTAGCTATTCCTGTTGGTGGGGGTAATGTTCCAGTAGTGGGTGGGGGTGGACAGAATATTGGTCCTCAAGGATCTCAACTTTTTTCTGGAATTGGAGATAATTTACTTTATGGAGGTAACTCTGATTATGTTTTGTTCGAATTTAATTCTGATTTTGTTTGAATTTATTTCTGATTATTTTGTTTTGTTTCAATTTAATTCTGAAATGGTATACTGAGTTATTTCTGATCATTTTCTGATTTAATTCTGTATTTATTAACTCTGAAATGTTTTAATTAAATTCTGATTTTGTTTGTATTTTTTTCTGATTCTTATGTTCCGATTTAATTCTGATATGTTTCGTTTTATGTGTTTGTTGTTCAGAGTTCCATTCCGGAAAACTTGAAATAAAATTCTGATTTTCTATTAAAACTAACCAATATTCTATTTTCTCAGTAAATTTGGTCCCTTTTGGCCCAGAAGTTGGCGACAGAAAAGTCCATCCAGGATTTTTGACAGCTGGACAAACAATAGATTTATATATGTATTTTCCTTTTTATGGAGGTCTTTACAACTATACAACTGTAAATAATTAAAAATAAATATTTTTTTAATAAATTAAAAAAGTTGTCAGTAAATGGATATATGGCTTTTGCTACAGTGCTTGACCAAGGCCCCACAATTGTAAATTTAAAAATATTTTATAGAAATAAAAATAAATTAAAAAGAATGTCGGTCCCGAAGCTACAGATTGGCCTAGACAACAAGATCCAGCGATGATTGGCCCTTATTTATGCAAACAACAAGTAACTATTTATTCTTTCCCTTCAAAAAACCCCCTTCCTTCCCTTAATTAGATACCCCAAGATAGCAATGTAGCTTTAAGATCGGGTGTTTATTATCGTTTAATTATGAGACAATCAATGTTTGGTAGAGGTTCTGGAATGAATGTTGGAGGGCCAGATGTTGGGGGAACAATGCCGGAAAGTAGTTTCTTTGGTTTTCGTTTTCAAAAATGTCCGGCGGCTGCTGACAATTATGTAAGGTGTGACGCCGCTGGAGATTATTTTCTTGATCAAATGATGCGTTGGTTACAGGGTAATTTGTTCGAATTAAATTCTGATTTTCTCCAAGCATTTCTCTCTAAATTTTCAGAAGGAAAATTTGTTCAGATTTAATTCTGATTTATTATAAATGTATCCCAATTATAACATGTCCTCATTAAATGACTGAAGAAACATGTTCAAATAAAATTCTGATTTTCTTCCAAACATTCTCTTAATAAAATTGAATTAGTATGCTTGTTCAGATTTAATTCTGATTTTTATAAATAGTGTTTCCCAAACATAACATACTCCTCAATAAATGTCAGAAGAACATGTTTAAATAAAATTCTGATTTTTTCCAAACATTTCTCTCTAAATATTCAGAAGGAGTAGCAGGGGCAACAGCATTTTGTGCAGATGCTGCTTTAGTCGTTACCTGGTATAACACAGCCTCTGCAATTTCTGGAAGGGCAGATATTGATGGGGGGCAATTGGCTACCTATCAAGTTGTTTGGTTAACTGACCAAGCCGGAAGACTTAGTTATGTTATTTTAAATTATGACAAACTTGGATTTGATGCTGCTGATATTCGAATGAATTCTAGAAGTGGAAGGTGTCAGGTATTTTTTTTTGAATTTTAAATTTCTGATTTTTAAAAATCTTCAGGCACTTTTCAATGGAGGGAATCACACAGGCTTTGTGCTTGTAGACCCAACACAAAATTACAAAAACACCCCAAAAGTCCTAGCTCAGCGTTCTGGCGTTCCTCACATGGTTCGTGGCCGTTATATGTTTAGAGTTGATGATGTTGTTAGGCCTGGAGGGTGTTCAAATAAAACTGGGGGAACTTGTAAGTTTTTTAATTTGGAGTAAAAAAATATTTTTTAAACAGACCCAATAATGATATATCCAAATATTGTAAATATGTTGGGTGAAATGACTGTTGATGTTAATGCTATTTGTTTGGATAGAACACAAACATATATTTTAATGATTGAACAAAGACAGGTAATTAATTCAAACTTGTTTTTCTGTTTTTTCTGATTATGTTTTTATTTAATTCTGATTTTTTTTTTACTTAATTCTGTGTTTTTCTAACATGTTTTCTTCTTAGTTCTGATGTTTTTATTAAATTCTGATTAGAAAAACACCTAAAACGGATTTTTCTCAACTTGCTTTCCACCTATTTATTCTGATTATATTTAATTCTGATTTATTTTCCTCTTTAAATTCCAACTTGTTTCCCTCAGATCTGTTGATGTTCTTCTTTGTTTCTGATTATGTTTTTATTTAATTCTGATTTTTAAAAACATTGTCTTCCCAGCATGTTTTTCCTTCTCTTTAAATTTAAAAATTAAAGACAGCTTCTTGTATTGTACTTAATGCAGCAATGGCTAGATGTAATATTCCAAAAATTTATGATTGGGGAACTAAAACTGTGTTTTTCCAACCACAAAGTCAAGGAGCTAATGATGAAAGGGCTTTTGTTGGATATATTTATTTTGGTTAGAAAATGTTGAATTTTTTGGAAAAAAAAATATTTTAATTATTTTTTAGTTCCCCCAACATTAGATCCTATGCGTTTGGATGTTGGCAATATTTATGGTAACTACCTATAAATCCCTCTAAAAAATAATCTAACCAATTTAAAGATTGGTACAAAAATCCCTTACCAAATATCGTTATGCCCATTTCTTGGTATCCCCGCAACTTTACAAATCCAGATTTAAACTTTTTTGATCAAAACATGCATATAAGTGATGATGCCGTTTATGGTGTTCAATTGGGTTTATATGTTATTGGTTATAAAGAATCTAAGGATGACCAAGTAAAAACATTTTCTTTAAAACATTTGTTTGATACAAACATTTGTTGCTAAAACATGTTTTTCTTAAAATTGTGCATGTTTGTTAATAAACAAGTTTGACCAAAACAAACAGAGAAAAACAAGTTTTTCAAAATAAGCATGTTTCTAAACATGTTTATTTAACTAAAAACAAGTTTACTAAAATAAACTTGTTTGTATACAAACAAAGTTTGTTTCCAACTAAGTTGTAAAAACATTGTTTTTATGTTTACAAGCAAGTTTACTTTATCTAAACTTGTTTGTAAAACATGTTTATTTATGTTTAAATTTAGATCAAAAAATTCCGCCCTGAACATCGAGTTCTTTGTAGATTAGCAACTTATTCTAATAGAAATACTTATGAGTATAGATGGAATGCACAGAAAGAGAGAATTAATTTAAATCAAGTTGAACAATGGTTTTTTAGAGAATTACAAAAAATCTAAATTTATTTAATTTAAAGGTACATGAATGATTGGGAAAGAATGAATGAACTTTTTACGTTTAGAGTTGGATATTTAAAATTATCTCCTGTACGGACAAACGATCAAGCGGGGTTTCTAGCCCCTCAGCTTCTTTCTGGGTATGTCTAATGTCCAGAATTTAGCCAGAAATTAAGTTAATTTCTCTCGTTAATTAGCCTTGTTTCTGGTAGGACCGCGACCGCCCTTCCCGGAATAGATAAATGCACGTGAGGAAATAATAATCAGGCGGCTCATATCTTCTTCAGCCGACCTCAACTAAATAAACACTTTAAATAACCGATAAATAATAGAATACTCTGATCATTCTCGCACTCTTTTTCCTTACTTGCCTAGCAAGATCATGTGACTTTATTTACCCACAAAATTAATCTAATCTCTCCTTAATTAGCCTTGTTTCTGCCCCAATTTCCCTTCACTGGCTTTGGACTATTGGAAATCCTCGATATGAAACAACAACATTTTCTCGTCAAGAACAAGACGTTCAACAAGAATTTATTGCTCAAAAAGCAAAAGAAATGTGTCATGATTGGTTTGATGAAGATGGGGCTCAATGGAAGTTTGTTACTCTGATATTCCGAAAATATTTAAAAATATTTCAAAGCTTTATTCGAGATGTAGAAACAAATGCTTCCTGTCCTTGTATGGAAAATCAGGCCAAATTCGATTTAGGACGATTTATGCCTCATCCACGTTGTTCACAAACATTTAGAGATATAACCTGTACTTCTATGATTGGGGCTAAGAATTGTTATATGAGTGTAATCTGATTTTTAAATTTTATTTCCAAAACAGAGCAATAGCTGTTTGAAAAATCTTCGAAAATCTTATCCCAAATCCGGAGATTTCCCAGGCTTATGGGTCAAGTTTGTCAGAAATCAAAAATTGAAAAAGTTTGGTGAATATTAGTGCTCATTTGGCCCTTTTACCTAGGTGCTAAGAGGTGGGAATTGGTTGGCGGGCCTTGAAATTCCCAGATTTTGAGATTAGGAGCCAATTTTAAAACAGCCATTCTCCTCTCTCTCTCTCCCTCCCTCCCTCATTCCCCCTTTAAATTTCCAGTCATCCAACATTTACGGCTCTTATTCTGGCAGGCATTTTGATTATGGTTATGGATATAGTGAATATAGTAGAGGAGATTTTTATAGAGATAGAGGGCCAGAAACGGGAGGTGAAGGAACTTCTTTTGGTGGTGGATATTATGGAAGGGATGGACAAGATAGGGGAACGTTAGTTAACTTTTTGAACGGAAAGAGTTAATGTTTTTATTTTTTAAAGACGATTTCCAACACATTATGGACAAGTTTGTTGTTATGACGAGAAGGGTAATTAATTAATTAAAAATAAATTAGGGTGGCGACTAAGTTAAGTCATAAAGGAGATAAGGTTATATATGTGGAGGTGGTGGTGAAGGAACTAGGTATTTTAAGTAAATGTAAGAGGGCGTTTGAGGCGCTTGACATAAGAACTTGGCCTTGAAAATCCAATGATATCTCCTGAAATGAGGTATACCTTTAGATTGGTATAAGGCCTATGACAGAATCTACTATGACAGAATTTAGAAGGAGCCATCCTCTAATAATTATAAAATTTTTCCATAATTTTAAAGGATTTTTAATGCAAACAACATACCAACCAGTCATTAAAGTAATTGAAGAAACTCCCTATAATCCAGGCTTTCCACTGAGAGCCTATGAATTTGGTACCCCTCCATATATGGGGCAGTTTGAAGTTCCTGGTCTTTCTGCCTTTCACCATGATTATATGCCTTATTTTCTTTGTTGTAAATTTGCCAAATTTCGTTGCCAACTTTTTTATTGGAGAAGGCCAAGTAGTGGATGTCAACAATATCAACCACCAGCTATTGGTTTTTTGAAAAGATTTTTTCTCAAAAATTTCTTTTTAAAAAATATAGGGGAAGCAATGGGTGCTGGTACTTTCCACACTATAGACAACGACAAATTTGTTTTTAACGAGCCTGGTGTTTACACACTTCTCCACATTCCCAAAACAATAAATAATCCCGAAGTTCGGATCCAAATTCGTTTGGAACGTTATCCCAATAGACGTGTAGATTTTAGTATGCTAGGCCGTTATCTCTCTCAAGAGCAATTAGTTCAACCTACAAATGCTACTGTAATTACTGGAATTGCTTTGGAGGCTACTGGGACTGAGGCAAATTCTAATTAATATTTATTACTTGTAGTTAGTGTTCTGCTGGTTCCAAAAATTAGTTCTGTGGTCATGAACCATAATTAAAAATTGAAAATGCCCTGGAACCTAAACGCGGTCGGACTATAAGATATCCACTTGAGGTTTAAAAATTTCGTCATCTCTCTCAAGAGCAATTAGATAGTCCCCATTGAAACATTAAATAGTCCCCCCTATAACCAACAGTTAAATGTGAAAAACGTTTTTGAACTGAGGTTTATATAATTTTGAGGGTATCATATAATAGACCCCATAATTAAACGCTTATAAATTATTATATACTATTTCCGTTTAGAGAGTCTTAGTGTTGGCAAGAGGTGACACTCGGCGATTTCGCTATCGTACTTCTGTTATTATTGGAAATATACTTCGGTATTTTGACACAATGAGACTGCAACGATTTAAGGGTTAAGACTTCTAATTCTAATCCCTTCGCTTATCCCAAACATTTCAGGAGTTCTAATTTATGTAAATAACGTGGAAAGAGGCCAACCAGAAGTTTATGTAGTTTTGGAGGAAGCCCAAATTGGTGTTCGAATAAGAGAAAGTTATTCTGTTGATATTGACAGAATGCCAATGTATCAAGAATCTATGGGTATTTTGGATATTGCTTTAAGTGTTCCTCCTCAATATGGAGTGGTAGGGGAAATAAATAAATACTTATTTTTAATTTAAAAAAGCAACCAGATGGAGATAAAACAAGAGATCAAGAAATGCGTCAACGTTATAATTTGCCCCGAGTGTCAGGTTTAATGCGTCCATTCCCTGATACAGTTACAGGCTCTATATACAGCACTTTGACTTTAAATGAAGTTAATTCTGAATCAATTAGACAACAAATAATTACTTACTATAGAGTGCCTGGGTCTGGAGAACGTTTTACTGATTATCAACAACAAACATTGAATCAGTATATGATACCTACTGATAATATGTAGGGGAATTTATATAGATTAACTAAATAGGGTGGGGACTGGATATGATGAGTTTGATCGTGGGAGGGTTTGATCGTCCACCTGTAAAATTAGGAGCAAATTTTACAGGTGGGTATCCCATGGATGAATATATTCGTAACAATCTTTATCATGAAAGCGTCAATATTATGTAGAGACCTGTTTTTGCCTAGGATGGACTCCACCTATTACTTAAACTTGGAACTAAACCATTTTAACACTACAATAATTAATATTATTAACCCAATTTCTAAACAACTTAATGTCCATGAAATCTTTTAGGTTCACAACCAGCCGAGAGGAAGACAAAAAGTTCGAAGCCTTCCCAGAGGCCGCAATGAAAAACGAACCAATCTACAAAACTGCCCAAATTTACGAAACACCCCAATACAGATTTGTGCCTAGAACAGGCTCTGTATTAATGCAGATATTACAACAATGCAATGATTTAGCTTCGAGAGATACTCGTAAGAGGAGGGAAAAAATAAAAAAATAAAATCTTTTAAAAGTCGGAATGCAACCTTATCAAGGCCAACTTTATTGGGATTGGGCTTCTCAATGTCCAGACAATCCAGGCAAAATACTTCAACATTGTGGAGATAATGTTCCTTGTCTTTATGATTTTACTCTTTTAAATGCTGAAGTATTAGGGAATGAAGTAAAAGATACTTGGAATGCTTTTTTCCATGATAGGGGACAAGCAATTAGAAGTTATAATAGTTGTGGACCTATAAATATTGAATATCCTGTAAGTGTTTTTTGAAGGATTTTTGAATAATGTCCTCTCCTCTTGTAGGAATATATGATTAAAACGCCAGCATTAGCTCCAAGTTATATGCAAGGAGATGTTGCTAGATTTGAATGTTTTCAGGCAGAACTTTTATTCTTAATTATAATTTTAAATATTTTAGTCTCACTGGATAAAAGGTGATTCCGAATATAAATGCTCACTAGTTGTTGATTATAATGTGAGTTTGAAATTTTGTATTGCAGAATTATTGTCCTTATAATTATTGTCCTTATAAGAATTGACTTTATTATAACTGTTGATCTGCCTGGGAGTCGAGAACGATATCTCAGAAAATTCTCGATCTTAATAACCGAGCTTTTCGATCGAGCTCTTGTCTAGATCTTTAATCGATACCCACCTCATGCCTATCCATAATATAATTATTGTATGAATTTTCAGTACCCCAATAGCTATAGATTTGAATGGAATAAAGGTGGACAGCCTTGGTGCCGTTCTAGAGAAATGGATAATATGTTGACTTGGTTACTAGGCATACTTGGGTTTGCTTAAAATTGTACAACTTTTAAAAAAAATTCATTAATAATTCAGAACAGTGGGTATTATACTTGTAGTTGTTCTCCTATTCCTCAGTTGTTGGTGTATTAAAGTTAAAAGAAGGCAGGATCAAGTAAATGCTGTTGGAGGCCCTTTACCTGGGAAATTTGCAGTAGGGTCAATTACTAGTTTGGAGCCTCCACCTAATTTGAATGAGGAAAATGCTCCTCAAATGGAAGAAACTTCTACAGCAATGCCTGAGGGGATTTTAGGGTTAAATACTAGCGTTTGAAAATATTCTAAATGAAATTTAGTAATAATTTAAATGAAATTAATTGGATTTTTAATCATTTATTTAATTATATTTATTTAAAAAATTAAAGAAAAAATTTAGATTAAAATAATTTTTAATTATTTTTGAGCGGAGAATAAACAAGTGAGAATTTTAAACAAAAATATGAATTAACAGTCGGACCTCATTTTTAGTTATTCTCTTGGCCTGAAAAAATTTACCTTATAAAAGGGGTATCTTAGATTTTGAGGAGGGTTGTTCACTACCGGCTATTAACCAATACCCCCGGTTTTCGGTTATCCCAAATTTTAAAAACCCGGCTTACAGTTTTGAGTTTTGGTCAAATACCAGTTTTTTGGAGGAATTTATAAGAAAATTCACTCATTTCCAGAAGTTTTCGGTTTTTTAGATTTTGTAAAAAACGGTTAATTTTGGCAAAAAAATATTAAATTTTTGGTTTTAAAATCGGTCGTGAATAACCCTAATTTTGGTGTATCCTCTGGATTTCCACATCTCTACCACACCCACTCTATGGCCAAGCATATTTTAGATTTGATTTCCGATTTTTGGATGTATTTAAAAATGAAGTCAACTGTTCTGTAAAAATATTTAAGAGATCATCTAAAAAATATTTAGGCTAATTTTAAATAATTAATTAGATATCCTTCTATAAATTAACAAAATTAATAAATATATCATTACTAATTTAAAATTAAAAATTTGTATCCTTCTTACAGACGAATTTAAAGGTAAAGCATCTAATAAATCGGTAGCTCTAACTTGTTTGATAGTAGAGAGAAGGAGCTGATACCTTTCTGATTTTTCTAGCCAAAAATTTAATTCTAACTCGCGGACATATTGAGAACAATGCTGAGAAATTAAAATATTTTTGAGGATTTTTTTATATTTGGAATCCTAATGAAAGGAAGAAAAGCCAGGGAAGCTCGGCCGGTAAAGCACCTTTGTGGTTAGCGAAGGGTCTGCAATAACTCTCAAAAGCAGGATCAATGACTACTAGGGCTAAACTTTTACTTCTCCCTTCTCTATAATGTAGAGTTGAGGGTTGTCGATTCCTGGAAATCCTTCGGATATCCGGAACCGAACCGAAGAACCGAACCAAAAAACCATAGGTTCCTCGGTTCGGTTCTGTTCAGTACAGAACTGACAACCCTACTATAATGTCCATGAAATTTATACGATCGGAAATTTCTGCCATGACACGAAAACATGTTACTATCCCAAAACCAATATAGAAAACCCCGAAGAAAATTATGGATCCAAGATCAAGAGTCTTGGACATCACTAGAAATAGAAGGGGGCTAGCCAAGAAAATTTATTGGCCAAGATTTAATTATTTCCCCATTCCCAATAAAAAATTAATTGAATATTGACTTTAAAAATTAATTTTTTACCTTCTCCATTTTCCCACTTTGCCATTTTGGCTGAGTCTGATTTGCAGAAAGGTCAATACCAAACCACTGGATTTGCATCAAAACAACCTTTATTTAGTTTGTTTTTTATAAAAATATTATTTAAATTACCTGCTCAGATTTAAAATGTTCAACAACCACAAATCTACATTTTAATCCCCCAGGTAATAACCTTTCTAAAGCAAATCGAAGTCTTGTGGCTAAGTCTTTAATAAGTGAATTGCTCTAAAAATTGAGAAAATATTTCTAAAAATTTCTAAAATTTCTAAAAATTCCTTAAAAATTAATTACAAACATGGCTAATAAGGCCGCTTCGTTCCAAAACCAATTTAGGCACCTTCTCTCTAATAATATCTATTTCTGCCTGTGAATACCCCAAACTCAAATATATTCCAGGTTGTAATTCAGGCTGTAATTCCGAACTGTCACAAATAAATTGTCCATTATGGCATTGACAGGCGCCTCGATTTTCCAAGTAAAGGCGTTGACCGAATACTTTATAAAAATAATATTTAAAGTTTTGTGTTAAATGAACTTGTTTTTCAAGGTTGTAATTTTCAATTTTAATTATATGTATTTTATTCGTGTTTTTCAAGTTTTGTGTTTAATGAACTTGTTTTTCTTGTTTTTAAGTTTGTGTTTTATATTTGTATTTTCCAAGGTTTATTTTCAAATAAACTTGTTTTTCAAGTTTAATTGTGTTTTGTTTGTATTTTTAAAGTTTTGTGTTTATTCAAGTTTTGGTCTCAACTTGTTCCTCATGTTTGTATTTTTCCAAGTTTTATTTTTTATTTTCCAAGTTTAATTAATCAACCTGTTGTTGTATGTTTTGTTTCACACTGAAGGTCTTGTAAACATCCAAGAGAATGACACCGTATTGTGTGAGAACTAGCATTTTCAGCTTTTCCAGCTTCCTTCCCCTTAACTACACATTCACACCAACTTGAGCAACGGCCTGACCAGTCATGATATTGTCGAAAGATTGAATCAGTATAATGTTCTACCCATTCTCCATCGATGTTTCTAGTTCGACAACCGCGTCCTAAAACATTTAATAGATTACAACTTGTTTTGTTGGGTTGTTTATATGTTTTTAAATTTTAATTTATATATGTTTTGGTGAGAAATGTTTTATTTGGGGTTTGTTTGTTTGCCCATTTTAAGTTTAATTATGTTTTGTTTGTGTTTTTTAAAGTTTAATTGATGTTTTTCTGCAACTTGTTTTGTAGCATTAAAACTTGTTTTGGTTTGTTTGTTTTTAAGTTTAAATTTATGTTTTTCTGTTTGAAATGTTTTGTTTGGGGGTTTTTGGTTTAATGTTTTGTTTGTTTTAATTTTTATGTTTTGTTGGAGATCTTGTATTGTCTGTTTTCAAACTTAATTATGTTTTGTTTATGTTTCCAATTTTTACTATAGGTATTCATTCAAACATTTAAAGTTTAGCTTGTTTTTAAAGTTTTATTCAAACCTTCATTTATTTTTGGTGTTTGAAACACATTTACATCAATTTGTTGAGCATCAATAAATGAGCCATTTTTATTACCCAATATTTTCCTCCCAATCGGCCGTTTACGCTTTTTAATAAATTCTACTTTATCAATATTATTGTTTGTTTCATTTTCTTCTTTTTTATCCAAATAATAGCTTAATAATTGCTTGTTTTTATTTTTATTGTTCCCCTCTTTTTCCGCTTCTTCCTCCCCATTTTTATTTTTATCAACAATCCCGTCCTCATCTTTTGGTGGGAATGTTGCTGTCTTTGTTGTCATTAAACTCCATTGAGTGTTCTCCTTTTCCCCTCCTTCCTTTTCATTATTTTCAAAATTTTCGTCTGATTTTTCGGCTGATTTTTCGATTGTTTTTCGATTGATTTTCTCTTTAAAAATATTCTCTTCCTTATCCAAACTCTTCCCACCCTTATCCTCTTCAAGTAAAAACACCCGCCTTTCAATACTTCCAAATTCCATATTTTTTGTTATTTGTTTTTTGGGTAAACTAATATTATTATTATTTATTTTACTCCTCCTTTTATGGTCAAGTTTTATATATCCGTCAATATAAAGTTGGTTGAAATCTGTTGCTACTTTTTCTGGAAAAACAGAAATTTTAGGAAAAATTTTTTTTTAATTTTTTCACCAATACAAGGGTGCTTAGGCCAAAGTGTCATCTCCCACTTTTTACATTCCTTAAAATCACCCCCTCCATTAGATTTACAAAAACAAGGCTCGTCGAGCCATGTTCCTCTAGATTTGGTTAATGCTAAACGACATCTACGTAGAGAAGTGGGGTTATCTGGTAGCAGGCAAGATGGTGAGGTATAGGGAGAAGTTGTGTTGGATGTTGGGCAATAAGTTAATAAATTGTTTATGTAATGGCTGAAAAAAGAATAAAAGTTTTCCGGAAAATGTTTTCCGGAATTTTTGAATTATTTTGCAAAGACTTTTGTAAACATTTTGTAAACCAAGTTTGTAATTTTCCGCCTGTTTTCCGGAATTTTTTAATTATTTTGCAAAAACATTTTGCAAAACAAGTTTGTAAGTTTTCAGGAAAATGTTTTTAATTCTTTTGCAAAAACATTTTGTAAAAACATTTTGCAAAACAAATGTTTGTAATTTTTCCGCCTGTTTTCCGGAATGTTTTGTTTTAATTTAATTATTTACTTGCAACGAGGTTGTGCTTTACACATTTTTGCTGTTCTAAAAACATTGTTTATATTTATTTAAACATGTTTTCACAAACTGTGTGCAACTCCAACGTGTTTGTTGTTGTTTTTGTTCATTAGAATTGGTTAAATCTGACGAACATTGTTTTGTATTTAATTGTAAGACAGAGGGCAACTTTTAATTTTTTATAAATTTAATTTCTCCTAAAAAAATTTTTTTTAATATTTACAATTTTCTCCTCCGTCCCTTCATTAATATTGGAAGGATTGCAAAAAAGCATAGCCTCAACCAAAGGAGCAGAAACAAATCTAACAAAGCGGCTAAGAGCAGCAGAGCATTGAGGGGCTCTTTTCTTTAACAAACAATTGTTTTTGTTGTTTTCGTCGTCAAATGTTTGTGGACATTTTATTTGAAGTTCACTTAAAAACAAATGTTTTTTGTTTCAAGTTTGTGTCTATGAGGCTATTCGCCCCTTATAATAAAATTTAATTTAAAAAAATTTTTTAATTGCCTTAAATGCCAATTACAAGCCGTTGTCTCGTCTTTTTCACAAATTCCAATTATTTGGGGGCATGTTGGGATTAGTGTAATGTTGGGGGCATCTAAAATATTTTTTAATAGAAAATTAATTTTTTAAATAATTCTACCAATTGAATAAAATTTTAACAAAATTGAAGAAATAAGGGATATTTGCAAAATTATTATTATTAATATTTTTAGAATATTTAGAAAAAAAATGGAAGGAGGAAAATAATGCATTTTATTAAAAATTTATTTTTTTATTATTTTTAGATTTTTACGGAAATTTATTTTTATATGTTTGTTTAAAGTAAATAAATAGTTTTTTTTTGGTTTCTTTACTTATTTACGGCATTTCTCCCCTTTTATGCCTTTTAAGGATTTTAAGCTTTCAAGTGTGTGAAGGGGCCAATTGCGAAAACTTCTAGTACTTGTGATGGAACGGCAAAAACATTTAAATATACTTTAACACGTAAAAATGCAAATATTAGTGTTTTAAGGTGTGAGGAAAAAATGAAAATTCTGAAAAGATGAGTTTGTTTGGAATTCTGATTTAAATTTGTTCGTTTAAAATTCTGATTTTTATCATGTTTTAAAAACATGTTTTTCATCAAGTTCGAATAAGATTCTGATTTTTTAAATTTTGCTTACTATTTGAAATTCTGATTTCCAATATGTTTGTTTAAAATTCTGATATTCAACTTGTTTTTCTAAAATTCTGATTTTCACTTTGTTTGTTTGAAATTCTGATTTCTACTATGTTTGAGAAACAATTTTTATTCTAGCATGTTTGCGTAATTCTGATTTTTAATTTATGAATATTTTTTTAAAACAAACTTAAAAGTAGGAAGTAATTGCCCCCTAATAAGCATTTTAATATAAATATGTTAAGTGTGTTTATAAGCTTTTAGCGACCTTTTTTGGTGAAAATAAAGCCTAATTAGTGAGAAGGAAAAGAATTTGTTTTTGAAAAAAATATTAAAAAATAAAAGAAAAAGAATGTTGAAAGAGGTAAATGCAACAGAGGTTGAATAAAATTAAAGAAGAAATTAGAAAATATTTTTGAGATTAAATTACCAGAAGTAACATTATTCCCAACAAGTAGGTTTTCTTCCTTGTTTTGATCATCTTTCTCTATAAATCCAGTAATTTTTGTAGTAGGTGGTACTTCTGCTTGTGTTACCAAATGTTCGTTTGTCTGAATTATAAATATAATTAATTTATTTTTATTTAATAATCCCACTTGAGTTGGAAAAATTTGTATAGGTTTTGAGGAATGCTCTTTTACAGAATCATTTCTGATTTTGTTGTTGGTATGTAAAGTTGGCGGTGTAAATGTTTTTATAATTGATGTTTTAATTGTTTTCGGTGTTTCTTTAATTTTATGTTTCTGATAAATTTGTTTTTGTTCTGATTTGTTTTTCTCTTCGTCAAACATGTTTTTCTCAAGTATGTTTTGCAATTCTGATTCGTTTAATTTTTCAGAAATGTTTTTATGTTCATTTAGTTTCTCGAACATGTTTTGCTGTTTGTTTTGACCGGAAACTTTGTTTTGTTGTTCTTTCTGTTCGTTAAAATTATTCTCATTGTCTAACCTTTCTTTCCTACTTATTCCATTACTAGGATTAATCGGCCTTGTTTTTGCCAGATTTTTTCTTGGCTTCTCATCTTTGAGTATCACATTTTTAAATTTAATGGTTGCTTCTTGATTTAATTGTTGAGTAGAAGGTGTAGGTTTTTGTCTTAATTCTTGAATATTTTTCTCATAATTTTGATTATTGCCGTGATTGTGCGAATTGACTTCCTCATTATCTTTTTTTAACTTTTCTCTTCTCCTTTTCTCATTTTCCTGTTCTGCCTTTAGTTGAAGTTTCCTCTGTTCCTGAGCATGGATTCTAGCTAACCTCGCCTCATTAGCTATCATTTGCCTTCTTTTATTTTCCGATTCATTTTCAATTTTTGTATCAACTTTCTCATGGGAAGGGGTTGTTGGCACTTTCATACTCGTTAAAGGGTTACTAGTTAATATAGGTGCAAGGCCTGATCCTCTCCGATTAGCAGAGTATTGAGCAAGACTGTTTAGTTGAACGTGCCATGAAGCATCGTTATTTAACTCAACTAAAATTCAAAATGAATTTTTCGATTGTTTTGCTTACATATGCATTTATTATAGGTTGTTTGGAGTCTAATCCAGTGACAGTCTGAGTTATTTCCTGGGCATGTACATGCTCCGAGTCCTGTCCAACTAATTCCTTCGTAAGACTGCCAACAATCATTTCTATAAAAGTTAACTTAAGCTATCATATTTTAATGGCAAATGAGCTTAATAAACTTAAAATATTAAGTTTACACTTGAAAGTCTAATCCAGCGGCAACTTAAATTCTTAAGTTTAAAATAGGGTGAACCCTGGTCGCTCTTTGCGGGTGTGTCGGGGGACGTGGTCTTCGGAGGAAACTGTTGGGGGTTCGGGTCGGGGATAATAATGAAAAAATCGTTCAGGAACGGGGTACTGGGTTCAAGGCCGAACTCCAACTATAGTTTAAACTCTAGTTACTCCAACTCTAGTCCAAAATGAATTTTACTTACCTATCCTAAGTTATACTTATCCAAAATGAGACTCGAAATCTTAAGCTTAACCCTATAAATAATCAACTTTAAAATAAAAACTTGTTGCTCATTCTGCAATTGTTTTGCGCATCAACAACACAATTACGCCTGAAAAGTACCCACAATTCTCTACAAGAAACATGTTTTAGGCATAATTCGTGTAATGCCCAATTGCACGTTAATATTGAGGGCAATTTTGTGGAGGAGGCGAAAGGGGTGGAAAGATCTTTTTAAAATTATCAAAATTATTTTTGAATATAATTTTCATTCAATTACCTCCACTAAAGGCCAACTTCCATCTCTGTATACTCTCTGAATCCGGTGAACGCTTTGTTCTTGTTTTGCTAATAAATGAAGCTTCTATTTCTGAGATTAGCAATATTTTTAAGGAAAGGATTAAAATTAATAATTTAATTTTTAAAGAAATAATATTTAAAAATTTGAAGTGAATACATCTATACATTTTTTTAAATTTTTAAAAAACTGCAAAAATCAAAATTTATTTTTTAAAAGGTATTGAAAAGTAGAAAACAGCTTGAACAATCGACTTTAGTAAATGTAAAATAATTCTAACTAAAATTCAAATACCTACCTATACATAAAAAAAGAATAAAAAATGAGCAAAGGACTCATTATTTTAATTATTAGAGTTCGATCATTTCAAATTGCCGGGCACGCTATCCGGGGTTTTCTCCAAGTTGATTCGAGAGGTCTCCAGGTTAACTTTCGAAAACCCCGAACGGATTTCCTCAGACTATTAATTATTAAATTTTTTTAAATTATTAGTTCCTAAAAATAAACTTTTTTAAATAAACATGACAAAAGAGTTTAAAAATGAAAATAAACTTGAATAAAGTGTTTTTATTGCATCTTCATAAAAGGGCTGCCGGAAACAAAAGCAGGATTTAGGGGGAAAGAAAAAATTTTCAGCTTATTTTTATGCAAACGGATTATAAAATTGAGTTGCTGCCTTTTAAAAATTTTTGAAAAAAAACTTTTATAATTCTCAATAATTCTGCTTTATTGGCCTAGTTGTTATTTATTAAATCAAATAAAATGGCTGACCCAAAGAATAATAAATTAATAAAACAAAAAAAGCATGAAAATTAATAGAGGAAGGAATATTTCTTTTTATTTTTATATGTATATAAAAATATATGTATTTCTCTTCTTTCCCCGTATAATCTGAACTTTTGCCGAAAAATTAGAAACAGCTGTTTTTCTCTCAGATTTTTAGGATTTGTTTGAATTGAGGAATGTAAAAATATATCCTTTTTCTTTTAAATAAGAGAGAACTAAACAAAAAGGCATGGTTGGGCATGTTGGATTTAGTAGTTGATTGATGGGGACCTTAATATTAAAATATTTTTCTGGAAACAATAAGATTGTAAACATTTTCCGGAAACAATATATATTTTGTGTTTTCCGGAAAATAAATAATATTATTCCTGGGACCAAACTACCGCGAGTCAAATGTACCACCAAGCTATAGCTTCGTGTAAAGTTGTCACATGCTTCGATGTGCACATGCTTCGAACCATACCAGGGCGTTTCAAGTTATAGCTCTGTGGTACATTGGACTTGCAGTACCTTGGGATATACGTTAATAATATTAAATGATGCTTTTCAGGAAAATGAATATTATGAAATGTTTATGAAATATTGTTTTAGTAAATTCTTAACAACTTGAAACTACATATATAATTTAATTCAAAACAATTCATTTATAGTAAAAATATCACAGTTGTTAAAATTAAATTGTTAAAATTAAATTTTGCAAGCTTTTCATCAGTTGATGTTATGTCTCACTTCCGTAAAATATTCTTTTCACAGCTTTGAAAAAATAAATGCAGTCATTTCCCACTTGCGCAATATTCCCAACGAGATGAAACTTTCTTTAATTTTTTAAATTTCTCAAATAATTTGTACTTTATTGCTTAAGTTTACTAGTGTACTAGTTTACTAGTTTTTTGTACTAGTTTAGTTATTTTGAGCGGCTGTCCGTGAATTTTTAAAAATAATTTTCCTTATCCGACTTTTCTGAAAACATTTTCCATTCCAATTTTGTATAAGCTCAAGTAATTATCCTGGGTAGTTATTAGAGATAGGAAATTTTGAAAAGCCTGGACCTGTTCCTAGACTCTGAAGTCTATTTATTGACCTGATCTAGATTCTGGGCCTGTAGTCCAGGAAAAACCCAGGCCCAGGAAAACCCCAGAAAAGTCAAAAAATGCCTAGACCTGGACTCTGGGTACAGGAAAACCCCAGGCCTTGGTTCAGACCCAGGCCGATCTCTAGTAGTTATTGTTTCAACTTCTCGCTAGAGAATCGAGAGAGCAACTAGGAGAATTTTAGGAGAGGGTAATTACTCGATAATAAGCCTCCTATAAACATATGTTTAGCTTTTCCTTGTTTGTCTATATTATTTGTTTTATTAGACATTTCCTGTTATCTAGGCCCGTATTTAGACATTGTCTATCCAGTAAATATTTTCGTCGATTTCTAAAGATTATCACTAAAAAGGAAACATTTAATTGCACTTTTTCCGCCTTTTATTTTTTTATTTTCTCACCGACAAAGTCTGTAGCGGCTGTTGCGATTTATTTATTTATATAGCCAGGCACGTCTCGCTTCCGTTACAATATGAATGGCACTTGTTTTTCTTAAAATTGTATAAATTTGCGAAGTTTTCAATAAGACAAACAATAATTTATTAAATGTTACTTTCCGGAAAATTTAATATTAGGTATGGTTAAGTAGAGAATATTAAGTAGAGGAACTCGTACGGGATTTAGCGGGACGTCCCGGAATTAGGGGGTTTATCGTGATCGCCCATATCTAACAAGCTTATTCAAAGTTGCCTATTGGAAAATAAAACCCAGGGCTTTAGTTAGAACATTTACATGAAGCAAACAATTGTTGAAATAAAATAGTAACTAGTGTCCGGTGCCGGACCTAGCAGCTAGTGTCCGAACCTAGCTAGCAGCAAAAAAGTTGCGGTCTGATTTAAAGGGATTAATCGGATTTAAGAGATTAATCCATCTGGATCCTAGTCTCCTTCAACCTTTTGAAAAGAATTTTTTTATAGGATCTCGGATTTGCGCTTTTTCAGTTCTATAATTAAATCTTTCTTTCCATAAAACATAATTTCCGGAAATTTTAAAAAAGTATTTCAGCTTTAATTAAATTAAAAATTAAATTTAAATTAATTTTAAGTTACATTTTATTGCCTTTTTTAAATTTTAAATTTTTTTCTTTGTTTTATTCAATTCCTTTGAAAAGGGCATTTATTCATATGATTCCTGAGACAACAATGGGTCTATTTCTAGACAATGTCTATCTTTAAAAAAAAATTTTTTTTTATTTAATTCTGAATATTCCTCAGTAAATATTCCCCAATTTTAATTCTTCTTTAATGAATTTTCTTAAAAATTTATTTTTAATTAATTTTTAATAGAGTTGGGCGGAATCGGGATCCCGGTCAGGATCGGGCGGGATTCCGGGTTTTTTGAAACCTTCCCGATTTTCTGATCCCGAGACCGAAGGAAAAATTTCTATCCCGATTTTGGCCAATCCCGATCCCGCAGTCGGGACCGGACTCGGAATCGGGATCATTATTCCAAAATCTCGATTCTTTAATCGGATCGTCACAGACTCTAAACCAAAAATGCCTGGTCAAATTTGATTGCCTGGGAGAACCCTATTGCCTGTTTGATGCCACGACCTTGGTCAATTGCACTTTGGTCTACTTTGCCTGAGGCAATTCTCCCGCTTAACCCTAATTTTAATTAATTAACAAGTCTAGCCTTTAACGGCTATACGCCTTTGTCTGTTAAACATTTTTCTCTTCGAATTGTCCCTTCCGGAGAACAAAATATTAAATTTTAAAAATATTTTTTAAATGTTTAGGTTAATCAAATGTTTCCAAAATTTTTATTTTTTGTTTGTCTTTTTTCTTGTTTCAATTTATTTTGTTTTGCACCTCCTCCAAGTTTGTCTAAAATAATTTTTCCTGTCCCTATTTTTCATTTTTAGCAGCTTCAACTTCCCAAGTTACCGAAAAACAAATAAATAAAGAAATTGTTGAGTTAATTAAAAAGATAACAGAAACCCCCTCATTGTTTTATGAATTGGTAGAAAATGAAAAGTTTGTAGGAATATTCTCTTTAAAGATGGAAGGAGGAGATGTGAGGAAAATATTTACAAGTATCTTTCTAATTAGTTTTAATTAAGGCCCGGCCCGCCCCCACCTCTATTACCCTCCCATAGCTAATAAGCCCATTTAAAGTTTTCCATTGAAAAATACAAATCCAGGGCTTTAATTAGAACATCTACACGAAGCAACAATTGTTGTAATACTTATGAGATAGTAAGAGCGAGGTACAAGTTTAATCCCGGGCAGGCTTCGATCCTGCGACCTCCTGGCAGTTATTGCTAGGCGCTTTCGCTCACCACGTACAGGTGCTCTACCAACTGAGCTACCGGTTCGGGTCCCAAATCCGAAAAATCTGTCCAGATAGCTACAATAAAATATTAATTAGTCTTAAGAGCCGGCCGGACGCTCAGATGTTTTTGGATTTTTGGTAAATCTAGAAAAATCTGTCTGGATACGCTCCGGATCTAGCTACAAATCCAGAATTCAGATCCGACTCGGGAAAAATTTATCTTGCCAGTCACTAATAATAATTAAATTAATTAAGAAACAATTATGGATAAATTATCAGAGAAAGAAAATAATGAATTATGGAGCTTGATATGGGGAATACTAGAAAAGTATGATAAAATATTAAAAATGCTAGCGGGTTTTTGGAATGATAAATGTAAAATTGATAATGAAAATAAGCAAAAACTTGGTCATAAAAATATGGAAAATCCAAAGGTTTTGCCAAAAATTCATAAAGATGATAAGCATAAAGAAAAAGAACATGAAGGTGATAATTAATTATTTATTTATTAAGTTTAGCAGGTCCTACGTCCATGATAAAAGTATGTACCAGGGATCGTGCCGACAAAAAAACAAAATTCCCGATTTCGGTAAATCGGAATCCCTACCCAAAAAGTCGTCGGGAATTTCCGATTTTCGGGGATCGGGAATCAGGACGGCAGATCCCTATGTGTACCCTTATGAGAATTATGTAAACTGAGAGTTAAGAGGGAGAGTTACTGGCTGGTCTTTACTGAGACCTGCTTGTCCTTGCCTAAATCATTGGAGAGGCTCTATCTACAGACTGAGATAGACAGTAGGGCACTAGGCATAGGCTTCCATACCACTCCTAGCTTGATTTTACCACTCCTAGCTTTTTATTTTACCACTCCTAGCTTGAGATATTTAGCTTGTCCAGAGGAATCATATTTGAATTTTCCCTGATAAAAAAATTTTTTTAATTTTCAGTTGGGTCCTCTTTACCTGCTATTGCCCCAGATGAAATTTATGACGATTTATACATTGCATTACAAAATATTAAAGAGGATCATTTTACACCTAAACCATGTAAAGCATTGATGGTTGTCGAACCTCCTAAAAATCAGTCTAATGACGATTCTACTTTGAAGCTTCCTTCCAAAGAGGAACATCATGATACAAAAACTAATAATTCTATAGCCGATTTCCATAAAATGTTCAAGTCGGTCTTCGATCGCTTCAATGCTAATTATAAAGGTGCGTTTTAGTTATATTTTTACACGAAATTTTGATCCCTTTTTTTCAATAGACCATCATGAAACCGTAAATGAATGTGTTCATCCCATAAAAGAAGAAACTAAAAAAGACCACCATGGAACTCATAAAACCCCTGACGACTCTACTTTGAAGCTTCCCCTTATTAAACAAGAAAGTAAAGGAGAACATCATGGACAACTTAATCCATCTAAAACTCCTAAAAATTTATTTTATGATTTGAAGCCTCTGGTCATTAAAGAAGGAAGTCAAAAAAAGCATCTTGGAAAGAAGACTCCCGAAGACCCTTGTAGTGAAGGCTCTAGCTCGAAGCATTCTCCAGGTAGAGGGGGAAATCAAGCAGAACAACATGGAATCCATCCTCCCTCCCCTCATCCAAAAAACACAGAGGAAGAGAATAAAGAGGATAATGAATGGGTTGAGGTTGATCCTGATTTACATTTGGAAGAATTTTTTGAAGAAGAAAAGAAAAAGAAGGATGATGATTGGATTGAGCCCCCAAATTTTATGTAGAATATTTTATCCTGTTTTGATTTTATGTAATTTATGAAAATACAAAAACTTTTTTTTGTTAATTAATCATAAATTTTAATTTATTTTAATTAAATTCAAGTTATATTTTATGCCTTTTTGTAGATTTAGTTTTTTTCCGCCTTTCTTCAATTTTTACAAATGTGCTACCGTATAACCTGTATTAATTGTCCTCCCTCAAATAATCACCCCACTTGTGTTAATTATCCCATCCAGCAATAAATTGAAACAATAATTGCCCCCATCAAGTGCCTAAAACTAAAGTTTGACCCCGCCTCCGTTCCCGAACGATTTTTTCACATTTATCCCGACCCGAACCTTCCCCGAAAAAAATGAAAACCCCGTCCCCCTACATACTCGTCCCCGAGCGTTCGGAGTCAAATCCTACTTAAAACCCGTCCAAATCTCAAACCTCGTATAATTACCCTCCCTCGATTAATTATTCCCTCCAGCGGAAGGTCGAAACAATAATTACCCTGGGTAGGTATTAAAGGATATACAGTGCTTCTTCGACGATTATGAGACTAATAATAATTAATTTAAACAATTTCTATCTTTAAAAAAATTTTTTTCACTTAATTCTGAATATTCCTTCTTGCTTTTTGATTTTTCTTAGACATAATTTTAAAAAATTAATTTTTTAATCAATTAATCAGTCTAGCCTTTGGCGGCTTTACGCCTATAATTCCTTTTAAATATTCCGACTTTAAGATGCCCTTTAAAGGAAAATAAATATGTTATTCGTTTTAAATTTTTTTTTCAAAAAAATATTTTTAAAATGGACGTATTTATATTTATACAATTTTGTATTTAAATTATCCCTCTCCCCTCTCCCTTCCCACCTCCCTTTCCCCTCTCCCTTCCCACTCCCTTTTCCCCTACCCACCTCCCTCTCCCCTTCCCTTCTCTCCCTTCCCCTCCTCCCTTTCCCCTTCCCATCCCCCTTTCCCCTTCACCTCTCCCTTCCCCTCCTCCCTTCACCTCTCCCTTTCCCCTTTCCTATCCGCTCTCCCATTATTCAATAATTAATTTTTAATTTTTAATATTTAATTTCTCTCCATGGGCGCCTTTTATTACCTCTATACAAGGCATTTCCTCTATCTACTTATACACGGCATTTATTTTTTAATTTAAAATTATCGGATAAATTTAAATAAAAATAAATTTAAATTTAAAAATTAAATAAAAATTTTTTTAAAAAATCAGAATTTTAAACTTTAATTTCCAAAAAAATTTTAAAATATAACTAAACAAAATACCTACCGTAAAAACTGTATTAACTGCCCTGGGTAATTATTGTTTCAAACTTTCGCTGGAGGGGGTAATAAATACAGGCGGGGTAATTAATAGAGGTTATTTTAGAAAGGTTAATTATAACTATTTTTAAGTGAGTAATTATTGTTTCAACCTTTCGCTGGAGGGGGTAACTATTACGGGCTGGGTAATTATTTGAGGGAGGGACTTTAATACAGTTTTTACGGTATATATTTTTAATTTAACGGTACACCTCAATTGAGTCCCGACTCAATTGAGTCCCGGACCCTATAACTTATGAAGGGATGGTCAATTTTTTTTGCTCTTGGTACCATTGGATAGGGCATTAAATAGGCTACAATATACCAAAAAATCAAAATTCCTGACCGACTGGTAAAAAAGTTATGATCGATAAAGTGCCGAAAAATCAGATTTTTTTGAAAAAGTTAGTTATTAGATCATAACTTTTTTATCAGTTGGTCAAAAATTCTGATTTTTTGGTATATTGTAGTCCATCTAATGCTCTATCAAATGGTACCAAAAACATTAAAAATCATCAAACCGTACTTGCGTTATAGGGCCGGGACTCAATTGAGCCGGGACTCAGTTGAACTGCTCCGTAATTTAATATACCTATTAATAATTAATTTAAATTAATTTAAAATTAATATAATTTAATAATAATTAAGATAGGTAAATTCGGAGCAGTTCAACTGAGTCCGCACGATTGAGTCCCCACGATTGAGTCCGCACGATTGAGTCCCCACGATTGAGTCCCGGCACGATTGAGTCCCCACGATTGAGTCCGCACGATTGAGTCCCCGTTGTATATACCTCAATTGAGTCCCCGTGGATTTAATTTAAAAAATTCCATATCTTGCATGCGGGATTATTTCAAAAATGTTACGGGATGGAATAAGCTGACAGAATCTGCTTGCAATACATGATTCTTTTCAGCAGATTTTTTTAATTTTTGAAGTCTTAAAAAATTTCTTTATTTTTAAAAAATTTTTTTTTGAAATTTCTAATTTTTTAAAATAAATGCCGGGCAGATTGTTCCTGAGATCTTACAGCTTTTATGCACCCTTGTTATTAGCTTATCTTGTTTTTCATTTTTTCTAAATTTCTAGTTTTTCATTTTTTTTCGTAAATTACACGCTTCTCAACAAGTTTAAAAGGGTACCACGGTCAAGGTGGAGGAACAGAGCTTCAGCGTGGAACATCTGTCGGCTGGCATTGATGTCTCGCAGCGGGATCGGGAGGAACGAGCCCTCCACTGGCAGAAGACGAACCAGTGGAGGGCATCGACTCGTGCCGAGAACTTCACGAAACTGCAAGGGAGACCATCAGTAACGAGGATAATGTAGTGCTGGGAGAAGAAGAATACCAAGATCTTATAGCCAATGAGACGGAGAGGGAGGAGGAAGAAAACTGAAGGCGAAAAAGAGCAGCCGCGCATGTATATTTTGGAGATACATATACATGCCCGGATATACCTCCTAATCTTCAAATACAAAATATATCCCTTCATATCCACCGATATCCAACTTGATCCCTCGATGTCGCATACATGTCCTCTAAAATTCACTTTAAGCCTTCAATATCCCGGATATCCATCTTAAACCTTTTGAAACTTATTAAATCCACGGGGACTCAATTGAGGTATATACAACGGGGACTCAATCGTGCGGACTCAATCGTGCCGGGACTCAATCGTGCCGGGACTCAATCGTGGGGACTCAATCGTGCGGACTCAATCGTGGGGACTCAATCGTGCGGACTCAATTGAGGTGTACCGAGGTAAATTAACCTAAAAATGAAACTAAAATTCTTTTTATTAATTATTACCTCTTTAATTATTTTAAATTTAATTTGTGCTGCAAATAAAGGTGTTTTAATTGCTTTTAAAAAAAATTTTCTTAACTAAAAAAATTTTTTTAGATAAGAAAATTAATCTTTAATGTAATAAAAATTTGTTTTTTAAGAAGAATTTGTGAAAACAAAAATTCGTGAGTTAATGTATCTTCTAGAAACGGATTCTTCTCTAATTTTTGCTCTAAACGGCGATTTAGAGAAAATAGAGCTGTATAATTATGCTAAAGTTGACAACATAATTAAAGGTAAAACACTTTCCTAATTTTTGTGGAGGAGGGAATAGTCGAAAGCAGTGATGTCAAAGTTACAGTTCAAGTTCCAGAACTAAATAGTTCTAGTTCCAGAACTGAACCAAGGAATTTCGAAAATGGAGTTCTGGAACTGGAACTAGTTCCAAAGAAATTTTGGAACTTTGACATCACTGGTCGGAAGAGAGAAATCTTCTGGAGAGGTAATTTTCGACAATTTAAGAAAACATCCGCAGCACAACTGAAAGCAATTTTCCAAAATTGCATCAAACTAGTATTATGCTTTTAATTATGAGATGTATAAAAGAAGTTGGAGATGAGTATAAATCATTGGTAAAAAACGTGGTAAGAAACGTGAAAATAGAGCAAGAACAAAAATTTCACAATGAGATCGTTATGGTTAATAAACCAAGAGAAAATCAGAGTAGTTTAAAGGAAATTCCTGAAGATGATGAAGAGCAACACTATGGAGGTATTATGCACTTGTTAAGTTAGGGTGGGGGAGGCGTCTCCCTGATAACACGAGACTTCCATTCGTCGTCGGTTAAATCCAGTCCCTAGAGGTGTCTTGCCTAAATCTCGATCATATGCGCTCTCATACGTATATCGGTTTAAGATATTCAAAAGGTGGAATATTAGCGGGATTTGACTGTTTTTAAAGTAAAGCAGCTGGGCTATAGCCATTTCTTTCCTTCAGCCAGTGCAAAAGTTTATTCGGCAGCTGGGTGCGAACCAGCATCTTCAGTAGACCGAACTGATGTGTTAGCCATTACACCACGCCGCCTACTGCTTAGCCTTAGGAAATAAATAGCTATATGCATTACATTAATCTCTGTTAGTTAAATCGTACTAACAAACTTATTTTCTTAAGAGCCATCAAGTAAAAAAACATTCGAGTACAGCAACTCGTTTAATAAACGTCGAGAAAATCATTTCAATTTTGATTATGAAGGTTAACTGGAATTTTTTTTATTAAATTAAATTTTAAAAACAGAGTTACTCATTTAAATCTAGGTTCAAGCTCTGGTCCTCAAGGTTATTCAGAACTTCAAACTCAACCAGGAATGGAACAAGAGATTGACGAAGACGAAGAATGGTGTGGTTTTGATTCCTTAAGTTTAAGCTCAGAGCCTCAAACTCATCCAAACAAAGGAAAAGGAGTTGAAGGAGAGGAAGACTGGCATAGTGTTAATCCTTTAGGGTCAAGCTCAGTGTTTCAAACTCATCAAAACGAACAAGAATGTGAAGGAGAGGAAGATTGGAGTGATGCTGATGATTATAATTAATTCTGAGGGTGAACATTTTATAGAAGGTGCGGGGCTATTCGTCGACAATTTTGAAAAAATCGTAACAAAAAACATTGTAGCTAGTAGATTTTAGATAGCAGGGATCGCGCCGACCCGATTCCCGAAAATTGTGAACTCGAAATTGCCGGGAATTCACGATTCCCGGAAGGTGAGTTATTCCAGAAGGTTAACTCCTCATCAACTCACCTTCTGGAGAGTTAACGGGATTCGACTATGTATTCACAGGTAAAATCGGGAATTTGATTTTCTGTCGGCGCGATCCCTGGTAGATAGTATCCGCAACAATTTTGTTACCATATAAGCCTTCATGATTTTTCATTTTTCACCAAAAAAGTAGCATAAAATTTTAAAAATTTTTTACGCCTTTTATTCTAACTTTTGCTTTGTTCATTTCTGCTGAGACTCTAATAACCTGATTTTTAAATCACAAAGTTCCGCGAAGAAAATTCGGGTTACTATAAAAGCCTCTTATTGTAATCTCGAGCTTATTCTTGTATTTATTCTCCTTTGTCTTTAGACATAAGGATTTATTTTTCTCATTTCCAATTTTTTCCTTCCTTAAGCATTGCTCCTGCAAGTCCACTAGACAGAAAGGTATTGCAACCGAAATTGAGAGGCTCCTTTAAGATTGTTTTGGGTACCATTTTATAATCTTAGGTCAATTTGTCCGATTCCCCTCCCCCTAGTAGTTCCATTATATCTAGTACCATTTTGTCGTTTTTAGCCTTAGTCCCATTTTGTCTCGACATTTCATTTAACTCCAATAATTCGAATTTCGATTCCAATACTACTATATTCTATTTTAGTTCAAAATATATAATCAGGAATGGCACAAGAGCAGTCTTCTAAAACAAAAAGTAAAGAATCGGTAACCAGCAGCAAAGAATCCAAACAACAAAAGAAGCTTCAATCCTCTGAAAATGGCAAAATGAAAGAAGGCGTTAAAGAAAATGGTAAATTCTGAGAAGTTATTCTAGCCAATTTTTAAAAAATAAAATTTAGGGGAACAGAAAGACGAAATTGATTATGATGATGAAGCGTTGCTTGATTCTGCTGCTAGTTCGGGGCACAAAGTTTCTATTTTGGGGGAAGAGTCTGTTCATAGGGGACAGTGGGCTGGTTAGTTTCTTTAAAGGATATAGTCGATTATTTTTTGTCTTTAGGTCAATTCGACTTTCTAATGAGTATGGTTGCCTATGCTGTTGGATTAGGTTGGTTTAGAAAATTGAAAAAAATTTTTTTGCGGACAAATTTTTAAAGGAAAAATAGGTAAATGACGGTTCATTCGGAAGAGCTCCACGAGCTGATTCGAATGATACCAAAATTACCTAGATTAAATTAGTTCCTACAGAGTTTCAACCGGAAATGCATTTGTCCGCAAAAAGTGTCCGCAAATTTTTTAAATTATATTTTTTCAATTTTCAAGGAAATGTTTGGCGCTTCCCTTATTTGTGCTACAAAAATGGTGGAGGATCTTTTCTGGTTGTTTACGCTTTGTTCTTCGCTTTTGCTGCGGTTCCCATTTTTGTTATGGAAGTTGCTGTAGGACAGTTTTTGCAAAGAGGTTTTCTTTTTTGATAATCAGGTATTTTACTAAATTAATATTTTTAGGGGCTATTGATATGTGGAAGATGTGTCCAATGTTCAAGGGTATAAATTTTAAAAATATTTTCTGGTTTCTTTGTTTTCTGGAGAAATTGTTTAAAAGTTTGAAGATTAAATTTTTGTCAATTTCGGTAAAGTGGACGGGTTACCCTATTAATTTTCAGAAATCTGGATCCGTTACTTTCTTCTGTAGGAGGTTAGAGGCATTTTATCCCACAATTTCCTGCTCCCCTCTAGTTGCTTTAGGACAGTTTTTGAGTAAATGAGCTAGAGAAATTTCACAAAAATAGTGAAAGGCCCAACCTTTTTTCACTAATTTTTACTTATCGGTGATTGCATTGACATAAAAAATAAATCCCTGATTTCAGGAATCGGGATTCCCAATCCAGAAAATGTCGTTAGTTTCTATCTACGGCGCATCTCGCATTTACGGGAATCGGGACGGCACATTATTCTCGCAAAAAAAAATGGGAACTCCCATCTTTCAGACTTTTAAACATTTTTCTTATGAATCTGACCCAACCTTTTTTCTTACTAATTTTTAAATATACAGGGGTGGGCATCGGCAATGTAGTTCTATCATTTATGAGTTTGTTTTATAAAAAATTTGGCCAAATTTAATCAAAAAACTATTTAGTGGCCTCTTACTACTGTACAATCATTGCTTGGGCTGCCTTCTACTTGGGCAACTCATTTTGGTCACCATTGCCTTGTAGGCTTTTTTATTTTTTTTTACTTAAAAAGAGGAGTAAATGAGCTAATTATTTGGAGAAATTTCGCAAAAATAGTGAAAGGCCTGAAAACTTGAAAAATAAAACTTTTTTCATTGCCGATGCTTTCTCCTTTATAATTCTAAAGAAAATATTTTTTTGAATTTAAAAGGTTTGGGGTAACTCTGTTTAGGTCAAAAAAAAATTTTCGTTGATTATTTTGGCTGGAAAAATCCGCAAATTATGGGGACTGTCCGCAAATTCTGGGGAATGTCCGCAAATTGTGGGGAATGTCCGCAAATATAATCCGCAAGTTTTTTTCATTCAAAAATTGCTCAAAAAGACCTTTAACAGTTTATACTCCAAATCTATTTAATTTTCAGCTTTTTTAAAATTTTCTTTTGTATTATTCAGGAGTGGGAATTGGCAATATTATTTTGTCTTTTTGGTGTAAGTTGTTAATTATTTTTGGATTTTTAAAAAAGTTCAAATTTTTAGGCATTTCCTATTTTTGTGTTATTGTCTCTTGGGCTGCTTTTTATATGATTAGCTCATTTTCCAGCACTTTTCCTTGTAAATTTTAATTTTTCTTTATTTAATTATTATAGAGTCGGACCTCACTAGTACTATAAGATACACTCTTGGGGCAGAAAATTTTTATTTTATGATGAGGGTTATTTTTGAAATGGGGGTGTTGTTTAGGCAGTTCCCCAACTCATACGGGACTCCTTTACTGTCACCGAAAATTTAATATATTTTTGGTACCATTCGATAGAGGATCCCCGACTTCCTATTGCAAAATGATATTCGTTTTCTTGAAAAAGGACTTTGGCCCGAGTTATAGCCACTCAAAGTTGGACTGTTTAGAAAAGGATAAATGAGCAACCTACCTAATTTAAAAATTTTTAAATTTAATGTCTAAATATGGGTGTATCTTTTGTGAGGAACGATTCTGTAAAGACGATTTTTTAAAATAAAATTTTTTTCTTAAGGGGAAACTTGCGACAATTATTGGAACAAAAAGAATATTTGCGTTGAAACAAATTTGCCTGGAGGCAATGTGACAACAACAAATACTTCGCTAATTAGCAATAGAACTGTTGAATCGTCTGTTGAGCAGTATTGGGAGTTTGTTTTTTTTTATTTTTTTGAAAATTTTGAGAAAATCCGAAATTTTCGAAAATGTCCGCAAATTTTGTCCGCAAAAATTTTTTGAAAATTTTTTATTCAAAAACTTAAGAATTATTTTAAAGATATCGTGTCCTTCAGCAAACATCAACAATTTCTGATTTTGGAGGTATTCAATGGGAATTGCTTGGATTGACTTTTCTGTCATGGGCTGTTGTTTATTTTGCTTTGTGGAAGGGGATAACTCAAGCGAGAAAGGTTTTGTGATAATTTTTTAAATTAAAAGGTTAGAGAGGCTTAGACGCTTTTATTTACAAGTTCTTTTGGCCCCTCCTCCCTCTCTTTTTTCCGCTAGGGTCTTCCCTGATCTACAGGGCTATTACATTTTTACGTCTAATTATGGCTGTACTGGATCCGAGCGGTCTGACAAGTGGCCTGTAGACTAGGTTTACAACCAGATTGTCCTCTTTTCCCCTTTCTCCCTGACCCTCAAAACTTGTTAATTTTTATTCATATTAAATCCTTGCTCAATTTTCTTATTTTTAAGTTTGTCTATTTCTGTGCAATTTTCCCCTATATTCTTATTGCTGTATTGCTTGTTCGAGGATTGACTTTGCCTGGTGCTGGAGAAGGCATTAAATTTTATTTGATGCCAAATATTACCAAACTCAAAGAAATTACAGGTTTGCTTTTATAAAATTTTTTCTTTAATTTTTTTCTAATTTATTAAAGTTTGGAAAGATGCTGGCACTCAAGTTTTCTATAGTTATGGTGTTGGATTTGGAACGCTTATTGCTCTTGGTTCCCATAATAGATTCTACCATAATTGTTTTCGGTATTTTTTAAATAGTTTCGATTTTCTTTTAATTTGTAGCGATGCAATCCTTGTCTGTTTCATTAATGGAACAACTTCAATTCTTGCTGGATTTGCCATTTTCTCTATCCTTGGCTATATGTCTTTTATAACTGGAAAAGAAATTAAGGAGATTGTGAAGCCTGGTTTGTGTTTTTGTTCAGCTAACTTCCTTTAAATTAAAAAAAATTTTGTCCACAAGGAGGTTCGAACCTTCTACCCTTTTTACTAAAAACCAGAAATTATCCCACTAAACCAAAAAAATAAATTTTATTTTTTAAAGGTGTTGGTCTTGCCTTCCAAGCATACCCAGAAGTTGCCAGCAAATTGCCATTCAAACAACTTTGGGCATTTCTTTTCTTCTTGATGATTACTATTCTTGGTTTGGACAGTCAAGTATTTTAATTTTTCTTTTATTTTTTAAATTTTTTTAATTTTAGGTTTGCATGCTTGAAGGGTTATTCACAGCATTGGAAGATACTTTTCCTTTGCTTTTGCGAAAATACAAAAAGGTTTTTTTACAAAAAATTTTTTTCTTAATTTTAAAATTCATTTTTTAAGGGTTTTCTTTTGGTAACCTGCATCACTTTTTTCATCATTGGAATTCCTATGGTTACTCAGTCTGGTGCCCATTGGCTTACTTTGGTAGATAGTTATGGTGCTTCTGGTATGGCTCTCCTTTTTGTTGTTTTCTTTGAAGTTTTTGGCCTTGCTTGGGGATTTGGTATTATTTTTTGAAGCATGTTTTAAACCGAATGCAAAATTCCTTTTAGGTACGCACAGAGTTAGAGATGCTTTATTTGAGATGGTTGGTTTCTATCCTCCAGGCTGCTTCACTTTTCTCTGGAAATTTACTGCTCCGCTTAGTGCTTTGGTATGCTAATTATCATTTTTAATTTTTTTGTTCTGAATGCTTTTTATTCTTTTTTAAAAAAATATTTTTCGCCAATCGGGTTCGAACCCGCGACCTTTTTATCTGGAACCAAGAATTTTCCAACTTAACCAAAATATCCTGAAATTCTAATTTTTCGCTAATTTTTTCCAATTTAAATTCTAAACTTTAGATTTTAAATTTTAACCTGTAAAAAATTTCTTTTCTAATTTTAGGTTCTCTTTGTCTTGTTCCTTTTTATGTATGAACCTCTTCGTTATCCAAGTGGAGAGGAATATCCCTTCTGGGCCGAAGCTTTTGGATGGGGTCTTTCTGCCTGCTCAATTGTTGTTATTCCTGGTTATATGCTCTACTATTGTTTTAACTCTAATGATTCTAGAGGCCCATTTACGGTTTGTTGATATTTTTAATTTGAATTCTCTGGGGTTTCCTAGGAATTTCGGTTAAATCGACCATGCTCTACATCATGGTGCGAAAATATTTACGAAATTTTTGGTGACAGTCCCTTGTAAACAATATGTTTTTTAAACCCGGCCCAAGTTTTCTGGGCTTTCTATTGTAACAATAAGTGGAAGATAAAATTTAAATAAAGAATTTTTTCCTTCAGAGATTTCGCAAAGGAATGGATCCGCCGAGTGAATTGGAAATCTGAATGTGGGAAGAAATGTCAAAATTGGGTAAATATAATAGTAAAAAATTACCTTATCTAAAATGTAATTATATAATTAATTTTTGTATATATTAACTTAGGTTGTATTCCCTTATTTTTTCTTCGCTTAATAATATTTTCGATAATATTTGGCTACCTTTTCTTTCCTTCTTATTTCCCCGACCAATGTATGGACAGCTAACCGTTTTTCTTGTTATCCGTATGAGAAAATTTTATAATCTGTGATTCTAGCTTTAGAAAGAATTAGGGAAAAGGAGGAAAGGAAAAGCTCAAAAATGGTCAGGGAAATAGGAAGGAAAAAGGAGGGCATCTAAATTATTACCTTTTTCCCTTTACCATTTTCCCTTAAGTAAAAAATAATTAATATTTGTAAGTTAAATGAAATTTAATTTTTTCTTGGCCTTTTTAATTAAATCTTCAATCTTGTTTTTCATTACTTCTGGTTCAATTATATTAAAGCTATTGCTTCTAACAGAATTAAAATTTTCTGATAATCCACTAATGAAATCGAGTTTTCCATTTTAAAAGAGTTCCCCTAGCATTCATTATCCATTAGTTTTTAAATTAAAAAATTTTTACGTGAAATTATTGAAACAAAGAAATATATCAAAAAAATAATAATCAGACAAAATACATTAGGGCAAAATACAATTAGGGCAATTACAATTAGACAATTAGGGCAAAACACTCTTGTTTTTGAAATTTATTTTATTCAGGCCAAGCATATTTTTTTGATTAATAATGAACATCCAAACAACAAGAGCACATTGTTGAAGTGATTCGTCAGTGACTCCGGTCAAGCGTGGCACTTTTTGATCATAGATGGTGGTAACTGCATAATTGCTTGTGTTGCATGTGTAGCCCATTGCTTGTGTAGGCGAGTATTGGGAAGAGACCAACTTCACATTTATTTTCATTTGATCCTACACCTGATCCAACACCTTCAGTTTATAATTTATACTAAGTTTTAATAAAATCCAATAATGTGTTTCCTAAGATATTTTGTTTTAGATTTCTAGTTCTGATTCTTTTGAAGAAGGTTCAAGCAGATATAAAGAAGGACGAAGTATATTTAAAACTGAAGGTGTTGGATCAGGTGTAGGATCAAATGAAAATAAATGTGAAGTTGGTCTCTTCCCAATACTCGCCTACACAAGCAATGGGCTACACATGCAACAGAAGCAATTATGCAGTTACCACCATCTATGATCAAAAAGTGCCACGCTTGACCGGAGTCACTGACGAATCACTTCAACAATGTGCTCTTGTTGTTTGGATGTTCATTATTAATCAAAAAAATATGCTTGGCCTGAATAAAATAAATTTCAAAAACAAGAGTGTTTTGCCCTAATTGTCTAATTGTAATTGCCCTAATTGTATTTTGCCCTAATGTATTTTGTCTGATTATTATTTTTTTGATATATTTCTTTGTTTCAATAATTTCACGTAAAAATTTTTTAATTTAAAAACTAATGGATAATGAATGCTAGGGGAACTCTTTTAAAATGGAAAACTCGATTTCATTAGTGGATTATCAGAAAATTTTAATTCTGTTAGAAGCAATAGCTTTAATATAATTGAACCAGAAGTAATGAAAAACAAGATTGAAGATTTAATTAAAAAGGCCAAGAAAAAATTAAATTTTATTTATGTTAAAAATCTTTTAACTTTTTCTTCCCTTAACAAAAAATGTTTATATGTATTTTCCTGCTGTATCGTTAATATTCTATGTAATTATTTAATTGTATTAATGAATAGAAAAAATAAAATGATTATCATTTTATTGTTAATTATATAAAATCTATATTCATGCTTTTAAATCACCGTATAATAATTATTTGAAACTGCGAGAAAAGTAAAAAGTGCAAAAATAAATGCTAATGGTCCACTTAATACAGAAACAAAGCCACTACCATTCCCACTCGGCTTCGTCACAAATGTGTCATTACTGCAAATTTTTTGTCGGTTTAGAGATGATGAACGGAATTGGACTCTACGCCCATTCAATGGTTGGAGCGGGCGGTTGTTGACGCTGAGGCGTTTTCCAAAGATTGGACCATGAATGGAGCGTAGAGTTTCAAGCTTTAAAAATTAAAATTTGGTTCTAAGGATTTTGATGTGTGGGGGTTGGGTTGAAGGGATACTCTGATTTTTTGGTTTCTTTGGTATTTTACTATTATAAAAGTTGTTGAAATTTTCTCAATAGGTTGAAGGTTTTTGACTATAGCCGAAGTCCAAAAAAAATTAACAAAAAAAGTTTAATGTCCACCTGTTGTACAAGAATAGGTATGGGCTCAGTCATCAATGTCCATATCACCGATTCGTCACACCCCGGGGTTGTTAATGACCCCTGATAACGATAAAAGTTGTCCAAAACTGGAGGTAAATGCACGCCAACAGTGTAATTAAAGATTAGTGTTGCTGAGTCTAAATATTTTTTTCCCATTATTTAAAAATTTTCGAATCTTCCTCATACCTTGTTCAACCACTCTTTTCAATCCTGTCTCTAAATTTGCCATTGAACTTCCATCATTCCCAATATACATAAATATTCCGACAACTGCAAGTCCATCTGGCTGTTCCAAAGCTTCTGTTAATGTATTATATTCTTCCTTGACATGTACTAAATGGACCTTTAAAATATTTTTTTGATTTCCTCCCTCAATTTTCAAATTACTTCAACAGGATAATGAAGATTATTTATTGTATGCTCACTTCCATATAAATGATCAGATGTCCAGTGGAAATGAAATTGTAGTAAAAGATATTTGCCAGTTAGCCCTCCACCGTAAATATAAGGTCTCTGCCTAGGTTCCCATTTTTCAAAGCCGCTGATGGCAACTTTTGTAAAGAATGTTTTTAATGAAGTATATTGTATATGCTCAACCCTTGATTATTGTTTCAGTCTTACTCTTGAATAATTAATAGAGAGGGGATCAGAGATGGTCTTTCGCTCCGAGGCGAAATAGGACTTTTTTATTTCGCCTCGATTCGAACTAAAAAATATTTTGAGCATCTCTAAAGGGGATTTGGATTTAGGGTGATAGTACACTATTTCTAAAATTAGTGTAAGGAAAATAGGGGGGGTAATTATTCGAGTAATTATTTTAGTCTACCTCCATGCCCATTATTTTTAAGTTCAACAGCCCCAGAATGGTCGTAGTTAACAAAATGTAGTTGATTAATATAAGCAAATTCTAGATTTGATGTTCGAATGTCAATAGGTGACTGGCGCGTGCCATGTCTGCAATGCTTTCCCCAAGTATGCGGACCATTGTGATCCTCATATCCCCAAGAATGAGATGTATCTGAAGATGGGTGATGATGGGCTAGAAAAAAGAATTTTTTTGTTGAGAGGGAAGAGAAGAATATTTGTACACTAACCAGTTTTTTGTGAATTAGGATGATGATTGTGGTGGTGGTGGGAAGTGGTTTTTTGATGATTTTCCTTAAAAATATGTGAATATTTATTTTTTGGTATAAAATAGAGACGCGGACTGAATGGAGATCAGAGGTGGGTCGGAATTCCGATTTCCGACTTACGATTTCCGAAAAAGAATTTTGATTTCCGATTTCCGAGTTCCGACTTTTGAGCCATTTCAGATTTTCGACAGTTCCGATTTCAGACACCTCTAACTGTTCCGACCCACCTAATGGAGATCTCAAACCGTGACGGGACAATCCGTCAGTGGACAATCCGGCAGTGGAAAATCCGTCAGTGGACAATCCGTCAGTTGTCGGACAATCCGTCGGTGGACAATCCGTCAGTGAACAAAACCGTAATTCTTACCTCTACCCGACCTACCGCGGCCAAAAATTTTCATTTTTTCGTGTGGAGATTATAAGAGATATCGGCTGTACTTTAGTACGTGGGTCCCGGAGTTAATATACAAATGTTATACCATTCGAAAGAGCTAGTCGAGCTGAGTCGAATGCTACCAGTTTTAGCCCGAGGAAAAATTTTTGGACCGAGATATAGGTCCCTGAAATTTGAAAAAGCATAGGGGGTTCTCCTTACCTATGGCATCTGCGGAGATTTTTGCTGCTACGGAGGCCCCAAATACGTCCAGAGCAATGGAGATAGGAATAGGTTTATGTTACGAGCCCAGACCCATCGCCCGTAGACTCCCCGCGAGGCGCGTGCCGCAAAACCCCGCGCGAAGCGCGGGGTTTTGCACAAGCGCCTCGCCGACGCTCCATAGGTTTATGTTGCTTGTATTTTGTGTTGTAACTTTTTCCAAATTTGTTCAATCACTGTGATTTTGGTGTCATTCGACTCAGCTCGTCGAGCTCTTTCGAATGAGGTATTATTTCTATAAAAAATTTTTTATTCCAAAAATCGACCCTTTGGATCTTCGGTATTTAGGGACCTATATCTCGGTCCAATCAAGTCGGATTTCGTTGATTTTGGTGTCATTCGACTCAGCTCGACGAGCTCTTTCGAATGAGGTATCATTTGCATTTTCGAATTTTTCACCCCAAAAAAGTGCTTGGTCCCCCCTATGCTTTTTCAAATTTCAGGGACCTATATCTCGGTCCAAAAATTTTTCCTCGGGCTAAAACTGGTGGCATTCGACTCAGCTCGACTAGCTCCTTCGAATGGTATAACATTTGTATATTAACTCCGGGACCCACGTACTAAAGTGACCCCGAGATATCGAAAATTTGGAGTTTAATTAGGAAATCGTCTAATTTGGCTGAATTAAAAGATCAGTGGATTTGGGAGATATCGGGGATTTCAAAGGATATCGTGGAACCAATGGAAATACAATAGATTTGGAGTATCATGGTGGTTATCGAGGAATTTGGGGATTAAGGGGGATTTTGTGGATTAAGTGGGATATCAAGGGATATAGTCGGATTAAGAATATTTTGAGGTTGTTCCATGATATCCATCTAAAAACAACCTCTCGTATTGAGGACTTCCCATAATCCCACGATATTCATCCAAATCCAATATAATCCTACACGTTAATTATGTAATCTAATCCATCCAAATCCCCGAATCCTTCTAAATCCATCAAAAAATCCAACGCGGGAGGTCGGGTAGAGGTAAGAATTACGGTTTTGTTCACTGACGGATTGTCCACTGACGGATTGTCCGACCTCTGACGGATTGTCCACTGACGGATTTTCCTCTGCCGGATTGTCCACTGACGGATTGTCCGGGAGCCTCTCAAACAAATCTCGGTTATCAAGAATGGAGATTTTTCGAGATATTGGTTCTCCTTACAACCCTCCTAGTTTGAGCTCTAGTTTAGAACTTCTATTGTTAAAACGGGGTTGCTTGTTGGTTAAGTGGTTTTGTGTTATCTTTACTTAAAAATATTAGCAGTGGTTCGATATTTTTGTTTTATTCTTTTTTTTTTTTGCTTTTTCGCAAATATTTTTATTGTTTATTTTCATTGTTTTTCCTGATAAAATATTTTTTGTTTTAATTTTTATTGATAATTTTTATTGAGAAATTAAAGAGAGAAGGGGGATTATTTCTCCATAAATTTTGACAGTCAATTATTTTTTCATTTTTCCAACCATTTTTTTTGAATTTTTTTTCTTTTGTTTTTTTCTACTCTTTGATAAGTGATGTTGATAATTTTTATTTTATTTTTTAAAAATCAATTTTTATTAGGTACACTAGAATTTCGACATACGGGTAAAGAAAAACTTTTTATTTTTTGCGGGTAGAATAATGGAGGGAGTTGTGAAAAATTATCGGATCGAATTTCTAATGACCCATAAAATCCCTGATTTTAATAGAAGAGGCGTGATACCGGGGAAGAGCTCTTGCTAAGACGGTAGCTATTTTTCTCTAGAATGTCCAGACCAGAAGTGAGCGCAATAGAAATTTTCAAAAACGCAACGCAAGGCCAAAAATCAACGCACAACGCAATGCGCTCACTCCTGGTCAGAACTGATTTTTGCAGAGAGGAGAAAGTAAATAGACTTCTAGTCTACACGTAACACCAAAACTTGAAGAAAATCTTTTTTAAAGTACCTCTTGAGTAAAGGGAAGATTCCCAATTAAATTTGCATCCAAATTATTATCTCCCAAAATTGAGTTGAGATCCACAAAAATAAAAATAAATAAATAAAAAGTAGGGAAGAAATACATTATTTTAGAGAAAATTGGGTTTTAAACAAGTGGGTTTGTAGAGTTGAAAATTAATTAATTAATTAATTTTGTGTTTAAGTTGTCAAATAAAAAATTTTTTTCTTTATTTAATTAAGCGGATAAACTTTTTTTGAAATTTAATTTTTAATTTGATAAGAAAAGAAAATAGAAAATTTTTGTTAAAAATTAAAGGAAAGGAGTGAAGAAGAGGTTTTAGTTAAACAAAAATTAAAAAAAAATTTTTTTTTGCATTTTTTGAGGGGAGAAGTTTTGTGTTTTTTTTATTTTTCAAAAAAATTTTTTGGGAGAATTTACAGGTGTCAGAGTTAATATAAATAAATATTAGGTATTGGACAATAAATATTTATTTATTTTTTTAAAAGTCTATGTATGTAAAAATAACTGACTAACTGAACACATTTTTTAAAGACAAAAAAGAGTGTGAGATTAAAGGTGGCAGGAGGGGGGGGGGGTAAGTAACAAAGAATATTTTTTAAAAAAAGTAAATTTTTTTCAGTTAATATATTTATTTTTATGTTTATTTTAGAAAGATTACAATTTTTGTGTAAAATACCAGAGCGAAAAAAATTTTTCCAGGACGAAAAAAGGGGAAAATGAATTTTTTTGTTGGAAGCTTCATTCAATTTTTATTCTTTCTTTTTGGCTTTATAATAAAAAGGGGGAGAGGGTTTAAAAAGAGGGGGATTATATTTGTAGTGCACGCAATTTAAGCTTTTATTTGTTTAAACTGATTTTGAATTTTTTGGATTGGAAAGACACGTGAAGTTGCACGCCTCATACATATAGCAAGTAGCTGCCAGAAAAAATGACACATTTTTGGTAGTTAAATGAATCATTAGTAGCTAACAGGAATGAGTCCTCAATAGAGAGTAAATTATCAAAGACCGACTTGCCATAGGTCATAAAATTATTAGTAATGTGATTCATGCCCTACGGCCGCCAATAGAGGGCTCTTGGATAATTTACTCTATCGAAGAACGTAAATTTAGAACGTAAAAAGTGTTTTAAACCAACTCAAATTTATTAAATTTTTTTGTCTTTGTAATCAGAGATGTGCGCCAGAATTTTCGCGTAGACGCGTCTAACGCCAATTTTTCAAATTCTTAAAATACGCCAAATGTCATAACGCCAAAATAGGCCAAAATCGCATAGCCCTGGTTGTTATTCCGATATATACCAGTCCCTAACAGTGGCTGGAAGCTCGTACCAAAATTCTTACTCGTACCTGTGTACGAGGTACGAGTACGAAAAAAATGGACAGGTATGAGTAAAGTACGAGTACGAGCAAATTTCAAAATTTCAACCACTGGTCTCACATATATCTCACAAATTCTCCACTGGTTCTCCTACTCTTTTAATTGATATTTAAATTTATTTTACTAAATAGTTTTAATTTTAAAAAAGTTCAAACGTTCTTTGAGGGTTTGTTTGGACAAGTCTTTTTCAAATTTCGAGACAAAAAATGAAAACCACAAGTTTAAATAAATGAAAAGAGATTAGTTAATGTGTGTATTTTCTTAAAAACTCTTGTCAATCACACAAGAAGAAAAGTGCCTTTTTTTGACGGGAAAAGTTTTTTAGTAGTTAGTAGTTACCCCTTATTTTTATTTTTTTCTGGGATTTAAGGCAATTTCTTCTTTTCCTCTTATCTCTTTAGCTCTTCTCCGACTTTTTTTCCCACATTTGAGAGAAAAAATATTTTTTTAGTGTACTTAGTTTGTGTTAAACCGAAAAAAATTTAAGTGAGAATTAAAGTTTAAGGGAATTGAAGGAAAGTTTTGAGGGGAAAGATGAAGTTATGAGGGAAAGGGGGAAGATTAAAAGAGATGGGGGGGGGGGGGGTGATTAAGCACTAAAGATAAAAGGGGAAATATTAATCCATGAGCCTTTGCTTTGGCAGATCTTCAAGCTTTCTTTTTTCTCCTACTTTCTGACTTTTTTTTAACTTTTAAAAAAATTTTTTTAAGTGAGAATCAAATGAGAAAAGTTTTCAGAGGAAGATGAAGCTATGAGAGGGAAAGAGGAAAATTAAAAAAAAAGGGGGGGCTGATTATGTAGAAAGAAGGGGAAAAATATTAATCCATGCGCCTTTACTTTTTAGGCAGAACTTCAAGCATTTTTTTCCTCCTCACTTTCTAACTTTTTTTAAACTTTTTTAAAATGTTAATGCCTTTTAATGAGAAAAATAAAATATAAATTTAGAAGGGGGGGGATTATTAAGTTTATAATGTAAAGTAGTGGCTTAATCCTTTTTTGTTAAAGCTGGTAATAACGAGAAACACTTAAATACTTTTTTTATATTTTCAAAAATAAAAAAAAACAACAAAAATATTTAAAAAAAATATATAAATTTTTTTCAATTTATCTTCACTCCTTTCGAAATTTTTTTCGTCGGTGTTTTGTTTAAGCAAAGCTTTGATGAACGGAATTGAAGTCCACGACCATTTATGGGTTGTATTGGACGCTTGTTGAGCCTTAAAGGGGTTTCGTCGTCTTTACCGTGAATTGAACGGAGTGATTGGAGCTAAGGAATTTTAAAAGAATTAGTTTTGGACAGACTTCTTTATAAGGTACAACTCTGAGGTGGAAAATCGAATTTTATAATGAGTTATGTCTTAAATAGAAGGTATCACTCTAAGATTATGTTAGGCACATACGTGGGTCTTAAAAGCAGTCATTAACAATGTCTTGGTCTGAACCTGAACTGACTTAGACACCTATCCTTCATTGTTCCTGCCTATTGCCACTTTCGTTATTCTTATATCTAATTTTGTAATAAACGTTTTTGTGGTATTCTGTTAGTCCCAGACTAGATTACTCTAAGACATAGCAAAATTCTTATGAGGTCCAATTCAATATATCAATCATTTACCTGTTTTCTATCAATAGTTAAGGGTTCTGCATTTATTGTCCAAGTTACAGATTCACTACAACTTGGAGTAGTTAAAGACCCTTGATAACGATAAAAATTGCCCAAAGTCTTTGGAAGCGCACCGATAGTGAAGTTGGAAATTGTTTTTGATGTATCTGAGATTTTGCTTTTTGAAAAGTATGTATAAAATAGAAGAGAGATCCAGATAACTAGGCGGGGTAAAATTTATTAAAAGAGAAGTAAAAGAGAGTAAGACCGGCTTGGGAAGGGATTTTGACGGATTATTCCCGCGGAGTATTTTACGGATTATTTTAGTTACTCCCGCATGCAGGATCCCGCAAATTTAAAAATGCGGGATTTTGCGGGAGTGATGATATTTGCAGGATTATTCCCGCAGGAGTTCCATTCTTAACCACTCTTTCTCCGTAAGCTTTTTAAAATTTACTCCTGCATGCGGGATCCCTCAAACACGATGTGAGCAAGAATGCCTATCAAAGATTGCCAATGGGTCAAAATCGGCAATGCCTGCCCCTTCCAAAAGTCTTGAACTCTCTCTCTTTTCTGCTTACCATATTTAATCACTCTTTCGAAATTCTCCATTTTTCTTCCAATTTTCCCAATTTTCATAAAAAACCCAACAACAGCAATTCCATCAGGCTTTTCCAAATCCTCGGCTAAAGTATATCCTTCTTTGACATGAACTAAATGAAGCTCAACGGGATAATACTTGTCGTCTATACAATGTTCACTCCCCTCCAAATGATCAACTGCCCAATGAAAGTGATATTGTAACAGAACATATTTTCCTTTTAGACCTCCACGAGTAATATAGGGTCTCTTCTTTGGATCCCAATGTTCAAATCCTTTGACGATAACTGTTAAAAACAATATTGTGTTATTTATTCGTGTTATAATGTTATAAAATTTTGTCCGCAAGTTTTGTTCGCAAGTTTCTCCGCAAATTTTTTTCTGCAACAAGAAATGACTGTTTCCGATCGCGAAGAACTATAACTTTTCCTGTGAGAGGAAATTGTTTTGGGGAACCATTGTAGATAAAGCTCACCCTTTTTAACTAACGATGAAGCATGAAGGCTTCATCGATAATAATTAAATTACCCTATACTAATTTGGCAACCAAAATAACAACCAAAAATAGAAGGAATTTGACCAGGTTCATGATTAATCCCCAAATCTTCATGATTAATCCAGTAAAGCATATAGCTATTTAATTCATAAGGCTGTGCAGTAGGCGGCGTGGTTTAATGGATAACACATCAGTTCTGTCTACGGAAGATGCTGGTTCGCTCCCAGCCGCCGATTAACCTTTTGCACTAGCTAAAAGAGAGAAGTAGCTATAGCCCAGCTGCCTTACTATCCTAAATTCCACCTACTTAAAATTTAGCGGATTGTCCGCATTTTTTGTCCGCAACTTTCTAATTATTTTTAATTTCAATTTTAACCTCCATGCCCATTATTTTTTATTTCAACAATTCCAGAATAATTGTAATTTACAAGTTCAAGTTTATCCAAACAATTTATTTTGAGACTTTTTGTTTGAATATTAATAGGTGATTGATTCTTGCCTTCCTTACATTTTTCTTCCCAAGTATTAGGGCCATTGTGTTCTTCATACCCCCACGTTTCATCTCCCAAAATAAATTTTAAATTAATGAGAATAAGGAAATTTATAAAAATATGAGAATAATGCATTTTTTTGATGAATTTTTTGTCTGAAGAAATAAAATAAATTATGATAGATACAGTCGAATCACATCTGTAAAAGACACCCCAAGGTGAAGAAAGAATCTGCCGTTCAAGTGAGCTTTAATGACAGAGTCTACATGAGAGGTGTCTTATAATGGAGGTGACATCCCTTATAATAGAGGTTAGCTTATAAAAGATTAGTGTCTTACAAGTATGTTCAACCTATTAAAATTTTTTCCGGCTGTCGTTCATGTGAGGTCGAACAGATAATAATTTTTGTAAAAGACACCTCTAACAAAGGAGTAGGGTATGATCTATCTGTCTACCAAATTTCATCGCGAAGTCCCACGGACACCCAACAGCCTCTCCTTTGTAAGTTAAAAGACACCTCTAAGTGAAGAAAGAATCTCCCGTTCAAGTGAGGTTTAATGACAGATTCTACATGAGAGGTGACTTACAAAAGAGTCTTACAAGTGAGGTCAAACTTGTTAATTTTTTTCTGACTAACGCACAAACGGGGCCCGAAGACTGTTAATAATTTTATTTGCCTATCCAAAATTTGTTTTAATTTCTGTTAAATTGCCTTTTTTATATTGTCTCTTTATTTGTTGAAACATTCCGGCTGTCTAGAATTTTTATTCAAGCTAACAAAAAGGAAGTTTTAAATATTTAAAATAATTGCGTGGAATTTTTAATATGTATTAAAGTACATTTAATTATAATTAAAAAGTTGATGCTATTTAATTTTTTATCAAAGAAAATATCCGGATACCAAAATCAGTCTAGGAATAAAAGTTTGGGAATAAAAAGTCTGGGAATGAAAGTTTGTGAATAAAAACCACCTACGACAAGCGGCACTTACATATTGCTAGATTATTTGCTCATAAATTGCAAATGATCTAAGGTTTTAGCTTTTTCTTGAACCTATCGAGTTGACTTTTAATTGGCGATATGACTTGATCCATACAGTCCAGAAAAATATATAACTTATCGAGTCCTTTCGAATGATATAAGATTCATTCGGATTGGATTACACATATAAAATTATAGCCGATCAAAATGGGAAAAAAGGAAAATGGCGGGAGGATAACACAAGAGTACCATATTTTCCTGAGTCGAATACAGCTTATTAAAATACATTTTAATAAAATTTTAATTCTGTTTATAACATTTAATTTTATAAAAATATTTCAACTTTTTCAAGCAGCTATTTTAGAATAAAAAAATTATTTATGAATATGTATATGTAGTAGTGATGCTCGGGTATTCCGATCCCAACTCCCGACTCGGGAAAATTTCCCGAGTTTTTGGCCTCCCGATCCCAACTCACGAGGTCATTTCCTGACCCGACTCCCGTTTCACGATTCCCGGGTTTTTTCTTCTCCCGAGCATCACTAATATGTAGTATATCACAGTTTTTTTTTATCAATTTTTCCTTTTCATTTTCTCCTCTTTATTGGCAAAGACGGTATACTATACGTCCGTTCAATGGTTGTGTTGGACGTACATTTGAACCTAAAGGTTTTCCGTTCGGACCTTGTATTTTACGTAATAAATTTAACTGAAAGGAAAAAATTTTTTGAGAAGGGTCTTTCAAAGTTTTTTACTTGTTTATGGGTAAATTGAACCGTTCCAGGCAAAATAATCCAATTAACAGCTTCTGCACAGTTTGGTCTAGTGAAGGATCCATCATAACGGTAATAATCATTCACCTTAGCGGGTACTGAAAAGCCGATTTGGAAATTTGGAATCTTTACTGTCCTGCCTGAAGTGAGATTTTTAATTTTATTTTTTTTAATTTTTCTTACGATATTTAACTACTTTCGGCAAATATTTTTCTAAATTTGACAATGCGTGGCTATTCCCCCCTATTTCCAAAAATATAGCCAAAATTATAAAACCATCAGGCCTTTTTAAAGCTTCTTGATATGTCCACCCTTCCTTTAAATGCACAAATTGGACCTAAAAAATATATTAAACTACATATAATCGGCTACATTTTTTTAGCCACCGGGCAGGATTCGAACCTGCGACCACCTGCTAGTTGTACTATGCATTTTCGCTTAATATATGCAGGAGCTCTACCATTGAGTTACCGGGACTTCGACTAATGTTTTCTCTTTTTCCTTTTTAGATCCACTATCTACCTATTCTTATTTTTCACCCCCTAAGGGGCTAAAAATAAAGTCCAGCTGTATATAAAAATACCTCTGCAGCAAAGTGTTTTTCGTTAACTGTATGTTCGCTTCCATTTAAACCTGTTGACCAATGGAAATAGAATTCTTCGAGAAAATATCTATCAGGAAGATTTCCATGAAAAATCAAAGTTGCGTCGTAATCAAAAATTTTTTTTCGAAATCGTAATTCGTAATTTAAAAAAAAATCCCACCAAGTCCGCTTATTTCTCTAATATTCTTCAAATCCCAATTAATTCCCTGATATTTAATCTCCGTAATCACCCGATATCTTTTCAATCAAGAGCCGGAATCATCGTCCAGATTAAGGGTTTGATATCATGATATCTATCACTCTCCTGAAAAATCCTGAAAAATCCTGAAAAAATATAACAACTCCCTACAGATCCCTATATATATCACTTCCACTTGATCTCCTGATAACACACAATCCCTAATAACCTCACGATAAAAGACCTCTTTTAATCACTTGATATTGCTTCTAATTTCATATCACTTTTCTGCGCCGCAGGCGAAAATTATGAGAATTTTGGAAAGCCTTAGGAGAAACAATCCTATTGTTAAAGCCGGAGGCAACAAACTTTTTGAGGTTTAGATGGTCATAGAGCCAGAACTTTTAGATTTTTTGTGCCGCATTTTCAAGTTTAAAAAAATATCAAATCTAGTGAAGTCTGACTTCTAACCCAGTTAACCACTGATCAACTAAATGACATGTGAGAGAAAATATAAATAATCCTTTCCCTTTTCCTTCGAAAATTTAATGGCTAAATAAGGGAGGGCAATAATATTTTCTCGTAATTTTTTATTTTCGTAATTCGTAATTGTCATGTCCGATGTTCATGCTGTGGAAAAATTGTGGATGGGAGATGGAATTGAACCATCACGGAATGAGCCCAGACCGAAGCACAACCGACTGTGCCATCATCCAACCCGATGATGGGTTATTTATTTTCATTTATGTTCTTTCTGCAAGTGCGGACACAACAGTAATTTTTCCCGATATTTTCGTAATCGTAATTTGTAATTAAGACGCAACCCTGTTTGCAATGTAGGGTCTTTCCTTCCAATTTTTAAAGCCGGTAACTCCAACTGTTTTTTAGAAAAATAATTGAGTACATATTAGTGTGGCAAATGGGTCTTTTCGGTACTGTTACCTGCAGTATCGTGCTAGTTTCGAGCTATGCCGAAGACATTTTAGGTTGATTGTTTTAAGTCATGGTGTATCTGCGATACTGTCCGCAATTTTTTGTCAACAAGTTTTCGTCCGCAAGTTTTGGTCCGCAATTTTTTGTCCGCAATTTTTGTCAGAATTATTGTCCGCAAGTTTCTGTCCGCAATTTTTTGTCCGTAATTATTGTCCGCAAGTTTTCGTCCGCAAATTTTTGTCCGCAAGTTTTCGTCCGCAAGTTTTCGTCCGCAAATTTTTGTCCGCAAGTTTTCGTCCGCAAATTTTTGTCCGCAAGTTTTCGTCCGCAAGTTTTCGTCCGCAAATTTTTGTCCGCAAGTTTTCATCCGCAATTTTTTGTCCGTAATTTATTGACCGCAAGTTTCTGCTCGAGTAATTTTCACTAACATTCAAATAGTTATACCTGTATGTCCGTTATTCACAACCTCAACAGGTCCGACAACATTGTATTTATGAAACGATAATTGTAGATAGCACTTTTCTTTTAAGTTTTTTGTAACGATATCAACAGGGGATTGTTTCTTTCCAGTTTTGCAAAGCCCTCCCCAAGTATGAGGGCCGTTGTTTTTATCATATCCACAATCGTCTCCCAAAATTGAGAGAATGGGGAATAAAATTAGTAGAATATTGAGTAAATACATTTTTAGGAAGGGGTCGTATTTGGGTGAAATGAAGCTGTGATTGAAGCATTTTTGAACTGATTTTTATATTGGGGATAAGGGGGGAAGTTTTCTCGAACGAAAAAAATTATTTTAAGGAGGAAAACAAAATTTTTATGAAAATAAAAATGAAAATAAAAAAAATTCTGAGAGGTGTGTAAATGATGTTGTCATGTTGTAAACGAGGGCCGAAGATTGCGTTTGTGTCAACTGACTAGAGCTCATCATCCACAAATTTTTTGATAAATTTTGGGGAGTTTTTCTGAACGAGAGGCTTATATTTTTGTGTAATAAAGACAAAATTTTATTTAAAGAAAAATAGAAAAAATTATTTTTATGATTTGGAAAAAAATTGTCTATCCATTAAAATGTGTGGATAAACAAGGAAACTAAAATTACTTAATGTGTTGGTTGGAATTTTTTTTTAAAAAACTATAGAAATTGACGTGTTGTGTTAGCGCCTCTATTAAATAAATAATAAATAATATTTTTTTGAAAATTGGGAAGAAAAATTTTTTATAATTGAAAAGCTTGAGGTTTACACATGACACATTTTTTCCTCAAATTAGGAATAAAACAGTCATTTTGTGGGTATTTTTTATTTTAAATAAAATTATTCTCTTGTTATTTTTTGAAAATATGTATTTTATTTAATTCCCCATTCTTTAATTTTATTTCATTTTCTAGTCTTCTCATTTATGTCCCCACAATTTTTAATTTTTTTGCAAAGTATTGATGAGCGTAATTGAATCTCCCGATCATTTATTGGTTGTATTGGACGCTTGTTTATCTTTAGAGGACTTTGATCGTCTCTGCCGTAAACCGAACGGAGTAATTGGAGCTAACAAATTTTAAAATTATTAGTTTTAGACATTAAGATCAGAGTTAAAGTGTTAACCGAAACCACAACTTTCAAATCCGAAATTCGATCCGACTTTCCCCTCTTAACCTCTAACTGGTCTCACCCGAACGCCTAAACCCGAACTGGCCCGAAGAATCTCTTACAGACCAGAAATCGTTCTTATAATGATTTTATTTCTAATATAAGGTATCCCTCTGGATGTATCATAAAAGGAGATTCGACTGTATATAAAGAATTTACCTTAGGGTTTGTCCCCGATTCGTTGTGAACTTTTTCGTGGGATCAGCTTGAGGGCTGTACCTAGTTTTCTACTATGGCTCCGGCTCCGACGTTATTTAAATCTGAGTTAAGAACTGGAGCCTAAGTTTTCGGAGAATCTTTAGACCGCATGTCTTTACGCTTGTATGGTTGCTATAATTCAGAGTTTAAAAGGACAATAATTCCCCGACATTTATTTTTTGCGGGGAACGGTATGTCTGGGAATAAGCATGCCAGGAATCGGGGTCGAGAAATTGTCTATAAATCATCTTGGAGGGGGACGAGGAGTTGAAGACAACCACTAATTTACCTGTTCTCTATCAATAGTTAAAGGGTTTGCATTTATTGTCCAAGTTACAGATTCACTACAACTTGGAGTAGTTAAAGACCCTTGGTAACGATAAAAATTGTCCAAAGTCTTTGGAAGTGCACCAATAGTGAAGTTGGAAAGTGTTGTTGATGTGTCTGAGAGTTTTTTAAAGATATATTTTTTGAATGATTTTCAGAGATGTCCAAGGCCAAAAATTTTCCTATGTCTAAACCTATGCTTTACTCCATCAGCAAGACCAGGAACCATCATTGGTGGATCCTGGGAAATCTTCGGTTATCCGATCCAGAACCGATATCGCACCAAAAATTTCCGAATATCCATCTTTTTTCTATCTGAATACCCTAGTCTTGGTATTCTTAGAAATCTCTCTTTTTTGTTTAATTACCATGTTTAACTACTAGTTTCATTGCTTCCTCCATATTCTCCATTTTCCTTCCAATTTTCCCAATTTTCATAAAAAACCCAACAACAGCAATTCCATCAGGCTTTTCCAAATCTTCGGCTAAAGTATATCCTTCTTTGACATGAACTAAATGAAGCTCAACAGGATAATACTTTCCGTCTATACAATGTTCACTCCCCTCCAAATGATCAACTGCCCAATGAAAGTGATATTGTAACAGAACATATTTTCCTTTTAGCCCTCCACGAGTAATATAGGGTCTCTTCTTTGGATCCCAATGTTCAAATCCTTTGACGATAACTGTTAATAATTGGGGTTTTTATAAAGGTTTTAGATATTAAATTTTTGAATTTTATTTTTCCGCGCTTTTTTGAATTCTAGATTTCGTGGTTTAATTGGTTAGTCGCCAGTTTCACCACTAGAAAGGGTAAGAGGTTCGACTCCTTTTGTTGGGCAATATTTTTTAATAGAACTCTACTTAGGTATTTTACTTTCTAGATTTTTTATTTGTGGTTGAGTGATCCCTAGTGATGATTTTTTTCCTGAAAAAGTGTCCGCAAGTTCATTTTATCCGCAAGTTTTGTCCGCAAATTTTTCTCCTCAAGTTTTATTCGCATATTTTTCGTAAAATTTTTTTCTCCAATTTTATTTTCTTAAAAATTTTCTAAAAAAATCTTTTTTTACCTCCATGCCCATTATTATTTACTTCAACAGCCCCAGAATTATTGTAATTTACAAGTTCAAGTTTATCCAAACAATTTATTTTGAGACTTTTTGTTTGAATATTAATAGGTGACTGATTCTTGCCTTCCTTACATTTTTGTATCCATTTATCAGGTCCATTGTGCTCTTCATATCCCCATTCTACATCCTTATCAGCACCCAAAATTAATTTTAAAAGAAGCAAAAGGGAGGGGAAAATTAGAAAAATGTTTAAAAAATTCATTTTTTAGTGTGAATTTTTAATTTTTTTGAATAAAAAATTAATTGGATTTTTAATTAAATAGACGAGAGTGAGACTAAAATATTGCCAACACCAAATAATTTATATTTTAATAAATCTTTTTTTTTGTAAAAATTTTTTTAAATATTTCCCCAGTAGACGTCATAAAAATTTACAATTTTTAAAAAAATTTTTTAAATTTTCCTTTTACAAGAAACTTTTTTTTAATTATTTTAATTAGAGAAAATGAGACAAATTTCAATGAGAGAAATTTTAAAAAATAAAAAACCAAATGAGACAAATTGCCAAGCAATCATAAAAACTCCTAATTTTTTCCTTAAATTTATTGTCAGAGAATATAAATAAGAGATCATAATTTAAATTAAATAATTTAAAATTTTTCATTTTCATTTATTTTTTTCATTTATCTTAATATGAATACTGAAGTAATTTCCATAAAGGTTCATAACAACCAGCAGCTTCTCCAACTTCTGAATATGAACTACCAAACAAACTGAAAGAAAATTTAAAAATTCTAATAGTCTATTAAGGGATACACCATATGGGAATAAAGATTGTATATTTCTTCCCAAGTATGAAGGCCAAGTATGAGAGCCATTTCTTCCCAAGTATGTGGGTAGGTTAACTCTAGGAGTAATATGCATCCTCTCCCGATCAATCAAATTTAAACCCCATTTCATAAATAGAAAACTAGAATGGTCTTGTCAATTCTCCTTTAGCTATAATAAAAGTATGGGTTGTTCATGCTCTTATTCTTCTCTATTAGATTTACCGCAGGCCTGATAACTCCTAGCTAGGAGGTTAAGGAGATCGAAAACCAGCATCCTCTCCAAGGACGGACCCATCCTTGGAGGATAGACTTAGGAAATAAATAGACATAAGCTTTACTTACAAAGTGAGTCTTATAATGAGACCCTACTTTAACAGAAAATTTTTTTTAAAAACTCACAGATTTTTTAATTCCCCCACTTTTCGATTTGTTAAAAGAAAATGTTTTAGTTTTCCAACAAAAGGACTAACAGATTTATTTAATTCAAAGAAGGTCTAAAAAATTAATTTTTGAATTTAAAATATTTTTCCAAAATTTACCAATTCATTACAAGCATACAAACAAAATTGATTAGCAATCCCTTCAATTAATTGTCTAATTGGTAAATATTCTTGGTCTAATTTGGCATTTTCCATAAATATATGAATATATTCTAATTGAACTTGTACCAATTCGTCCAAATTTTTGACCTTAAAAAATTGATAGAAAAATCAAGTAAAAATTCTCAAGTGTTCTCAAGTGTTCTAATATTCCACAAAACGGGGTTTAGAAAAAACTTATATAGGAACCCTATCTAAAAATAGGTTTATGATAAAATACAAATGATTGAAAGGAGTGAGAGGGGAACAACAGTGCCACACCAAATGGTCTTCGATAGGGTTGGGGTTTTCAAGTCGGGTCGACGTTCGAGTCATTTTTTCGGGCCTGTCTCCCACGTAGAGTTTTTTTCGGGCCAAAATTCGATGCCCGACTCGATCCTTCGGACCGGGCCCCCGACCCTAGCCTTCAACCTTTACAAATGACCTAAAAAAGCTTTTAATTTTTTCCAAAATTTAAATTTTGCTAGTATAAACTAGAAGACCTTTTCTAATTTTTTAACAAAATTGTTGTATTCTTTAGCAGCAATACCACAAATATATTCTTGATAAACATTTATAAGTCTATTAAACAAGTAAATTGTGGCACATTCTTGTACTGCCCAAGGATTGTTGAAGTTTTCACGCAAATAGAATTTCCTAAAATTTCCAAAAAATTTCCTAAAATTTGAAAATTTGTTTACAAAAAAATAAAATTTTAAAAAGCCTACTAGTATATGAGTTTTCAGTTTTGGGCCATGAAAAACATCCTACTTTCCCTATTAAACCATTCGAAAGGTTTTAAATCGTATTTAAACCATTCAACCAAATTTGGACTTTGAAATAAAATTTAAAAATTATTTATTTTCCTAAAAAAGCTATAGACCTAAAAAGCCATGAGAGATTCAATTAAGCTAATTAGGGTTGCGGGTTTCGAGTCGGGCCGAACCGACCGAGTCTCTTTCGGGCCAAAATTCGATGCCCGACTTGATCTTTCGGACCGGACCCAACCCTAAAGCTACTGCCTAATTTAAGCCTTTCCAAAAATTTAAAAAAAAACTTACATATGAACCAAATATCTAGCTCGATTAATAACAAACAAAAGAAAGAAAACTCTTCTATACGGCTCCAATATTTTTGCAGGAAAAGCCAATTTAAGTACATGATTGTTCTGGGCAATATTTAATTCCAAAGCTGGGAATGTGCCTTTTTTGGGTGTAATTCCTTCACTTTTGATTTTGGTAAATGGAGAGATATTGAGTCTAAAAAATAATAATTTTAATTCTAATCTGAGTTAATCCCTCAGGGATTTCGAGAATTTCCAAGAGCGTAACCAGGGGTCAATTTCAGGGGGAGCCCCCAAAACAGTCAAACATTAAAAAAGTTAATTATCCTTAGCCTCAGAAGCCCCCTGGTTACTAGAGATCGGTATTTTCAAAAATCCAGGATCTGGATTTAGGTTAGTAACCTGGACAGGGTTCTTGATCTGGATCCAGGAAAGATCCAAAGAAAATCCAGGACGATCAAAAAATGCGTGGATTTTGACTCTGGATCCAGAAAAAATCCAGACTGGATCCAGATCTAGACCGATCTCTTCTGGCTACGTCCTTGAGAATCTCTCGAAGAAAATTTTTTTTTAATCTTAAAAAAGACAAAATGACACCTGACCAAAAATTTTAAAATTAAAAAACTTCACAAACTCAAAATATTTATAATGCATAGTCGTATCAAGTTGGGCATATCGAAATGCTTGTGTAAGAAGCCCATTTAATTTATTTGATGTCAATTTTTCAAGATCAATATTTGTAAAATTATTTTTTTCGAATAATTCTGCCAATTCGTATATCCAATTTGTATTTAATCCAAGAAAGAAGCTGGGAAGTTTTCTGTAAAAAATTTTTTTTAATAATTTAAAATCGAGTTTTTTTCTGCTTTCAACATAAATTTAATTTTTTCAAAAAAAATTTAAAGGCTAAAATGTGGGAACATTTTTAGTTAATAATTTTATGTTAAATCAAAAAATTATGAAACTTTATTGGAAAGTTTTCCTCTTCACGCTTTCTAGAGGTCGGCACGGGACGGGACACAGTACGGGGTTTTACGGGATCTCGTCCCGGAATCCCGAGTTTTCAATGAAAAAAGAGACTACCGGGATTAATTCCGTAGGATCCCATCCCGTACGAAATGTTGAAAAAATTCCGTTACGGGATCGATTTTACCGACTCCGATCGCTATCACAATTTGGATATACAAAAGGAAAGAGTCTTTTAATAAGTCCAAGCAATGATGAAAAGAAAGAACAACCCCAACATTGTGGTTAATGAGAAAAGGAGAAACTGAGCCCAAAAAACCAAATCAAAAAATGATTTTGATTTGGTCAAACTTTGCAAAATTATATATTTAATAAAAAAAATAATTTTAAAATTAAAAACAAACTTTGCAAAATTAATAATATCATATTTTTGTTTAAAATGTTCAAGAGTATTTGTAGAGCATTTCTCAAATAATTCATTAATTTTATCACAAAATTTGCCAAGTGAAAGATTTTTAAAAACTGAAGCTTCCAATGAATAATGAAATGAAAGAAGAGTTAAACCTTTTAAAAAATTGAAAAAAATAAAAAAAAAGAAAACCAGCATTTTGCTGCCTCATTGTATACAAATATTTTCCAAATTTAAAAATTTGATCTTTCACGGGTAAAAAATCAACAGGAATTAATTGTGGAATTAAAATAAAATAATTGTCAAAACTTGAAAAAAAAAGATTTTTAGTAAAAAATAAAAATTTTGACAAATAGAAAAATTAAATTCCGTGCTGGGATTCGAACCATACCAACAGAAAAAAATATTTTTTTTGGTCAAGTGGGATAGCTTTTAGTTCACCCTATAGATAGGTCGAGGGTTCGAACCCGGTTGGTGGACAAACATTTTTAGTTCAACAATAAACTTAAAACAAAGCTTTTTAGAAGAAAATTGTTAATTTTCATAAAATAAAAATTTTTTTGAAAAATTTTAAAATCAGTAAATGATTACAAAAATTTATATAATAGGTGAGGGTTCGAGACCCTGGACGATTTTTCCAACTATAATTTTGTTGGAATAAAATTAATTTTTTTATCGAAAAAAATTTTTTGATAAAAAAATTTTTTGATAAAAAAATTAATTTACATGCCAAAAAATTTTATTTCCAGACCTTCAGAAAATTAAAAAAAATTTTCAAAAAAACACTTACTCCGACCAATCCAATTTCCCCGTTACATCAAAACTAGACCGATCAACCACATTTTGTTTTCTCAAATCCCAAATAAAAAATTCATGTCCAACATCTAAAGCTAAAGTACATGAAGATACCCATTCAACAATTATTTGGTAATATCTTTCAATTGACAAAGAAATTATATCATCCAAAATGGAAGTTAAAAAACGATTTTCGTGTAGGGATTTTTGATCAAATAAAAAGTTGATAAATTCTCCGCCAATTATGTCCTCCTAGAAAAAAAATTAATTTTGTAAACATAGAACCAAATGTTAAATTAAAAATAAAATATTTGAAAGGAAAAATGATTCGGAAAAAATTAAAAATTAAATGTCCACAAACAGCATTCGAACCAGAAATGTTTCACGTGTTGAGAAAATAGTCGGATCGAGTTTCAAGTCGGGTTAGTTAGGGAGATTACGAGGGAAAAAAGATGGGTCGGGTTTCGAGTCATCAAAAGTCCGGGTTTCGGGATAGGGTGACACAATGATTGATGAACATTATGATTCGAAACCTCCCCAACAGTAACTAATCCGACTATTATCAGTCAATCAAACACCTCCACACTCCTGCCATCAGCTGCATTACTAAATTAATTAAACACTCCCCCTGATGCTCGATCCAGTCAACCCAAACCAAAACAGCTGAGAAATATCAAAAACGGGAAAAGCAACAAAAAAAAAGCCTTGTGCTAGCCAAAAAATGTAAAAAATTGGAAAAAGGAACCTTTTCAATTTGATTTGCAATCCTAAAGAGAGGCTTCAAAAATTTTGCGTGTAAATCCATACAACATTTCTGTAATGTAAGCAAATTCTTTCCTTCCATTTTGTATAATTCATCCAATGGATCAAAAACATTTTTACGAAGAAAACGAATGACAAAGGAGCAGAATACGTTGATCATGTAACCACGAGTTTTGTCATTTCGAAGACCTTAAAAAGTTAAAAAATTATTTGAAAAATTTTTAGATGTTACAAATAATTAGTTTTTGAAGGGAAAAATAAATTGGGACAAAATAAAAAAATTTGACAACGAAAGGAGTCGAACCATGAACCCTTCAGTTATGAACCCAGGGATTTACCAACTAAGCCACCGATAAGATATTGACGAGGGACTGGGTCGTTTTGGCGCGGGGCCGTTTTGGCGCGAGCTTATAAGATAGCGAGTTGCTTATCAAAAATGATAAAATTTTGCAATAATAACTCTCGTGCCTTTATCTAAGTTCTCCAAAAATTTCAGAATTTTTGATCAAGAATTTCAGAAATTGTGGCCAAAAATGTTGATTTTCTGCAAAATGCCTAATTTTTCGAGGTCTATCGACTATAACTTAGGAAATATTGGATGAAAAATTCTGAAATTTCTGGAGAAGGTAGTCAAGGATGTTAAAGAAATTTGAGAAAAATTTTATAAATTTAAGTCTCGCCTAAGTGCCACTTTTTTGTTCTCGCGCCAAAACGGCCCGGCGCCAAAACGACCCCAACCCATTGACGATGCTAATATTTTTGGATAAGTATGAGAGGAAAAAGTAGTCGAGAAAATATTATAAACCACCGAAAAAGCAAACGAGTAAAATAAAAAAAAATTAAAAAAAAATTTACGTGTAGTAATCAATTGTAATTCAAATAAAGTTGTAGCCATTCTAAAACAATCATCCAACCATCGACACAAATTGGCATTTTGTTTTTTAAAAAAATCATCAGACCAAAACCAAATAATTTTGTTTTCTGCTTGAACACATTGAATAAATGGAGTATTCATTCCCTTAAAAAATTTGTTTTTAAACCGAAAAAATAAAAGTTAAGGGTTTCAAAAAAATTTTCAAAACAAAATTTCGAGATTTTTTAAGAAAACCAAGACCTAGTGAGTTTTAAACCAGGTGAGAAGCTTGATCAGATTCATGACCTTTAGTCAAGGAAAAATTAGGAACTCTAAAAATGCATTAATTTTGAGACTCTGGATCCAACAAAAATCGAGAAAAGTCCAAGAAAAATCAGGATAAATCAAGCTCGATCTTTAAATAAGTACTAGAAAGCGAGATTTTCAAAAAACCTTGACCTTGATTTTGGTTGGGAAACTTGACCAGATTCTTGACCTTGAGTCAAGGAAAAATCAAGGAACGCTGAAAAATGCCTTGATCTGGATCCAGGAAAAATCAAGGTCTGGATCCAGATCCAGCTCGCTCTCTAATAAGTACTATCCCCAGAAAATACTGGAGGAGTATAAACCAAAAAGAACACGGAAATAATCAGGAAATAAACTTTCGAGTCTTCAGAAAGATCTTAGGGGTAATTTTCCAATCAATAGAGGTTTAGTTGGACAAACCCAATAACTATACACTGTTCCCCAATGACAATTTAGCGTTTAATTCTTCCCAAAAAATCCCCCAAATTAAATTTAAAAAATAAAAATATACTCGTCTGCAGTTGATCAAAAAATGGTCAAAAAGGACAGTTTCACGATCCTCTTCACGAATATCAGCAATATTCTTCTTTTGCTAAAAAATAAAAAAATAACAAAAAAAACCTTATTTAACTTACAGCAGAATGGACAATATTAGTTGGCACAAAACACTCGTCATACTCAAAAAAATTGTCGTGGACTACTTTTAATACTAAAAATTGAAGAAAATATCAACCTTTAATAATTAAAAATTACAAACATATTTGTCTTCTCAATTTTTTCCAAAAAGGCAGTTTTGATAAAATATCTGGTTCAATGGCCATTTGAACGGAATTATTTAAGAGACTTGTAGAAATAATGAATTAGGTCTTTAAAAAAATATTATTAAAATTTTACGAGAAAAATTAAAAAATCCGTCATAAAAAATATTTAAGAAACAAAAAAAGGAAACGCCTCGCGTGGAAATTTTAGGGCAAACAGCCCAACAGAAATTATTTTTGGTAATAGTCTCGTTTCCCAGCCCCATTTTTTCCTCCCAATTTTCTACCCTATGTTTGTACGGAATGGTCAAATTTTCCCCTTTCTTTCATCAAATTTGCCTTTCCATATTTTGCCTAAAAACAATCAAAAAGATTAATTTTTTATTCATTTCTTTCACAAGGATAAAAAAGTGAGACATGATGCCAAAAATTATAAAAAACATTTTCAATATTGCCAAATCGTTTTCGCCACAGAAATTCCGGGAGATAACTTTTATAGGTTTCAGTGTTGTTGCCAGCTTGATGTCTACCTTCAAAGAAGGTACCACATAAATAACCTTAGAGTAAAGATTTTTTTAAAAAAACTTGAAAAAAAGAACCTTGTCTTGCTCTACAATTTTGAAAAGGCAAATGTGGAAAGGCAAATTTGATGAAAGAAAGGGGGAAATTTGACCATTCCGTACAAACATAGGGTAGAAAATTGGGAGGAAAAAATGGGGCTGGGAAACGAGACTATTACCTTATTTTTTACCTACTCAATATTTAACCCTAACTTATACATAAATTTATCGAGCAATGTGCAGTCTAAAAAAACCCCCAAAAAAGGAACAAATCCAAGCCACTTTTCAAAAAAAGAACTTCCGCTAGAAACATTCTTTTTGTAAAGTTTCAATATGGAAAATTCTTCACAACCCCCAGAAACTTTTGACAACTCTAAAAATGTCCCATGACTGCAATTTTTCATTTGGGTAAGAAAAGGGAAAAATGCCATTTTGTCATGCGAGAAAACTGAGGGGTACACCCCAACCTACCGCCAAGGCTATAACTTCGTTCAAAATTGTCGAATCTGAGACAACTTGGTATGGTTGGATTCAGCTCGTTGAGGCGTATCGAACCATACCAAGGCTTCCTAGATTCGACAATTCTGAAAGAAGTTATAGCCTCGGCGGTAGGTTGGGCTGCGGTAGGTTGGCCTGCTCCCAAAACTGAGACAGAAAAAATAAAGTTCGGAAGATCCGTAGATTAATCTAAAAAAATATTCAACAATTAAATATTTTATTAAAAAATTGCATGAATTTTTAAAAAAAACTATACTTTAATTTATTCTAACAACTATGAAATTAACAAAATATTTTTTAATATAAGAAAGTCAAGGCTTAATTATAGGACAAAGAATATCAAATTCTGCACATAATAAAAGATGATCAGAACCGTATTGTTCATTTGGAAGTCTTCCACAAGCTTTTTCCAATTCTTTTAAAGTTGGAAGTGAAAGACGTTTTCTCAATTGAATAAATCCTTCGATTGCAAGTTGTTTTTGTTGTTGAGAAGAATCAGCGCTGGTAGAAGCCTCAAAATATTTTTAAAAAATAATTTAAAAATTTTTGTTAAACTTTTAAATAAAATAGACAAAAAACTAACACAGCGGACGCCCCTAAAGAATGAGATGTGGAGGAGACATATCGAACTTTAACCGAAGATTCCGAATTTATTTTTGCATCATCGTGTAGAGCAAGGTCGATAACCCTATTGCTAGTTTTCGGCTTTTTGGCCCTGACCCAGAGGAGTGGGAAGAGAAGGAAAAGAGGCATCTCTGTCCTATACCTAATGTGGATTAGACCAAAAGCAGACATTTTTAACCTTCCAGGTCTTTTTCTAAACTCACAAGGGAACATTTTGAACTGTAGCCAAAAATTTCACCTTTTTTGCACCATCGTGTAGAGCAGGGTTAATAACCTATTGCGAATTTTTGGCTTTTTTTGGCCTTGACCTGACCCCCAAATCGAAAAGTTATAAGGCTTCAAAGTCAGAGTCAATAAGCTATAATATTGACCTCGACTTTTTTTAACCATCTTTTACTGTAAGTGCGAATTTGGTAATTTTTTTGGTACCATTCGATAGAGGACCTTCGACTTACTGTTGTGGCTTATAATCCTCCTATCCTAACAACCCTCCCAAAACACCATGTAAATTATAATAAAAATAAAAAAACAAACATCTTGCTCGAATTTTTGAGTATTCTTTGGAATTGTATACAAAATAAAATCTGGGGTAGATTCTTCCATATGATAACTGGAAATTTCTGGCTAAAAAATAATTTTTAAAAATTATTTTTAATTCAAAAAAAAACCTCTCCAATAGCATTAAAATGTTCATAGACTGAAGCAAACGAAAAGTCGTGAGATAGAAAGTCACTAGTGTTTTGTTTAACAATAAATAATTGAGGATCAACAAGATCCTTTGAATCAACTAAAAAAGAAAGAAAAAGATTAAAAAGAGACCAATAAAAATTCTAAAATTTTTGAAACGATTTAACCAAATTATGATTCTGTTAAGGATCAAAACAGACAAGAAAAACCCTCCAACTTTCCCTATTTGTTAGTTTAAAATAGGGTAGGATCTCGAGCCTTCGGGGGCGGGATCGTCGGGGAACCGGGGGTTCTCGGAGTTGAGCCTTCGGGGTTCGAGGTTTTTGCCAAAAAAAGTCGGTGTCGGGGTGCTACCATAGTTCAAAAAAATGAAATATATACCAAGTTCACAATTTTTTGTCATTTTCATCAATGCAAGAGGTATACTGGTACTTGATGGCGGAGTTGAAGGAATTGTATTAGAAGTCGGTCTCAACGCCATAGTACTACTAAACATTGCTCGCAAGTCAGCTTTTTGTTCCATTAAAAAACTAAAAAACTTATCCAAAAATACAAATTTTTAAGAAAACCGATGTAATGGAGACGTAGGTTCAATATTAAAATCACCACAAAGTATATGCCCAACAAAATTATATTTTCTTATGGGGTCTTTTTGTAACTTCATTGAAGCCACAAATTCAGTTTCTGCCTAAAAATTAATAAAAAATAAGAAAACAAAGGAATTTAAAGGAGACAAACAAATATTTAAAATAAACATTAAACCAAAAAAAAATCAAATAATCCAATTGTGGACTTTATACATTCACATGGAACAAATGTCCAAACAAGGGATATCATGGAAAAACTGAAACAGGCTAAAAAGATTGGCTTTCGGTAGATTCTGATGAAAGTCAGGCCCGTAGCCAGAATTTTTTCGAAGAGAGGGTGGGGGGGGGGGCAAGGAAAAGCCTTTATAGTATAGTGTCGAAAAAAGTTCGTCTTTCAGGTAATCGGGGTTCGAATGTCACGTGACATTCTATCCCAAACCAGAACAAGGCTCCCCCATGTCATCCAATAAAAAACCAAACCTTTTTCATATGCCCCAATAAATAAGCAATTTGTGCCAATTTTATAACTCCCTTCTTCATTTGAAAAAATATGTGAGTATTTGAAATACAAAATGCTGAAGAATTGTATAAGCAATCATTTAATCCAAATATAGCCACTTGTCCAATATTTGGACTGTTCATAGTAGGAGGGATAAATAAATTGAAAGAAACTTGGTTTATATAAAGTAAAGTAATTTTTGATTGACGCCAAAAAATAGCACATCCATCCGGGGTTTGTAAACCGCCCGTTTTGCGAGTAAAAAGACCTTGGAATCCTCCTTAATTTGAAAAAAATTAAAAAAAAATTTTACAAAAAAAAACAAAACTGCTTGTAAAATAAGGAAGATAAAATTCTTCATAATGAACGTCTTGAACTTCTTGTAAACAAAAAATATCTGCATCAATCCGATCAAATTCCAACTCAAGTTTTTGCTTTAAAAATATTTTTCCCTCAAAAAATTCTCAAAAATCTTTTTAAAAAACCTTTCTGGAATTCCATAATTTATGGGCACTTTTAGCACCCCTTAAATGTTGATATAAATGAGACATTACATTCACATAATGTTGACATAAGACGTTAAATGACACAACAGACAATGGTATTCGAAGAAATTTATTTGTGTTGGGAACAATTTCTTTGCCCTAAAAAAATTTCTTAATAAAAGAAAAAAATTAAAAATGAAACTAAAAATAAATGGAAAACATTTAAAAATCAAAAACAAGTCAAAAAATACCATTATAAGAAAAAATTAACACAAAAGTACTCGAACCCACCTAGTTTCCCCTTAAAACTCGACGCCCTAACCATTCGGCCATCGAAACTATAAACACAAAAATTTTATAAACGTTTTTTAATATGAAAGAATATCCTTCAAAAATCACCAAAAAATAAAAATATTAACAAAAAATTACCAAAATTTGTTGATAATATCGAAGCCCAACCAATTTATAATTTTTAGACAAATCAATTTTTGAAGAACGATGTTCATAACGTATCCGACTTGCAAAAGTTTTATGATCAAGTGATAACTCTTCGAAAGAATTTTCTTGTTTTGGAGGGCAAATACTTAAAATTTCTTCTCTTGTATAGCTCAAACGCCTATTTTCAGAATTTTTGCTAGTTGATGGTTGAGACACTTGTGGGAGCTTTAAAAAAATTTCAAAAAAATTTATACAAATAAACCTTTTGTCTCAAATCCAAATCACTTTGAACACGCTCAACTGACGCGTTTTCAATGTTGGTAACACAACTATGACACAATTGCTCTTTTATTTGTGCAACTGTTTTCTGTTTTGATTGACGAGATAAAATCTTTAAAAAAATATTTAAAATTAAAATATTTTTTAAATTATTTATGCATGAACTACACGAAATCAAAGTAAACTGAAAAAATGCAAAACAACCCAAAAATTTTATTTTTTCTTGCCCAGAAAGTTTTATACAAAATATCAACTCAAAATAATTATTTACCATGAATGGGATTCGAACCCACACCCTATGGATAATCAAGACAGAAACTTTTCCCAGCAAACCAAAAAAACCGAAACTTCCCACAAACATAACTAAGTTGTCAGTTTTAGACCAAACCGAAAAACCGAGGATTTTTCGGAATCGAGGATTTTTCGGTTCTGTTCTAATATCCGAAGAATTTCCACAAAAACGAAATTTTTCCCACTAAACCAAAGAAACCAAAATTCCCCACTAACATAACGATAAAAGAAAACCTTTTTGTTCAGTTTTATAATTCCAGTTTCTTCACGCAAATCAATATCAGAAAAAATTGAAGTGTTTGCAATTGTTCCCTGAGAAGCCGAAAAATTAACCAATGTAGAAATACTAGGAGAAGACTGAAGATTTGAGGTTGAAGATTTGACTGAAGTTGGCATTATTTTCTTCTTCTTCTCAACTTTTCCTCCTTTCGGAATTTTTTGTTTCAATTTTTTATTACTCGGAGCATTCTCTTCAATTAAAGTAATATCCCCCTCTTCCTCTTCTTCTGTATTACTTGGAGAATTTAACAAAACAACTCCGTGTCCATGTCGACTTAACAATGATTCTTTCAAAAGTTCTTGTTTTGTTTCTATTTGTAATTTGGTTGGTCGTAGTGGTAAGCTAACATTGTTAGTTCCAGTTTTGTTGCTAATATTATCGTCAACAGTTCCCAAGTCAATAACTGGAGGAACTAAAAAAAGAGGAAATTAAATGAGAATGTTTACCCCTAGATAACGAAGAAGAAATCGAGTAGGGATGGAACGCGTCGAGAAAATATAGAAAGTCGGGCTAGGTTTAGAAACGAAAAAACGTCCAAAAGTTTGGGGTAACCCGTCAAATGACTGGATTCGGAGAGAGTCCATGGATCTCCTCCATGGCAAGGGCGTAGCAAGCGGGACCCTCTTTTAGCCCTCCATTTAGACCCCCGGTTACGTCCTTGATCCATGGATCCGATTCTGTGTTTCCTTATTTTAGATTTCGCATTTCTTGATTCCCCGTAAAACGAGAAACACGTCCTCTCCAATGTCACTCAACCAGCACTTTTTAAAATCGGATGAAGTTTGAGAGGGGTTTTAGTTCAAGTGCTTCACACGAAGGAGTGTTATACCCTCAACACTTTCCCGTTTCCATGTCCCCAATTTTCCAAATTCCCCCACTCCCTCTACAACTAAATCCCACTTACTTTTGAGTATATCCATAAAAATATTTTTCTTAGTTCCATAACTATTAAGCAAATCAGAATCTTTTTTGGCCAGCTCAGCATTCAATTTTCCAAAACTCAACTCCAAAAGTCGTTGTTTTTGTATAATTTTTTCAGGCGAGAGTTTGTCTTTTTGAAGATTTTTGTTTATAACTCGCTGCTGTTGTTTACTTTCTTTTGTAGTTTTGGTTGTTTTGACCATTTTCTTTTTGAAAATTTTTATAAAAATTTAATTAAATTACTTAAAAACGCTGAAAAAAAAAAATTTTTCAGAAAAAAATTTTCAAGAATTCCTCAAAAATTTTACTCTTTTTCTCTCACCACGTTATCTTTTTTCTTTGTGGACAAAATGTCTTTAAAAAATTTTTTTGGCATTATGTCGCTTTTGAGGGAAAACTTTGTTTAAAATTAAATAGCGTCCCGTTCTACAACCCAATTTATCCTTACACTGAGAGGGGATATTTTTGCTAGAAAGGGCACATTCTCTATCGAACGAGCCCCGTCTCGACCGTTTTTAGGCAACCTCTCTTTGTTAGGTTTGTAAAAGTGGCAAAAATTAACAAAAAAATAACCAAAATTTCAATTCCGCTACGTCCTCTTTTGCCTGCGCTAGTCTGCTGTGTGTTTACTCGACCCGCGCCTACTCGGGCGTGCCCCGTCCCGTTATGTCTAGCTTATACATATTTTTAATATTTTTTAGTTAGGAAAGGGTAAGAAGCAAAATAACAATTTTCTCTAATGGAAGTCGATGATATTATTGATGTCGTTAACATTGAAAGTGCAGAGCAGGAAAAGGATAAAACTGGGTCATTAAGTGGAACCGAAGAAAATCAAAATTTAACTGATGGACAGGTTTATTTTTTGCCTTGTAAATAGGGTTGGGGTTTTCGAGAGAGAAATAGGGTTGGGGTTTTCGAGTTTTCGGGCCGACGTTCATTTTTATCGGGCCGGCCCGACCGAGTCTTTTTCGGGTCAAAATTCAAGGCCCGACTCGATCTTTCGGATCTGGCCCCCAATTCATTTTTCTTAATTATGGACGTTTTGGTTAAGTTGGAAGTTGCTTAGTTTTTGGGGGTAAGGGGTCGTAGGTTCGAATCCCTTTGGTTGATTTTTTAATTTTATATAACCCAATAAATTTAAAAATTTTTTTAGCCGTTTATTGACCGTCTAGGAAATAAATGGAATTATTTGGGAACTGGAGCTTTTGTTGAACGCCATTATCCTCTATTGGGGCTCAAAATGTGTACAGAGACAAAGCGATGGGCTGTTTTATTTTGTTCTCAGCGTTTTGACATGAAATGTCCTTATCAAATGCTGCTTGTTAAAAATAAAGGGCTGATTTACCAAAGGTTTTGAATTTGATTGAAATTGGGGGTTATAGTTGAATTATTTGAGATTAGTTGGTAAACCCGTCAAGTAAAAGGGGTTTTGTCTGTCTTGACCAGAGCTTTATGTCCTGACAGAGTACGAAGAAAGACAACCACCGATTAAAATAAGATTTGGGTCGTTAAGGTTTAGGTCATTCTTCCTAGTACAAATTTTATAACGACCTTCAAAAGCACTTCAGTCAATGTCCTAACATTTTTTATTCTTATTTTGTGTTTTTCCTGAACTTTCAAAGGGTCATTTCAAGTATCAAAACCCCAAATTTTATTAATCATTTATTGTAAATTCAACACAATTTATAGATTCGAACATTCTCATCAAGTCACCAAAACTCCTGAACAATTACTTAAAGGAAAGACGCCAAGTCCTAAAAAAGATGGAGAAGATGGACGTTTGTCACATGAAATGGAACTTTCTGGATGGAAATTAGTGGCTGAGGTTTTTTTAAAAAATTTTTTAAAAAATATTTTTGTGTTTTAAGGGTGTTTATGACGAAGAAAAATTGCAAGAAAATTTGACACAACATTTTGCTGTAAAATACCGACCTCATGACGAGTTGATTTGGTACTTTAAATGCAGATATACTCGTTGTAGTTATAAAATTCGTTGGTTTAAAAGACTTGGAGAAATTTGGAGTTTGGGATTACACAGCAAGCTGCATGGAAGTGGAAGTTGTAAAAGGAAGAGACGACGATTGAGGTTATAAATTTTTGATAAAAGTTTCTGATTTTTTTCGTTTCCACATTTTCTGGTTTTATTCCGATTATGTTAAGAGATCTGACGCTCTTGCAAGAAAATGTTGGTATTTTTTCCAGGGAATTTTTGTGTATTAAATATAATTGGCTTTTTTGGGGTGCTCAGTTCCTTCTCTTCTCATTAACCACAATTTGGTTCCTTTTCATCATTACTTGAATTTATTAAATAGTGTAAGTTTTTAGAAAAGAGTTATGTTCCCAAAGAAGCCAAAAAAAACTTGGCTTGTCTCATATATTTAACTAAATACCAAAAATAGTCAAACAAAATTCCTCAAAGTAATCCGCATACACTGCGGTCATACCCCTCTTTTCTTCTTTTTTCAACCCTTCAAACTCTTTATCCATCTCCCGGGGCAGCAAAAGCCTCCTCTTCCCCATCCCAACGGCGACTTCGATTTTTATGTTAATCCTCCTATCCTTGACAAACGCCCCGTGGAAGAGATAATGCCTGTGGCAGCAATGTCTTAAAATTCAGAATTAGGTATTCCCCTCCCCCAAAAAATAACAAAAATAAAAATAATTTAAAAATAAATAAATTTATTCAAAATAAGGCTCAATATCGCAATACAAATAGGAATGCCAGCCGATTCTCCATCACGGTTTACATCTTCCTAAAATAAAACTAGATCACAAAAATTCCACTTGTATCCATGCAATTAAAGGAAGCGTGGTGATGGTGTGCCTGTGGCCGAGACAAATATTGAAGATGATGGGGGAAACGAAGATGGTGAGCCAAATGACGGAGATGCTGAGGGGAATGTTAATGATGAAGCACCGGCCGAGGCTGATCGGAATGGAGATGTTGAGCTTGATTCAATGCCGGAATTCGAAAATTCAGAACATTATAAATGAATTTATGAAATTGTTTTAAAAGAAAAATACTTTTTTTTGATAATTTATGCTCGGTTTTTTACGCCGCAGCATCAAGGGCGTATCCAGGGGGTCGGGTTTTCTTTTAAAACAATTTCATAAATTCATTTATAATGTTCTGAATTTTCGAATTCCGGCATTGAATCAAGCTCAACATCTCCATTCCGATCAGCCTCGGCCGGTGCTTCATCATTAACATTCCCCTCAGCATCTCCGTCATTTGGCTCACCATCTTCGTTTCCCCCATCATCTTCAATATTTGCCTCGGCCACAGGCACACCATCACCACGCTTCCTTTAATTGCATGGATACAAGTGGAATTTTTGTGACCTAGTTTTATTTTAGGAAGATGTAAACCGTGATGGAGAATCGGCTGGCATTCCTATTTGTATTGCGATATTGAGCCTTATTTTGAATAAATTTATTTATTTTTAAATTATTTTTATTTTTGTTATTTTTTGGGGGAGGGGAATACCTAATTCTGAATTTTAAGACATTGCTGCCACAGGCATTATCTCTTCCACGGGGCGTTTGTCAAGGATAGGAGGATTAACATAAAAAATCGAAGCCGCCGTTGGGATGGGGAAGAGGAGGATTTTACTACCCCGGGAGATGGATAAAGAGTTTGAAGGGTTGAAAAAAGGAAGAAAAGAGAAGAATGATTGCAGTGTATGCGGATTGGTTCGAGGAATTTTGTTTAATTATCTTTGGTATTTAGTTAAATATATGAGACAAGCCAAGTTTTTTTTTGGCTTATTTGAGAACATAACGCTTCCTAATAAAAACTTATCCTATTTAATAAATTCAAGCAATGATGAAAAGAAGTAACAACCACATTTGTGGTTAATGAAAAGAGAAGGAACTGAGCACCCCAAAAAAGCCAATTACCTATACATATTTAACAAAATAATTTTAGTTTTGTTTGTCAATTTTTGGTATTTAATTTTTTTACAAAATGTTTATGCTTTTAAAAATAAAATTGTTTTTTCCAACTGATTTTGTGTAAAAAACATTTCTATTTTTTTCGGAACCTCCTGAGTAGGGTTGCCGTTTTCGAGTCGGGCCGACGGTCGAGGCATTTTTTTCGGGCTTGTTTTATCGAGTCGGGCCGGTACGAGTCTTTTTCGGGCCAAACGTCTAGGACTAATTTCTTACGAAAATCCGGGAAAACTGAAAAATAACCAAAAAGTTTAATTTGCAACTTTTATGTTACTCAATCAAAAAATAAAACTTACAATCTATATTATATACTATTTATATAGATTTTCAATTTACAAAAAAATTTTTTACTGAATAAACGAAAATTCTTTTTAAAATGAGCATGAAAAAAATAATATGTTTAATATTTTTAATTAAAAAAAGATGGGCACTTTTTTTCTTCCTTTTTTTTGAATCACAATATTTAGAAAAATATATAATTAATTAAATTTTTGTATATTTTCTCCGGAATTATTTTTTTCAAAAAAAAATTTTTTTCCAAATATTTCAAGCCAAAAATTATTTATTTTATACCTATTCCCGGAAAAAATTGCAAAAAAATAATTAAAAACATATTAAAAGTAAAATAAAAATAAAATTTTTTTTAAAATCGGAATGGTCATTTATATGTATATAATTAACTAGAAAACCTTTACTAGAAGAAAATTTTTCATTTTTATTTAAATTTATTATTAGAATTTGCAGATTGTTGTGACGTTGGTGGAGGAGGAGGAGGTATTCGGGCTGGGGGAGGTTCAAACATTCCTTCAGTTAAATATCCAGCAATAGATTCTGAACCACTTGGACCTCCTAAAATTAATTTTTTTAGTGATTTAAAAATAAAAAATTAAAATTTTCTGGTGTCCGCAACAGCAAAAGTCCGCAAATGTTTCTTGCTGACTTTTTTTAGTCCTATGGTTTTTCGATTTTCGGGGGCCTATATCTCAGCCCCTGTATAAGTCTGCACGAAAATTTTTTCACCATTCGACTCAACTCGACGAGCTCTTTCGAATGACATATCACTCGACCTAATCGGCGTCTGTGTCGTATACCGAAATTTTTCCAAAAAAATTTCAAAAAAAAAACCTGTAATAGCCTGTGTTTGTGTAATCGTAGGTAAAAAGAGGTCATGTCTCTGATCTTTATAATGTGCCCAAATTGGCGATTTTTGCAAAACTTGGGAAATACGTTCACCAAATTGAGTATCACGACAACAATTTTTTAGAGCATCGGCAATTTCAGCTTTTGCCGCAGCTGGATTATTTACACCTTTTTTTGAATTTAAATTAAAAAAAAAATAATTAAAGAAACCTGGCATTGAACTAGCTAAAGAATGAAGCAAAAAATCAATCATTCCAGAAAGTAATATTTGCTCAGCAAATTCGTGTGTACAATGATTGGAAAGTTGTTTTAAAGCATGGGACCATTGTCGAGCCATTTCGGGTTGTCTTCTTATACAAGTTAAAAATCCTTTTATTAGAGAGGGGATTGTACACAAAACTGAAGCACAATTCTTTAAAGAGAAGAAAATTCATTAAATTAAAAATAAAATTTACCGAATTTTCACTAATTTGATTTAATACAACAATTGCAGAATTAGCAACTTCATCATTATTAACCATTTGCATAGATTGACACAATTGTGGTAAATAACCTTGAGCAGGAATCTTTGTAAAAAAAATTTTTTTAATTTTTTTAATTAATTGGATAGGAGGGGAAGGAATAGAAACATTCATGGAAAGGGACCAATAAACGTACAACCAATTCTATGGTCACGACCAGAACACAATCTATTGTACTACCAGTTCAACTTTATGATTGGATATTTTTATTTATTTCTTTATGGTACTTTTAAATATTTACATGAATCATGGATCCTGCCGACATAAAAAAATAAATCCCCAATTTTCGGGAATCGGGATAGCACAAAAATATCGGAAAAAATAATTTAAGAAAAGCCAAGGGCGAACGAATTACGGCATTTTTCAGTTACGAATTACGATTACGAAAAAAATTTTTCAATTACGACGCAACTCTGATCACGGGGAGGGGGGGGGGTGCTATTTCATAGGTTGCGGACGAAAAAAATCCACTTTATTGAACAGTTCCCTCTCAAAAATTTTACACATTCTTCCATTTCGGGGGGGGGGGGGGGGGGGGTTTCAGCCTCCCCTGGCTACGCCCTTGTATAGCAGTATCCCCGGAACGGACAGAAAAGAAAAATTTTTTTATCAAAATTTTCAAAAAACACAAACAAACCATATCAACAGTTGTTGGATGATGTGCTGCAAGTAAAACTAAAGCTTTAGTAACTTGATCTAATTGACTTTTCCATCTTTGCTGTTCCACTAAATTTTTAGTTTGTTTCGTTGTTGTTGATGATGATTGCCAAATTTCTAGTAAACGTTCAACCAATTCTGTGGCAAATTGTCTTGGATGACGAACCTTTAATTTTAAAAAAAAGATTCAAAAAAATGTTGAAAAAAAATAATAAAAATACCGCCCAAGACGGATTTCCAATAAAAAGTCGAAGGAAAACACCTCCAACAATAATTTCTCCACTTATAACAGATTCATATGCACAATGGCCTTCACCAAATACAGAATTCTGGAATAAAATTTTTAAATTAAATATAAGGAAGGGTAGATCCAACTTGCTAGCAAATAATAAAACGCGTGAATTTTTAGGATCAATAAAAGACAGCAATCAGTCATCGCCTTCGGTCACTACACTCACCTACTATAGATCAGGAAAGGGCCGGTTGGGAAAAAATCAAGTCTGAGTTCGAATCGAGTTTCTAAAAATTTTCTTAGGATCGGGTTTCGGATCGAAAGTCCGTTCTTCTATATGAAAGTTGCGGACCCATTCCTGTTCTACTTGGTGCGCGGTGTAGCAGGAGGTCGCAGGTTCGATTACTGCCTGGATGGCTAAACTTTTGTTTTGTTTAATTCTCACTTGAAGATAAAAAAATTAAATATTTAAATTAACCATATTCCATTTTACATTAGGATCTTTTTGTTGTGAAGGCACTAATGTAACAAGTATATTTCCAAGTGTTTGTCTTATATCATTACGCATTGAATCATTCCATATTAATTCTGGATTTTCTGTGATACTATCAAACATTTGAATTCTTTAAAGGGGAAAAATTAGGGAACATTAAAGAACAATTTTTTTTATTATTTACGCTGTTCCAGGATTATCTCTCAATGTATCAGCAAATATTGTTGGTAAAAATCGAGAAAGTAAGCGTGTCCATCTTGGACCAGTTAATTTGTCAGATTGAAGCTTAGCAAATAATTCAGCTGCAAGCATTCTACTGGCACTAGTTATTCCTGTTGGAGGTGAAGCTAAAAAAAGTTTAATAAACCGCTAAAGTTGAACCTCACTTTTAGATAAACTGTTGAAAAACTCCTACTCTATAATGAATTGTATCTTTAAATTAGGGGTTATTCCAATCAATGGCCAACCAACCAAATTTGAATGGTACCCAAATCAATGACCCCTATAAGGAGGGGACATCTTAAATTGAGGATATCGCTTAAACAGCCTCTCAACCGAATTTAAAAAACATGTCTTAAATAGAGGTGAATCTAATTTTAAAAGTATCTAATAGCAGAGGTTCGACAGTTAAAACGATTCAAAAATAAAAAAAAACCATTTTCGTCCAGTTTATTTTCATTAACATTTATTGAAGTACATTCAGCAAAAATAGCCAAGATATAGACTAGACCGCCATAATCAAGTAAATCTTTAACAACTTGTTGATTTGCTACTAGAGCAATTAATGTACGCAAAATAATTTCACAAGCTTAAAAATAAAATAAAAAAATTTTTTTTGAAAATTTTAAAGAATTTTTTTCAAAAAATTTTTTTAGGAAATTTTGAAAAAAATTTTTTCAGTAAATTTTTTGGCACTGGTCTAGTTTATGCGTCCAATCAAAAGAAAATTGGATTTTTCTTGGTGTTGCAAGGTTGGGGTAAGGTTCCAAAACATTTCTTCAAATTAGGGACCTATGCCCACCGGGTCTGGGACCATTCCTTACCTATCCATCGAAATTTCTGAAGGTTATAGCCAATTTTCAAAAATTTCAGAAAAACGATTTTAACTTTAAGAAATTTCGATGGATAGGTATGGAATGGTCCCAAATCTCAAAAAACTAGACCAGCGCCATTTTTTTAAATTTTTCAAGCCTTTAGGTAGCCTAACAAGTAAAACTAAAAGTAGAGACAATTTAATTGAACAAGCAACATCACTAACACATTCTTTATTACTTGCAGCAATAGAAATAATTTGTAAAGTTTTTAATTGAATTAAATCAAGAGAATGTAAACGTAAAAATCCAAAAATTGTTTTAAATTGTCCAATTAATAAAAGTTCAACACCCGGATTCATCATTAATAAATTACGTAAAGCTTCCAAAACCATCCGAATTTTTTCTTCCAATGGAAGTTTTGAATTATTATTTTCTTTGTTATTGAAAGTACGTGAACTAAAAATAGAAAAAAATATTAAAAAAAATTTTTCTTCTCAATTTTGGAAGGTCAACCTTCAAAAGTCTACATACAACTTTATCCAAAAATAAGTTCGTAGCCCAAAAATCCCTCAAAAAATTGAGGCGTTTTTTTAAATTTTATTATTTTATTTAATACTTTTTCCTGTGGATTTCTCAAAAGTATATCCTCTAACCTCCCATCTATGACCTTTTTTATTTAATTTTATTGAATTTATTAGACAACGATGTTAGTGGACTCCCTTTCGTTGTATATTTTTGATTTTGAACAAATAAATTTTTAATATGAAATGTCCTTTTCCGGGGGTTAGTCGCTCTTATTAAACACCTAAAATATTATTTTCCCAACATTTTTATTAAAACTCAATATAATAGGGTTGTCGATTAAACTAAAGTCTTCGATTAACCTGAAAATCTTCGGTTTTCAGGTTAAGTTAGAGACTAACATCTCCACTCAAAAATATATTAAAAATAAACCTATGATCATTTGAAGCATTATATAGATGTTTTTGATTAGAAGAATGACATTCAACTCCTGTTTGAAATTCTCCCCATTCTGTAACAGGCAATTCTTCTTCAACAACAAATTCAGTTGTTAAATCAATTAAATCATCCACTTCATTATTGTGATGCTGAAAAAGAGAAAATTTAGAAAAAAAAAGTCAACGATTCAGGTCAAAAATTTAGGCCACAAACAGTTCTTTGACACACGCATGCACCACAAATCGTTCTTACTCGAAATCTGATTTATGTACAAGATACTATATGTGAGGTTCGTGTGTGCGGACAAGAATGAAACTTCAAGCACAGATGAACAACCTTGTGATTAGGTCTAAGTAAAAGATTAATATTAGAGTTGCCAGCTCGCTCGAATCGAAACTCGAAAAATCGAGCGAGTCGAGGCTTTTCAGCTCGAAAACGAACGAGAATAAAAAAAAACAAGCTCAAAAAATGCACCGAACGTCGGCTCGAACCGAAAACGGCAACCCTAGTTAATATCGTTACTTAAATCAGTGCCTGAAAATTTCGTTTCTGGCCTTATACTCGAATTTGGTATCAAGTACCTAAATTGGTACAAGAGTCAAGCACTGGCCATACAACCGACTACCAAATAATTTTTAAAAAAAGTCTTAAAAAACCTTTGCCGTTTTAACATTTTTCCCAGCATTCCCAACACTCAATTTATGTTGTTGTTGTTTATTATGTAAAGCTGATGTGGAAGGTTTTTGATTTTGTGTTGTTTTTGGTAAAAGCTGTTGTTTTTGTTGTTGTGCAAGTAAACCTTGTTGTTGATAAAGCTGTTCAGAATGTTTAGATAAATAATCAAGTAAATCCATACACGTTCTTTTTGGTTCCTAAAAAATTTTTTTAAAAGAAAAAAAATTTCAAAAAACCTGAATTTTAAATTCTGGTTGTGAAATATAAACTCTAACAAAAATTTCTCCAACAACAAATTCACTTGCATAAATGCTTAATCTAAATTCAGCTCCAAATAGTTCACTCTAAAAAATATAAAACCATTAAAAAAATTCTAGTAGATTTATATGAAAGGATGAGTCGTTCGAAGCCCCGTGAAAGCATCAATTCCGTGAATAGCTAGAAATTATTGTTAAACGCCTTAGCTGACCACGTGAGGTGCTTTGCCGAATAAGTTTCATTTTCCCTTTTTATTGTTAGTCTTAAAAGCTCCTACCTAGTAAGGTTGACGGATCAGGATTCCAAAAAGGCAGGATATCAGGAAATTTTCGGTTCGGATATTAGGATTCGGATATCCGAAGATTTCCGACTATCCGCCAGCCTTACTACCTAGTAAGCGTTGAATCATTCCCTAATTTGGATCCCTCTACTTTCTTACAAAGGGAAAGGATTTTCATTCGAGGAGAGACTTATGTTTACTATACATAGGAAAAAATTATCCTAATATTTAAAAAAAATTTCTTTGAATTAAAAAACAAAAAATTGCCTTACCAAGTTATCATTAGAATTTCTATGAAGTTCAACAAAATCTAAAAGTTCGGCTCTAGTAGAATTATCCCAAATAAGGTAAGGATCAAAAGTATTTGAATTTAATAATTTAAGTACAAAATCATTTCTATATTGAATTGGAGGTTTTGTAACAGAGATATCATCTGCTAAACAAGCATCATCATCAACAGAATTTGGTTGGCCTAAAAAAATTTTTTCTTAAAAACAATTTTCCAAAAATTTAGAACTCACAAGTATTCTGCTTTCCATTATTTAAAACAATTTTTCCATTTTCTATAACTGAATTATTTTTTGATTTTTTAATTTCTTCTTTTTGTAACTCTTCTTGCTCTTCCTTCTCCTCATCTGATTGATTTAAATTAACTGCAAGTGAACAAGATGCTAATTGCATTTGACGACAGATATAAGGTGTAAGCATTGCACGAAGACTAAAAAATAGAAAAAATTATTCTCATTTAGTAGAGAATTAAAGAAAATGACAGGAAAAAATTTAATCGTTTTCTCGAAATATAAATAATTTCAAGCCTTTTTGTTGTTTTCAAACTAGTCCTGTTCCTTCTCCCCCACTCTCTGTATTTTTAGATTTTTGCTGACGAGTCCCAGTTCACCTTTTCTTCACATTTATATTTTATTATGGAAATATTTCAATAGGAATCTTTATTTTCTGATCATAACCCCCGGAACGTCTTCTAATACCAAGAGTTTGTTATACCAAGCCCCCAAAAACCGTTTTAATATTTATTTGGTATTTCGAGCTTTTTTCCACGGCTTGATATTTCAAAATCCTGGTATTTAAAGATCATATCATAACTCCTGGGTTTCCATCCACAATTTTTTAAATTAAAAAAATTAAAAAAAGACAAACCTATTTTGTACTCCATCATTGTCTGGAGTATTTGGACGATAACCAGCTAAACAAGCCAAAGCCTCACAACAACTTCGAGCTAGACGGTTTAAAGTGGATTGCTGGTTAGTTTTTTCGGAATGAGCAACACCTTCAAAAAAGTTCTATTTGAAAAAAATAAAACTAGAAAACCTCCTTCATCCAATGTCCAATCAAACCGAAACAAATGAGGCATTAATTGCCAAATAATTCCGGCTTGAAACATTTGAGTTTGTAAAAGTGTACAAACAGAAAGAGAACATACACAATCTGCTGCAGCACAGGAAAGACGGGTTAAATGCTTAAAATTAAAATTTTTTCTTATTAATTTTCAAAAAATAATTTTTTTACTTCAAATTTAAGTAATTGACAAATTCCTTTAAACAAAGCCTTCATTTCCGCAATTTTTTCACGACAAGCCTCAAAATTTGCAGCAGCACCAAAACAATTACAAACGTGTAGGCATACTTTGACAGCCATACTATTATCATTGCAGCTTGATGTAATCATTGGAACACAACGACAGAATGTTTTGTATAAAGCCTAAAAATATATATATGAACATGTCTATCACATAAAGAGTTTGGATTTAATTGTAAGCTTAAAATATTTGAAATTCATTATAGCGGAGGTTTGATGGGATTAAGGTGGATTTGAAGGGAATAAGGAGGATTTGGAGGGATTATGAGGATTTGGAGGGATTAAGGAGGAGTTGGAGGGAAAGAGGATTTGAAGGGATTAAGATGGATTTGAAGCGAATAAGGAGGATTTGGAGGGATTAAGGTAGATTTGAAGGGAATAAGGAGTCTTTGAGGTGATTAAGAAAGGATACCTGGAGACATAAAGAGATTAAGGTGATTTGGACCACGGGGAAAAATCCAAGCAATTCCCAAAATATCCCCAAAATTTCAGTTAAAAAATAAACCTCCAATCCACCATCTCTTCTCAATTGTTCAGCATTTAAAGGAGAACTTTTCAAAGTCCAATAACAAAGTTCTACAGCAGATATTAATAATTGTCCACTTTCACCTCCCTTCTGATTTGAAAATAAAGCATCATCTGCCGACTCCAAATCAATAGTTTTAATTAATTGGGTATATCCAGCATATTTATAAGGTGACAAAACTTGAGAAAAAAATTTTTTAATTAAAAAAAAACAAAAAATTTTCCGAAAGAAATTTCAAAAAATTCTAACAAAAAAATTCAAAAAAAATTTTTTTTGAAAAAAATTTCCCAAAATTCAAGTTAAAAAATAAATTCTCTCCCATCAGGATTTTTGTTCAAACAAATTTTTTTTAAAAAATTCTTCAAAATTTTTTTCAAAAAATTTTTTAATCAAAAATTTTCAAAAAAAAATTAAAAAAATAAAAACCTTTCAAATTCCTTTTGTAAGTAATACTTTGCGCTTTAATTATTACAATAATTCTATTAATATCCGGTTCTTGTGATAAACTTGCACGCGCCAATGTTGAAGTTAAAAATTCATAAGCATAATTTATTTGTTCAAATTGTTCTCTTCCATCAGGATTTTTGTCTGGATGATATTTTTGTGCTAATTTAAAATATGCACGGCGAACAGCTACAGGATCGCTCCAACTTGATTTGTCTTTTATATCTAAGCCTAACCGTTCACAAGCCTTTTAAAAAAAATAAAAATTGAAAAATAAAAAATTTTAGTGAAGGTGACATTTGATCCCAGAAGGGCATCTTGTAAATGCATTTGTTCCCCAATTTCAGTTTTAACTATTTATAAAATCCTTTCCTGTTTATTAAACACCAAGACTAACAAAAAAATTATATCTTGAATGAAAAATAGTAAGAAAGTGACATTTGATCACAAGGTGACATTTAATCCCAAAAGTTTCACTTTGCTCCCCAGCTTTATTTTACTAATTTAAAAATAAAAACCTGTTCATTAGACATTTTTGTAGGTTTTCTAGTTATCTCATTTTGCCATGCAGAGAGACAAGAACGTAAAAATTCGACAGGTTCTCTTATTGGCCATAATGGGAAACGTTTTTCATCAATTAAATGGCGAAGATAATAAAAATGACAAAAAAGCTCTTCCTTTAATTGATCATATTCTATTGGAGGAATAGGGCAATACCTTTTTTAATGAAGGATTATACAAAAAAAATTTTGAAAAAGAAACCTATATAAAGCTTTAACGTTTGAAGAAAGACGATTAGAAAAGTCAGCAACGTGAAGAGCAATTTTGTTAATCATGTGTTTTCTCATATCGCTATTCCAAATACATTCTGGATTTTGTGATTCTCCCAGAAAAACTTCAGCATATTTTTCAGCACCGTATTGCTAAAAAATAAAATTTTGAGAAAAAAAATTTTTTAAACAAAATTCAAATGATAAAAAATCAAAAATCTTAAACATCCCCCTATCATATTATTTTTCTTGCATTGGACTCAAAATTAGGGTTGCCAAAATGAACGATTCGGATCGAAAGATCGAGTCGGGCTTAATATATTCGGCCCGAAAAAGCCTCGTACAGACCCGACTCGGTAAAGTTAGGTCCGAAAGTGACTCGTACAGGCCCGACTCGATAAAAATGAGGCCCGAAAAATGCCTCGACCGTCGGCCCGACTCGAAAACGGCAAACGGTCCGACTCGAAAAAATCCTCAAAAAATATTTTTTACAGAGCTCATAAACTTTTTCAAAAAGTCTTTTAAAAAAATCAAACCTCCAAATAAAAAATATTTGCTTCAGGTAGCATTGGACATAAAACAGAACGGGAAGCTAATTCTGAAGCAGAAAGTGTTGATCGAAAAGCTTGTTTTAAGTGTGCATATTTAAGAAAATGTGCAATAGGTAATATATTTGATCCATTATACATTAAAATAAAAAAGAAAATGCCAGAGAGGTATAGACGAGACAATGCATTATTATCCTGAAAATTAAGAGAAGTTGCAAGACGGGTAAACCGATTGAAGTAAATAGGAACCGGCTTTGGTACCGTCGGGAACGAAAACCTCAGAATCGACTAGAGCGCTGATTGAGAGCGGGAGGGATGACGTTTTGGGATCCCTGGTTTTCAACCATAAAAGGGATTATAGGGATCACGCCCCATCGACCTTAAGAAAAAAATCACGGAGATGGATCCAGAATCTGTGATTTTGCCACTCTAAGTCGTACGATTTTTTGGAACTGAAAAATAATTCCAACTAGACAAAAAAATTTTGTAGGACGTTTCAATAAATTTCTTTTAGAAATCCTCTCCACGGAACGTCAGAAACATATTTTAGCAAAATTAAAAAAAATTGAACATACTTCCATAATTAAATGAACAAGAGTTCCTATTCTTTGAACAATCGCTGGATCATATGTCAACAAAAGTTGAACTAATTGATATAACAAAACTGGCTCCGAAAGAATTTTCTTTACTTTAGGTAAAGGTCTTATAATAGCTCCAGTCTCATCTCTAAATAAATTTTAAAAAATTAAAACAAAAAATTAAAAGTTTTAAAAAACCTTGAAGGAAAGAATGAACACATTTGTATTAATGTATCAAGAATTAATGAACACAAATCTGTTGGATTATACAAAGCTACTGGTAATAAATCGATATCTTTAGCTGAAAAAAAAACAGAAAAATATTTTAAAAAGGAATTGGAATATACAACTGGACCTCACTGTAAAATAATCCTTCGTTCAGAATGTTTATTTTGGTTGGTCATTAAATGGAGAAAAAAACTGTGAGAGATATCCCCAATTTCTAATATAAAGATATGTATGAATACATGTAGGTCGGCAATTCACTAACTTATTATCAAATACAGTGACTTTGCCACCCAAAACTTTATTCTCGAGACTCGTTTCCGCCAAAGGACAACTTAGTTAACTAATTTTAAAAAAATTTAAGATCAGAATATCAGGAGATTTCTCAGAATCCCCAACCTTAGCAAGGGTATATCCAGAGAGAGTACTTTACAATGAGATTCAACTTTAATTTAATCCTTACATTTCTCGTTCTCATCCGACTTAATTGAAGATGTTTGACCAATTAAAGAATGTTGATTACAACAGATAGTCCAACGGAATTGTGCGACCGATGACAGATAACACCATTTATCCAAACCTTCAGCCCAAATTTCACTTTTCTCGAATAATGTTCCATCACAAAATAATTGTTTAATCTAAAATAGAGACAAGCTTTACTGGGGTATTATTAAAAATCATATAAGGCAAAAGTAAGGTGGTTAACTGACACAGATTTAGCGAACCCTAGTTTAGAGTTAACACAGCTTAGAGTTAGGGAGACCTAAAACAAGTAGGTAACCATAAAAATAGGAACCTGCCAAAAACTAGAATAAAAATCTCTTGGTCATATGACTCTTACAAGGAACCATCGTTTACTGTGACTACGAATTTGATATATTTTTTGGAACCAACAAAGAGAATCGGCGTTGGCAAATTCGCAGTCACAGTAAACGATGGTTCCTTGTTAGTCAGGCCTCAATGTATAACGATCCGTTCTCAAATTCCCATTAAAAGAATTAAAAAATTAAAACCTTGCGAAATGAATAAGGCCCATTCCTTTGTCCTTGTTTATCATTATAATACCATTCCTTAGGAGCACTTTCTTCAGAATCTATTGTTCCTTTTGGTGCTTCAATAACATTTGTTTGTGCATGTAATTTAGCTCTATTAGTATGTAAATGTGCTAATACAGCAATATCAATTAGAAGGGGAAGAGAATCAGCCGCAATTAAATCACGAACATTTTGCTTATCTAGAGCTAACTAAAAAAATTTTTTTAACAAAGAAAGATATCGTTTTTAGATAACCTCTTGAGGTGGGAAAATTTGTAACTTATATAGGGAGTATCTTAAATAGGGGAGAGTCCATTTAGACCGGAGTGCCAAGTAATACTAAAAAAGCCGCTGAAAAACAAACTGTGGAAATGTCACCAAGCACAAAAAACCTCATTATGACGGCAAGATACTAGAATTGTTCCCAGTCCCCGGAAGTCATGGAATTTGAGAAAAATCACGAAAATTTATCATCATGGCCCCCCGTTGGGGAACAACCCTACTAAATACCCGTTTAATGACGGCTAGATACCCGCTTAAGCAGTTCCCTACACACAATGGCCTAGGCAGTTCCCCTAATTAAAACAGAGCAAGTATTCTTGAGGAGTATCTTACAATGGATACTTCCTCTATTAGTCAATTAAGCTCTTAAAAATTAAAAAAACCTTGCTTATTAAATAAATTAAATGATCTCTTTCAGCCAAATTAATACATTTTGCCAACATATGAACAATATAATAAGTATCACTAAAAGGCCCTATACTTATACAATGACGTTCATAAACAATAGCCATTGCACGTAAACATATACAACGCATTTCATTTCGTTGGGCAAGCAAAAAACGATGGTAAATGTTGTTGAAAAATTCCTGGTAGAAAAAAATGTTTTAGAACGGAACAATTTTAAATGTAAATATAAGAAAATTTTTAGAACACAAACAAAATACTCCGAGTACACGGATCTAAACACAAGTAGACTTCATTATAAGATACTAGCTCTAGAACTAGATATTTTCTCCTATACATACCAGTTAAAGACCTTTTTTGATGGGACATAAGTTTGAGGTTTCTGCTCAAGTCCCAATATTAGATACACTTTAACAGCAAGGGAGTAGCCTTGGGGTCCTATGAAATCAGCCCTGGCTCACCCTTGTTCAACATATTTTTAGAGCCAAGGGACTCTGAAAAACATAGCGAATTAAAGAAAAAACTTCAAAAAAAAAGAGAAAAACAAACTTGAGGTCTATGAATAGGCGTAGCCGTCTCTACATTATTTTCTTCAGATAATAAAAATCTTAAATAATATTCACCAATTCTAACTTCATCAGACAAAGAATTGTAATTAATCTAAATTTTTTAAAGAAAAAAATCTTAATTTTTAGATTAAAAGAACCAAAAATTCAGAATGATTCCAAGCTATTTCAGTTTCTGATTGTACAAATTCTAATTCATGTTGTAATAAACGCATTTCATTAGCAATAGCTTGTCGAAATTCGTCTCGAGTTTTTTCATTCCATATTAAATCTGCACGAGAATGGTTTTGAGCGAAATAATAACTGAAAAAGTATTAAAATTTTTCTTTATTTGGAAGGGGAAATGATTTTTCGTTGAAGAAAGGAAAGCTGGTAATCTAAGAAAAAGTTGGTATGGAGCCGTAATACTAAAACGCCGTAATACACGCTGTTCGGCATTTTTACGGGTTTTGGGTGGCTATTTCTTCGGGGTTATTTTCTAAGTTAGGAATTTCGGAAGCTCTTGAGGGTTTGACTTTTCAGCATTTTAGCATTACGTCACATTCGGGAAAAGTTTCGAACAAAAAAAAAGTTTAAAAAATTTCCAAACCAAAAACTTTTCCAATTTGCAGTAGCTTTAACTTGTCTTCTTCTCTTTCTCAACACAACAGGGCGTTGTGTTGCCTTTTGCTGCTCTTCCCTAACACGATGATTTTGTAAAAAAGTAAGTTTTTGTTCCAAATTCCAATGTTGTAATAAAGTGTCTAAACGAGCTTCTAAAGTTATTTGAACACTTTTAAGTTGATCCTAGAATTTTTTTTAAAAAATATTTTTGAATCTGAAAAACTTGAATTTGTGCAAAAGGTTTGTCTTTCTCACAATTTTCGGCCATTTCCAAATTATTTCGGACAGTTAACAAATCTTTTTCATCAGGTATAGAAGGAGGAGGGTCTTTAGAATCCAAATAATCCAACAAAGCACGAGGCTAAAAAATTATTTAAAAAATTTCAACAAAAATCTAACCAGGCAACGATTTAATAAATCTTTGGCAGATTGGTTTTCGGCAATCCACAAAGCTATAAGATACCCACTCAATTGTTTGTTGGCAAGTATACGAAAATCTTTTGTTCCAGAGGTTGTTAAAAGTGCCATTTCCAAATGTTTTAAAAATGCGCCTTCTGTTAGTGCTAACATTTGCATTTGTCTACTTATCTTAAAAATTTAAAGCAATATTTTCTCTCAAAATAAATAAAAAATAATTTTCTCAAGTTAGGTCCCGAGAAAATATTTATAAGATCGCTCTGGCTAAAAAAGTCGGAAACCTCAAAAAAACGAAAACCTCAAGTAGACTCAAGTAACCGAAACCTCATGTAGACTTCAATGAAAAGAAAGAGTTTGCAAAAGTTTAGCCACCGGGCAGGATTCGAACCTGCGACCACCTGCTAGTTGTTGCTAGGCTTTCGCTCACTATAAGCAGGAGCTCTACCGTTGAGCTACCGGGGCATCGACTAATGCTTTCTCTTTTTCCTTGTAAGGATGATTCACCTAACAGCATTTAAAACGCTTAGGCGGGGGATAAACGATCTAAAAAGGAAAAAGAGAAAGCATTAGTCGATGCCCCGGTAGCTCAACGGTAGAGCTCCTGCATATAGTGAGCGAAAGCCTAGCAACAACTAGCAGGTGGTCGCAGGTTCGAATCCTGCCCGGTGGCTAAACTTTTGCAAACTCTTTCTTTTCATTGAAGTCTACATGAGGTTTCGGTTACTTGAGTCTACTTGAGGTTTTCGTTTTTTTGAGGTTTCCGACTTTTTTAGCCAGAGCGATCTTATAAGCGTTTTAAATGCTGTTAGGTGAATCATCCTTACAGAAATTACAAGGAAGGAAACCCTAAACTCAACGGAAACCCCTCGCTCTTATAAAACCCACAAATTGGCAAAAAAACAAAAACCTCTCTTGAAGATTCTTCAATAATAGCTCTCATAACCATTCCAGCCCCTTTAACAATGGTTAAAGAAGGGTGATGAAAAAGTTTATAGAAAATTCTTCCACGTTGAGCAACCATTTCCAGAATTGTATCAAAAACATCACCAGGCGTTGTTTCGCTATAAGGAGCACACACTGTGAATGCAAGGAAATCGAGTAATGAAGCAATTACAAGGGCGCCTTTAGCAAAAAATTTTTTTGAAAAATTATTAAAATTTTTAATAACTCAAAAGAAACCTGTCTTTTTTGTAACATTATTGACAATCAATTGAAGCAAATGTTCCAAAAATAATTTATTGGATAAAAGTGCCTGCTTATTTAATTGTTCAATTCTAAGCTCATAATTTGCATGTCTAGGTTGTAAAAGTGTACAAAGCATTTCAACACAAGCATAATCTACATGTTCTTCTTTTCGTTTTAAAACTGAAACTACAAGAGTTCCAAGACGTTCACGTATTCTAAAAAATATTTTTTTGTTTGAAATTCACAATAAAATCAGGCTATGGTCTAACATATGAGTCTAATCAAAATTTCCTATAAGTCCGGCACGAGTAGATTAAAAACTCTAACGGATTGTAAGTTATAATTAACCTCCTGAAAGTAGTAAATGGCTGAATCGATTTTCTGGATTATCCCCCCCCCCCACGAAATATTAAAAAGGGAAAAATTTGAGGAGGGGATTGAACAAAGTGCTTTTTTTGCCCATGACCGTCCAAATTCAAAAAATTGAATTTGGACCTCTTAAAATCGACCTCTGCTTCGCCCTTGCTTTTGATTTTACATCGGAAAAACCCAGACCTTATCGGTAAGAAATAAGAAGTAAATTAAACTCATAATCAAACCATGGCCAGAAGAATTTCCAACACCCCAAAATAAAAATAAATATTCCCAACAAACCCTTCAACAGTTGTAAAAGCCTGAAATCCTGCTTTTGCTGCAAAAAGTCTGTGAAGACAAGATAATTGTGCTTCTATTTGTATACTAATTTCGTGTTGATCAATTTTACTAACTTCATATTGTTCTAATATAACAGCTTCCAAACAAGAAATAATAGTTTTGCCCTTGCTATCGGAGAAAAAACCCTAAAATTGATTCTTTGGTTAAGTGGTATAAAATTGGGAAAAGGTCGAAGGTTCGAACCCGCTCGTGGAATTTATTTTTAATTTTTTTATTTATTGTTAGAATATTAATTCTTGAACTTTTAAACATCAAATTTATTAAAAAATAAAAAATATATATACTTCTGAAGGGGCAGAATAGCTCAATCCATTGTATGGGACATTTGCATTAAATCGACGAATCATATCGATGCGTTTAAGTCCAGCTAAAATGTTTAAAAAAATTAAAAATAATTTAAAAATAAAACTAACGAGGAATCTGTAAAATAAGTTTTAGCAAGTGTTGTTCTGCCTCTTCATCCAAACAAAATCCAAAAGGAACTAATCTCATTGTTTTATATTTTTGAGGGGAGATTACATGTATTTGATAATTTCCACAACTTCTAGCTCCATCTATTAATGCTGCTAACAAAGAATCGCTAAAAAAAATTAAAAAAAAATATTTTTTAATTCTGGGATAAAATGTCATCTTTTAGAAAAAAAAAGATTCTAACCGATCATTTGAAGAATATAAACGTTCATCACCATTTGAATAAATTAAATGAAATTTTTGTGGATCTTTCAAATCACGAATAATGTAAGATAACTGGAAAAAGAAAAAAATAGTAATTTTAAAAAATTAGAGAAAAATCTCATGTATCCAAAAAATCACAAATAAAGACAAACACACAAAAACGGAAATATAAACGTAAAAAATTAACGTAAATGTTCTAATAGAAGCCTGGCTCCAATAGAAGCCCATGCCCCATTAGAAGCCCACCCAATGGGACTCATAGAAAAATAGACGCCCAGGTTTCTATTGAAACATTTACGGTATGTACTTACAAAAAACCATATCGAACTGTCACCAAAAATTTCGTAATTAGGTATTTTTATAACATCGTGTAGAGCAGGGTTAATTACCCATTGCCACTCAACCACTCCGAAAGTCAAAAACTTTAAAGTCCTATAACTTTACGATTTAGGGGGTAGGGTCAAAAAAGAAAAAAAACTGGCAATAGGAAAATGACACTTCTATACACGATGGTATAAAAATAATTACGGAATTTTTAGTCACGGTTCAAAAGGTTCCCTTGATAATATTATTCCTTCGTTATAAATTAACAGGAAAACTTAACAGGAGGCACAGGAGGATCTTGAGGCCCTATAACTTTCTGATTGGGGGGGGGGGGTCTGGGCCAAAATAAAAATTAACAATAAGTAATCGACCCTGCTCCACACACAATAGTATGTATAATTTTTATTTAAAAATTTTGGTCAAAGTTCAATATAAAATTCAAAAAAATTCCCTACTGTATTTAAATTCCTTGCACATATAACAGCATAACTTAAAGGATCTCTTTCAATAATGCACGATTCACTGATACACAAAAGCCTTCGAATTGGTACTAGGCTGTTGATATGACTTTTTTGGACATTAAATTCGACAAATGAGGTTAATTGTTCATCCTTGCTGAAATTATAAAAAATTTAATTCGTTGATTATGACGGAAAATGTTGAATTCGCAACATGCGAGGAGCAGGGCTGGACAAAATTGAGAAAAATTTTCCGCACCCGCATATAAAGAACGAAATTTCACGCAATCCGCAACTGCGTCCAGCCTTGGTGGGAGAGTCGCAGGTTCAAAAGTCTTTAGTTGAAAAATCACTTTCTTGGGTTGGTAATGTTAAGTTTAAAATGCATAGGAGTCAAAGGTTCAAACCAGGGATGTCACGGGTTGAGAAAAATGTCGGGTCGGGTTTCCAAAATTTTTCTCGACTCGGGTTTCGGGTTGAGCAAAAAGTCGGGTCGGGTTTCAGATCGGGTTTTCGAAATTTTCTTCGGATCGGGTTTCGGGTCGAAAAAAGTGAGAATTTTGGAAGGCCAAAAAGCCAAAAATCTTCCCTTCTCATTTGTCAGCGCAGCAGGCGAAAATTTTGAGAATTCTGGAAGGTCCGAAGCTAGATTTATCCTTTTTCAGCGCCGCAGGCGAAAATTTTCAGAATTTTGGAAGATCATTAAGCTAAAAAGCTTCCCTTTTTCTGCGACGCGGGCGAAAATTTTCAGAAAACTCGGGTCGGGTTTCGGGTCGGGTTTTGAAAAATAAAAATTCTCGGGTCGGGTTTCGGGTCGGGTTTAGAAAAATTCTCGGATCGGGTTTCGGGTCGAAAAAAAGGCCGGGTTTCGGGTAACCCGTGACATCCCTGGTTCAAACCCATTTTGTGGAATTAATAAAAAAAAATTTAAAGAAACCTGCAAAGACCCAGTCTTGTAAGCTTAAAATCATCCAAATTTAAGGGATCTCTAGCAATTTGTAAATCTATAGCCAAAAATTCAAGGGCAGCATCACGCATTATTTTCAATAATTGCTCGGTTTGATCGCAAAAATAAAGGTGCTAGAAATTAAAAAATTTTTAAGTAATTTTTACTTCCCGTAGGAATTGGGATAAAATGTCATATAAAAATTATTTGATTAATTTTCCCCAAATTTTCGAAAATTTTCAAAATGTTAATTTAAAAATCCCGTTATAATTAAAATAAAATTTTTAGAAATCCCATATTGAGTTTAATTTGTGTCCAATCTTTTTTATTTTGCTCAAAATAAATCCCTGCCTATTTTAGGCATTTTCGAAAAAAAATTTTTGCACGGAATATGGAACTATACGCTTTTTTATCCTAATCTTCATTAGAGTTGTCGGACCTTGAAAAATCTTTAGATACACCGAGAATCGAACTAAAGCTAAAAATTCTCAGTTGTTCGGTTTGATTCCTAGCCTACTAACTATTATAAACTGTTTACAGGAATGCATTATCGAGGGAAGGAGATTTACGGAAAAATAAAAAAAAGAAGAGATAACCCAAAACTTTAACAAAATCAATCTCCCAAAAATAATTTTAAAATTTCAAAAAAAAAATAATAAAAAAATACCCTTCTCCTTTGTTCACCCAATTCAATTATAAAAGCATCTTGTTGTCTTCCTTTTAATGGTATAATTAATCTGATATCTTTATAATTATAATTTTTCAACAAAGAATTTGTATTTGCTTCCAATTGATTTATCGAACAGGCAGAAACTTCCAAAATTAAATTTTGAGGTTTTTCAGACCAACCAATTTTTCGACAAGGAAATCTCTTTAAAATTAATAATTCGTTTTTATTTGAATAATTATTATAATTAAAGTTTATATTTCTTCCAAAAATTTTTCTTGCAAAATCTTCCAAAAAACCCTAAGATTTTTTTAAAAATAAAATAAATTTTAGAAATTGGGATGAAATGTCTCTTTTAATTTTTTTAGATTTTAAAGGATGTTCTAATTAGATGAAATCGCATTTGCAGGATCATGTATCAGGGTTGGGTTTTAAAATTTCTAAAAGGACAAGATCCTGTAGGATTAATCCTGAAAACTGAAAAAAAAGCAGGATTTCGGACAGGATCCTGAAAAATCCTGTGCAGGGTCATGTCCTGTACCGATAACTAGTTCTAATTGTGGAAATGGGTGTTCTTATACAATAAAAGTTGTAGATTGGGATGAAATGTCAAAAAAGCAAACGTGGATTTTTTGACGGGATTTTCCAAAAAATTCTCAGGTTTTATCATCCTATCAATATGAAAGTTCTGACCGCAGATGATAAAACAGAGATTCCGGTTGAAATCGCGAAAAAGCCATTTTATTTTTACACGTGCCAAAAATGGCAAAAAATTATCGAGGTTTAGAAATGAAATTGTAAAAATCCTCTCAAAGAAAAAAGCCCAAAATTGAACTAAAAAAGTAAATTTATACCGGTTTTTGGTCTGCCCTATCAGAAGCAAATCGATTTTGAAACCGCAAAGCTTCAGTAACAATTTCACGTGCAAATTCACTTGAAAACCGCATAGAATCAGACTTGCCTCCTTTCTTTCGAACCTTTAAAAAATTTTTTAGAATAAAATTGAATAAATATAAAATCAAACTTGGATGTTAAATTGATCTTCATGTCGAGTATTTGCACTAGAATCAGCACTGGAATGTCGTGGACGCTCGTTAACGACGTTGATTGAAAAGAAGTCTTCGTAAAGCCACTAGAAAAAGAGAAAATGAGTTTTTCGAGTTAACAGCGAAAATCAAAAAGTCAAAAATATATGAGAGGACCCAGAATTTTAGAAGTAAGAAAAGAACCAAAATTCTAATTTTTTGGAATTTGAAATCTTTAAATAAATTCTAAGTTTAATTCTACAAATCTAAACCAAATAAAACTTAAAAATTCTTGGAGCTGGACTTTGAGTAAAAGAAAAACACAGGCCTCATCTAAGGATATCTCGATTTCCAAATGGAAGATATTACAGACCATATATGATAGAAAAGTTTCGTTTCGAGAATGCCTTGAAGAAAGAAGGACAGGAAAGCCTTATTTTCCTTAACTCTAAAAAATGGGAAAATTTACCGAGTATCACGAACAACGAAACAATTAGTGAGTTCTGGTATGGAAATTCGATTAAAAATTTTTCTTGGCATACCAGTGTTTTTCTTATGTTAGCAGTTAAGTTTAACACACACACAAAAACAAACTTGACTGCAAACAAGAAAAATATAATTCAATCCACAACCACCACGGAAAGACTAGTTAACCCCTCTCCCCGGGAAGTTAGAAAGAGAAGTTAGAAACACCCCCCTCCCCCATCCTAAGCCTTAAAATAAAAAATAAATTTAAAAATATACTTGATTTGTAATTTCCAAAGATTGTGGATTGTATGTAGTAATTGCCAAATTTCCAACAGAAAATATTCTTTTGTATCTAGAAAAAAAAATTAAAAATAATTTCCACAAAATCAACAAACTTTCCCTTCCAAGCAGAAATTTTAGTCACTAAAAAACAGTGGAGATCGTGATTGTTTGGATTGAAAATAATTGATTTATTCATTATTATACTTTTGTCTTGCACATTAATTTAATTTATCTAAATTTGAAAAAAATTTCCTAATCGAAATTCCAAGAAAATACAAAAATTTCAGTCTAAACAAAAATAGTGTGAAAAAATGAGAGAGACGGTGAGAGAAAAAAAGAAAGAATCGGAACAATAGGCAACGTATTTTTAAAAATTGCAAAAAAACCTAGAAAAACTAAAAAAATTTTTCTCTGCCTAGAAGCAAAAATCTACGAGAAAAAACAGAAATTTGGTTTCAGACTCTAATGACTTCAGACTCTAGTGGAATTTTACAATTAACATGGATCTTTTAACGCCACAGTACAGTATTCCGTTATAAACTAGTGACACTCATTTGTGAGCTAGAGGAAATATTTTATTTTAATTCCTTAAGTAAAATGAAAATTGATCTTCTATGTAAAATTTATAAATGCATGAAAATGAAAATTTAACAATTTTATATTTGATTAAATACACACCAGGGAACGCGCCGACAGAAAATCAAATTCCTGATTTTCGTGAATCGTGAATATATGAGCCAAAAATCGTCGGGAATTCACGATTTTCGTGAATCGTATCGGGTCGGCGCGATCCCTGATACACAATATTTATTTTTTGTCATTTTTTTATGGTTGAAGTGATTTTCCACGTTGATTATAAATTCTATCTTTCTGTTCCGGAGTGAAATTTAACATTGTCATTATTGCCTAAACGAGTAATTGTAAGTATGTTCTAAATGGAAATTTATTTTAACAATTACGGAAATATCAAACACGATTGAAGGACCATGGGGAATCTCCGGATATTAGGAATCGAAATTTTGATTAAAGTATTGGAGATTGCCCTGGGCGGATTGACCTTGTGAATAATTTTTGTGAGCAAAACCCGGAAACGTCAATCAAGATTGACGGATCCTGGGGAAACTCCGGATATCCAGAACCAAAAATAGTGGAGAATGCCCTAGACGCAGTTCGTCTTGAGAATAATTTTTGGGGAGGAAACTCTCAAGTGTAATGGATAAATAAGCCATAAATTTTCTATTTTTAGCGCAGCAGGCGAAAAATTTAGGGATTTCAGAAATTTCAACAAGCCAGCTTTCTTTCCTTTCCAAAACTAAAAGAGGTAAGGCGATGTTCAGGGAAGAATTTGACAAGGATTTCAGTGAACTTCTTACCATAAGTTCAAATGCGAATCGAAAATTTCCGGATACCCATTCCTTTTCCGGTTCCAAACTTACTTGTAAATGTTCCCTAGCACATCCTTTACTAAGCAAATAGTAGAAGAAAGCATCATGTAAAAATCGTGTCACAACTTGTAATTCTGTTTTTTCATCCATTTCTTCTTCTTCTTCCTCCAATTTTTGAATGTTTTTCGAAGCAGCTTGTTGCCCTTTCCGGAACATGACTAAATACATTTTTTGTCTATCCCTATCCATTTCTACACACTTTTGTTCATACATTCCATTTTCTCTCCTTAATAATCCACATTCAGCAGTAACTTGATTTAATTGTTCAGACAATTCTGAGACTTTTTTTCGCTCATTTTTCAACTTAAAAATTTGGGGGAATTTTTTAAAACTCCTTTAAAAGGGTCTCGGTACTTTTCCGTTAACGACCGCAAACTGTGTACCAGCCGACTTTGAACAGCTATAACTTTTTTATGCTTGATTAGATATAATTGAATTTTATATCATTCGAAAGCCCTCTATAAGCTTTATCTTTTACCCAAGAGTATGGATCAGGTCTGATCACTCATAAAAAAGTTACAAGTCGATAAGTGCAAGAAATCGTTGTTTTTCACTATTATCGGGTTATAACTTCTTAATGAGTGATCATACTTGATCCATCCTATTAGAAAAAAGATAGAGCTTATCGAGAGCTTTCGAATGATATAAGATTTATTTGTACAGGATCAAGCTTCATAAATTTATAGCTGTTCAAAGTCGGCTGGCACTCAGTTTGCGGTAGTATAACAAAAAAGTACCAAGTTCTCTTCTACCTCTTCCACAACTTTTTGTTGTTCACCAACTTTTTTGTCTCTATCTTCCTTTAATGTTGTAAATTGCCTTCTTAAAGCCTCGCTAACTATAGATCTTTCCCTTTCGTCTATAGCCTCCCTTCTTTTTTTTATTCTTAAACTTCCTTGAGAAATTTCGTTTTGGTGGCACAAATCATTTGTTTCTGCCAATTCAGGCACACTTTTCCATTTTTCATTGTTTCTTTCATTAAATTCAAGAGAATTTCTTCCCCTTTCTTCTGCAAATTTTGCAACAGCTGCGGAATGGATAGCCTGAACCTTAGCCATTGCCAATTCTCCTCTCAGAATAGACACTTGCCCTATTTGGGTAAGACGATCATTTTCGACTATATTTAGTCGTCTACGGAGATTATTAACCTATAATTAAGTTTATTAATTAATCAGAATTTTGTATTTTTTCGGAAAAGGAAAGAATTTGTATTTCACTGTATTTTTCCGGAAAAGGAAAAATACAATTTTTTATTTCCGGATCTGAAATTGTATTTTTCAGTTGCCCATATTTCTCCGGTTGTATTTTTTATTTTTCCAGTCTACAATTTGTATTTTCGTTTTCCGACTTATTATTTGCAGAGGTGGGTCGGAATTCCGATTTCCGACTTCCGATTTCCGACGTTTTTTTCCTTCCGATTTCCGACAGTTCCGATTTCCGACACCTCTGACTGTTCCGACCCACCTCTGATTATTTGTATTTTTTCCGGTTTATATTATGTATTTTTGTCTTTTGCCTTCTTCCGGTTTACAATTTGTATTTTTATCTTTTCCGGTTTTCAGTTTGTATTTTATGTACTTTTCCGGTTTACAATTTGTATTTTCCTTCTTCTGGTTTACAATTTGTAAATTTGTATTTTCTTTCTTTTTCCGGAGTATATTTCCGGATTCTCTCTCTATTTAATACAATACCTCTCTAAAACACGTTCCAGCAACCTCTTTCCACTTCTTTAATTGTTGAGCACGTAACAATGGAGGTCCATTATGCCCAATATGTTCGGCACTACAACTTCTCTTCCATTTCCCTTTATTTATACAATCATTCCCTATTTCCGCCTCCCTTCTAGGCTCTGTTCTGTAAATCCAAAGTTCCAACTCCGCTTCCTTTAATTTCCCTCTAATTTCACAATTTGTTCGTTTAAGTGCCAAATTTTGATTTTTTAGTTCGTAACAATGTTTTTCATTTTCTGCTAGTGCTTCAAGCCAAGAATTTAATTGGTCAAATAATTCTTCCTTATCTATCCTTTCTCCGTTTTGACTTGCTTTTCTGCACATAAATTTAACTCGGTCTTTTAATTTGTCAGCATCACCAAATTGAGTCTATAAAAATTATTTGATTAAAAAACAAATATTTGGCTTAATGAACAATTAATTGGTTTAAACAGCAATTAATTGGTCAACTTTCAAATTAAATACTCTAATATAAGCCCATCTCTATTAGAAGCCCATCTCTAATAGTAGATGGAGAAGCCCATCTCTAATAGATGGAGAAGCACATCTCTCCACCCGAAGAGACCCATGGGACCTATATTACCTCCAACACCTAATAGAAGCCCATATCTAATATAAGCCCAGTCAAAGAGGGACATTCAAAAATAAAAGCCCAGAGTAGTTACGGTAATTCACAGACCTCATCCTCTTCTAATAGTTGTTTATCAAGTTGTTTCCTACTATGCTCGACTTCTTGTCTTCTAGGGGCAGAATGAGAGCGTAAAATAGATTTGGTTGACCCTCCCAGACGATTGTAGGGAAGAGAAAGATGTCTAGGAATCTAATAAATTTATTTAAAATTTCTAATCAGATTTCCAAAATGCCTTTAATCTTGAGAGAGATACACTTTCTTCGTCTGTCTCCTCCTCCCACTCTTCCAACTTTTCACAAGATTTAAAACCTTTTTCATCACCAAAAGACCGTCTATTAAAATCGGAATTATAACCCAAATTTGTAGGTAATGAAGCAATAGAAATTGAATTTGTAGAAGAAAAGGGCTGTTGTTGTTGGCCCTGTAGTTTTCCTAAAGGAATTGAACCTCCAAATTCGACAAGTCCTCCTTTTCGTTGAAAAGCTATTGTTAAAAAATCTGGGGCGCCGATTCCAGTATTTGGGGTTGTGGTTTGTTGAGTTAATGTTTTGCGGCGTTGTTGATGCTTGAAATTATTTTTTGAAGATTTTCTAGTTTACAATTTGTATTTTTCTTTATACGGGTTACTTGGGACACGCCCAAGTAAGCGCACGGCCAAGTAGGCGCACGGCCAAGTAGGCGCAAAGCCATAACTAGCTTGAAACTTTCTGGACCTTAACAATTTTGGTATCAATCTCTTTAGCTGATGAGTGGAATCGTTTAATACTAAATTTTGAAAGATTCGAAAATCCTGAAGCAAGTTATGGCTTTGCGCCTACTTGGCCGCGTGCCTACTTGGGCCGTACCCGGGTTACTTAAGTTTATAAACTTGAGTTTTATTAAGAATACAAACTTAAGTTTCATTAAAAATTAAAGTCCAGGTTTCTACAACTCAACCAACAACTTCCCATACCTTCTCAACAAGTTCAGCAGCAAAAGCAGCCACTCTCTCATCCACAAGTTCTTCTAATTGTTCATCTCTCAAATCAGCATTATCAACTTGCTGATCCCTCTGATTAGGTCTACAGAAAACATATTTGTTTGAAGTTCTTGGACGAACTTCGATTTGGACATCTCTTTTAGGGCA